GCGATCTCCATACCGTTCATCACCAGGCCGATCACCCGTCAGATCTCCACATAGAAGCGGCGCACAAGTCAACTAGATCGCCACAAACCTCATCAGATATACAGACAGCTACACGCAGTCGAAGAGCATCTACAATTTGTTAATGATGATGGTTTTAAGGATGATGGAGGAATCATATTTTCTGATGCAGAATACGGTATTGGATGGTCAATAACCTAGATCTCACATCACCATCTAAAAGTGGCAATACAGAAGCGCAGGCGTATTTGATGAAGGAAGATGATCCAGATGCAATCACTCTACCCCGATCGACCCGATTGCGGCAGTGCCACAGAATCTAGATGCAGCTTTTCAGAAAGCTACGAAAGTTCAGATACCACATCTGCCCAACTTTCAAGCCAAAGAAGTTCTCCACGCGCCAACATGGACTCCTTCTACAAGGCCCAGGACATCGATGAGAACTATAAGATCATCAGCGATGTAAAGAACAAGATTTACAAGATGGATGATCGCAAGTTGGCTCATATAGAAACCATGGCGCAGACGCATTATGTTCTTTGGGTTAAATAGATCTAGGGCGATCAATGAGACTCTTATTACTAGATTCGGGATTCCACGACGGAAGATGATAGAATGATTTATTCTGCCTTACTTATGCAAAGAAAGATCAGCAGCAGTTTTTAGCGGATCATCTTACATCTGTTTCAGCAGCACTGACCTTAGCTCGTCGTCAAGGCCTCCTCGCCTCCTGTAATTGGGGAGAACTTTACAGCCCCACTTTATACAGCCCGTGGTCGACAACATCCATCTTTGACGGAGAAATCGACAAAGTCGCAACGGTCTAAAAGGAAGTCTCTAAGGATTCCAGGAAGTCCTTATGATTAGATCGATGGACACACTAGCCAGCGTCATTCGTCAGACTTCACAAAGATACTCAGGCAGATCTAAGTTCACGGGCCTACAAAGAGCAAGAGAGGAGGAGATAGCCAGCTCTAGAGGTAAAGATTCTTTTAGAGTAAGCCCATATGGCAACTATAGAGGAGGATCAGGAAGAGGCAGGACACCCAGAGGTTCCCGCCAATTATAGACGCTGAAACACAGGTTAGGAACGACTGGAGTCTTCCACCCCAGCCCGTTCCAGTACAGCCAGCTCAAGTGGGTGGGCGCTCCAACTACACTGGGAAAACTGGGGAATATTGCAAGACCCTACGTCTCCAACATTCTTCAACAGTTTCGTATATTCCTCTACAGGCCAAGCCTCCGTGACAATCAAACCCCCAAGTTCGATTTACAAGCGCAGCAACTACCAAAGATAAAGAGGCTGTTTCATCACTCCTATCCAAACAGGCCATAGAAGTAATAGATCAAGCAAGCGTCGAACCAGGTTTCTACTCCCCAGTTTTCCTAGTTCCCAAGAAAAACTCCACGGAGAAATACAGACTCATCTACAACATGAGCTTTTCAACAAGAACTATCTCATAAACCACGAAGTTTAGCATGATACATTTACCTCAGTTACGCCAGATGATTCGTCCCTATGGACTACATGGGCAGCATAGATCTACAGGATGCCTACCTGCACATCCCATTCATCCCGATTCCAGGAAATACCTACGATTTACTCTAGAAGGGCTACATTACCAGTGGAAAGTACTCCCATTCGAATATCATCAGCCCCTGGCTATTCACGAGGATAACGAAACCGATTATCAAATTTCTACATGGAGTCAAAGGGCTCGCACGCAGCGTTTTACCTCGACTGCACGGGATACAAGTAGATCAAGATCCACTGCGTCTCAAACTACAGTTAGAATTACATCATAAAGCTACTAACACAACTAGGTTGGTTAGTAAACTTACGCCAAGTCGGACCCTAGTACCATCGCCAAGACCTGCAGTTCCTAGGTAATCGATTCATCACAAATCGCCAACCGTATTATGGTACCAGAAGACCCGTTGGCTCAAGATACAGCAGACCATTCCACCAGCTCTACTCTCTCCGTTACCACTCGCGACAATGGCAGAGCCTACTAGGTCTTCTCACATCAGCCCAAGACATGACTGTCACAGGCAGATTACAGTTTCACGCCCCTACAGGTCCTCATCAACGCACATCTCAACTATGTACAACCATTCAGTCTACGAAACATCTCAGACCTCATCTACTATGGTGGACCAAGAAATCGAATGTCTGCGAAGAGGATTTGTTTAGCAGAGCAGAATGCAAAAACCCATCTGTATGTAGAGCGTCACTCCAAGGTTGGGGAGCTCATCTCACCAACCACCTGCGATATCAGGGTTATGGAATCAGCAAGAATGCAAACTCCATATAAACAGTCTAGAAAGGAAAGCTGTAATCAGCGCCATTCTACATTGGAGCACATTTCTACAAAATGCTACCTAATGATCCATACAGACAATTAGACAGTGGCGTTCTACATAAACAAGCAAGGCTCAACGAGATCGATGAACCTTTTGAACCTAAGCTTTCAACTGTTCGATTTAATACAAGATCTAAATCTACATGTCAGAGCAGTGCACATTCGAGCCAGAAATATACTAGCAGGCGGCTCTCTCGGCCTCATCTACCATCACCGACAGAGTGGATGATCAACAGGAAATTTTTGCACAGATAATCAAGCAATTAGGGAGCCGCTAATAGACCTTATTCGCCACGCGATTCAACAATCAGCTACCGACATTCGTGTCACCAGTCCCAGACCCCCAAGCTTGGGCAACGGACTCTAAGTCTATCATGGGAAGGCCTCAATGCGTGCGGCGTTTCGCTACGCCAGCAATAATACCTCAAAGTATTACAGAAAATCAGACAAACACAGAGCCTACAACTCACTTTGGTCGCCCTACTGGCGGCCAGAACGTGGTTTCCCATACTAATTCAAGAAATCGGTCAACCAACACTGGAGCTACCCAAGCGCGCAAACCTGTTAATTCATCCTCACACCAAACAAGTGCCACGGAAACCCAGCAATGTTCCAACTACTGCATTATGGACTGTATACAAATGTGTTTAAACAAGAGAGGATATTCTGCCAGGGCGGCAAAAGCAGTCACGCTTTGCTTACGTTACTCAACTCGTAACATGCGGCGACGACAAGTGGCACAGTTTCGAAAAATTATGCAACAAAGAAAGGGTTTACAGCAAGAGAGGCTTCACAACCTCAAGTGGCAGACTATTTGTGTTACCTACGCCAAAACAAACATTTAAAAGGTTCAACGATATCAACATATCTTGCAGCTTAGTTCTGTAATCACCATGAGAACGGGTGTCAAATTGACAAGATCTCCAGAGTTACTGGCCTTACTCACGAGCTTCCCGATTGGAGGACCAAAGGAAGTTCCACGCCGTAACTTGGGATCTGAATGTAGTGTTACAACACCTCACGAGTGAGGTCTATGAACCTTTGGAATCGACAAACTTTGAATTTCTCTCACAGAAAACACTGTTTCTGCTATTGCTAGCCACAGCAGCAAGAATGTCTGAAATTCACGCTCTGGATTACGCGAGGATACAGTTTGATGACAATCATAACACAGCGCACCTCGGTTAAGATGGGATTTCATCGCAAAAAAATCAACTGCCAGGTCAACCAGACAGATTATTCCACATCCCGGCGCTATCCTCTATTCTCGGATCACAAGATACACAAGACCTATCACTGTGTCCGGTAAGAGCTCAAAGTTTATTCACGACGATCCAAAACAAGGAGAAGATTTCTCAAACGTTTATTCATCCCTTATCGCCTACGAATCAAACAGAAGTGTCACGGACCACAATATCTATTTGGATAAGGACTGTCATTCTCCGTGCCTACAAGGCAGCAGGCTTGGACCCACCAACAGCATCAAATCCACATGAGATCAGGGCACTGGCCTCTACCCTCGCCCTACACGGTAACTGTTCCTTGAACACGATTATGGAAGGATGCTATTGGAAATCTAACATGGTATTTGCTAATCACTACCTAGAGACATCACTACAGAAGATGTCTCTGGCATTCACCATTCGGACCACTGGTCCTCGCTCAGCAACTGACAGTCCCTCATTAGGCGTTAAAATATTATCCTCACAAGATTAATATGTATTTTATACATACTCATCTAGCTTATAACTCTCAATGGAGTTTTAGGGCTATGTATATATGTTCAGCTTAAGTATTCAACCTTAAGCATATACTTTGGTATAGTCAATTTCAGTGCCTCTATCAGAGTCACCTATATATATATATATATAATTTATATGTATTGTTCAATATATTCATAATGTAATTCCCCTTTAATGGCTTTATATAACCTATGGTTTCTTTATACAGGAAACATCCTAAATCTAAGCCTTCATGAAGTTCCGTAGGGAATATTACAGTATATCTATACAAAATCACTAATTATAAATCCAAAGTATTCTGTTACCCACCTCCGTTCCGTAGGATGCTACAAGCAAAAAGAGCATGAGTCAGGATAAGGAAAAATATGTAATTTTTAGAGTAAAATTGATATTTTATACTTATCCTGACTCATGAGGTTAGCTCCCTCCCATCCTCCCACATAACACTTTGGATTTCCCTGCAGATTCAAGTGCATGGCTCGCTAAATCAGGAGAGTGGAGCACATGGCCAGACTGGTGGCGACACCTTTCCCGCCAGGGGAGACAAAGGGGAGCAACTCGTGGTGAGTACCAATTAGTGATTTTATTTTGAAGGGAGCTTCAAATAAGGAGATGCAAGTGTTCCACTATGTTCGCAAGAAGAAGAAGACAAGCAAAAGAGCATGAGTCAGGATAAGTATAAAATATCAATTTTACTCTAAAAATTACATGTTTGTGAATTGAATAGGTTATCGACTTTTACCATTTTAAGAACCAGACAAAGTGTTTTGTGACTCATTAAATACTCACCAGTGTTTCAGGAGTACAAATAATTGATTAGGTCTGAATGCATGAAAATGTTCCTCAATGTTGAGAGATATTGTTCGCTCTGTTTCAGAGTTGACCTGCTCCCCTACGACCTGATCACACAGCTCTTCAAGATCCTCACAATCGACACCAAACTGGAGAAGGGTAAACTTAAATATTCCATACCTTCAAGTCGTATTTCTTTGATATTCATACTTTTTATGAAAGCACCTTTAGTTTTGTGAATGAATTTTTTTTGCACCACATGAGTGTGTTGTGACCTATTAAAAAGCAACAGTATTATTTGGACCATGCCAAGTGGGTATTGAAGTGTGCTGTCAGTCTGTCAGTATTATTTGGCCCATGCCAAGTGGGTATTGAAGTGTGCCGTCAGTCTGTCAGTATTATTTGGACCTTGCCAAGTGGGTATTGAAGTGTGCTGTCAGTCTGTCAATATTATTTGGCCCATGCCAAGTGGGTATTGAAGTGTGCCGTCAGTCTGTCAGTATTATTTGGCCCATGCCAAGTGGGTATTGAAGTGTGTGTGTCTGTCAGTATTATTTGGACCATGCCAAGTGGTTATTGAAGTGTGCTGTCAGTCTGTCAGTATTATTTGGACCATGCCAAGTGGTGAAATACACAATGCCAAGTGGGTATTGAAGTGTGCCGTCAGTCTGTCAGTATTATTTGGACCATGCCAAGTGGTTATTGAAGTGTGCCGTCAGTCTGTCAGTATTATTTGGACCATGCCAAGTGGGTATTGAAGTGTGTTGTCAGTCTGTCAGTATTATTTGGCCCATGCCAAGTGGGTATTGAAGTGTGCTGTCAGTCTGCCCATGCCAAGTGGTATTATTTGGCCCATGCCAAGTGGGTATTGAATTGTGCCGTCAGTCTGTCAGTATTATTTGGACCATGCCAAGTGGTCTTTGAAGTGTGCCGTCAGTCTGTCAGAATTATTTGGCCCATGCTAAGTGGGTATTGAAGTGTGCCATCAGTCTGTCAGTATTATTTGGACCATGCCAAGTGGGTATTGAAGTGTGCCGTCAGTCTGTCAGTGTTATTTGGACCATGCCAAGTGGTCATTGAAGTGTGCCGTCAGTCTGTCAGTATTATTTGGCCCATGCCAAGTGGGTATTGAAGTGTGCTATCAGTCTGTCAGTATTATTTGGACCATGCCAAGTGGGTATTGAAGTGTGCTATCAGTCTGTCAGTATTATTTGGACCATGCCAAGTGGGTATTGAAGTGTGCTATCAGTCTGTCAGTATTATTTGGCCCATGCCAAGTGGGTATTGAAGTGTGCTGTCAGTCTGTCAGTATTATTTGGCCCATGCCAAGTGGGTATTGAAGTGTGCTATCAGTCTGTCAGTATTATTTGGACCATGCCAAGTGGGTATTGAAGTGTGCTATCAGTCTGTCAGTATTATTTGGCCCATGCCAAGTGGGTATTGAAGTGTGCTATCAGTCTGTCAGTATTATTTGAACCATGCCAAGTGGGTATTGAAGTGTGCCGTCAGTCTGTCAGTATTGTTTCAGACTACAAAGTGGACCCAACAGATCTCCACCTGTCCGGGCTCGAGTCCTTCTCCTTCGACTACGTAGTCAAGTGGCCGGTGTCTCTCGTGCTGAATAGGAAGGTACTACTGGTGTAAAATAACAAACATGTCATGTAATTGCTTGAAACATTTCAAAGATAATTTAAGCAAATAAAAAACGCAATACATTGGAACAATGTCACTTATAGCCTAATGACAGTGTTGTAATAGGCCATGGCAAAATGACACAAGTTACGCAGCAGCATGGCTTAGATATATTCCATTTTAAGTATCTCACTCAGATACAAACTAGTTCCAAGTAAAATGACTCTTAAAGTATGAAATATTTGAATCTAGTGACCAAAAATAATGAAGTGAATTCATGAATGGATACGGTTCAATTCACCAAATATGCAAATGAATTGTAATAAGACTAGTGTGTAGTACCAGAGAGAGGCCAATCAATGGCCACTGACGTGAACATTCCAGTTTTTTATGTCAGTTTTCTTACCAGATATATTTAGTGTCCAGTGATATATAGTGTGTCCATTGACATATTAAGTGTCCAGTTATATATTTAGTGTCCAGTGATATATATTTAGTGTCCAGTGATATATAGTGTGTCCAGTGATATATCTAGTGTCCAGTGATATATCTAGTGTCCGGTGATATGATTAGTTAAAGAACCACTAAACTTTGTTTTTTGTTACTCTTTTAACCATTACATGTGAAAGATTTGTGGTTAGTCTTATGCGGAACACCAAATTTATTCTTTAAAAACTTGTGGTTAATTAATACCGAGCGATTAAAAGTGGCCAAAAGTTAGCCTGCTTCCCTCTAAGCCATGCTTGAAGAAACCACAGACGGGAGGTTACGTAACTCTGTCGCCAGAGCACTGCAGTGGCGTCATATGAGAACGATTTTCAGTTAGTTGTATAGAAAATGTGTAGCAGCTCATCATTTTGATTATTTCTCGACATCAGCGGCGACATGCCGAATCGTTGCTGTCGTCAATTGCTCCTAGGGGTCGGGCGATGGTGTCCCCATGCACAGATTTCCACAGGACCCGCAGTTGTGCTAAATGGGTTATGTTTGTGAGTCGCGGCTGGCGTTGTGGAAGCCTGAAGCGATATCTTACTTGTGTTCAGATCGGCTTCCACTGCGGAAGTTAAAGAATCAAAACTACTTACTAGTTGTAGTAAAATATGCATATGATTGATGACCATAAAGATTTTCTATGACACAACTTGTAACATAACGATTTCTTCCTCGGAAGTGAGGTTGTGGTCGAAGTAACAATAATATTGTAAGAAGTAGTATTATATTGACGCCCACCTGCAGCTGCCAGAGAGGAAATTGTTATGATATCTGCTATGTCATGCAAAATCCTATTGGCCATCAATAAAATACATATTTTACTACCAGTAGAAAGTAGTTTTGATTTTTGTAACTTCGGTGAAAACAAACCTAAATACCATTTATCCTCAGACTGGCCGGATGTTCCCGACGAAGCATCATTTTAAAATAAAAAAATCTGTTAGAATTAATGAGATTATAGTTTGTTTTCATCAAGGTTAGAAAAATCAAGACTACTTTCTACTAGTTGTCAAATATGTATTAGAATCATAACCAAACGGATTTTGCATGACACAACTTATAACATACTTACGATTTCTTCCGCGAGGCGAGGTGGGGGTCGAAGTCACAATACTGCGCGATAAATTTCTTGCTACATTCCCATGGTTAATGTCCACTCACCAGTATGTAGATACTAGTCAATGTGCGTCTTTATATTTGGTCTTATAATCCTAATTAGTTTATTATCACACTTGTATGCATTTGGAAACTAAATAAAAAGCAGACGATCTGCTGATACTTATAGTGAATTTATATTTTATTATATTATAGGATATTTATATAGCGCACATATCCACGCAACTAGTGCATGCTCAAGGCGCTGGTATTTTTTCCCTCGATCATTGAATGTCAATCTCAACAGCACATCGTATTATCAATCTCAACTCCTTGGGGAGTATACAACTCTTGCAGCCACTAGGCGCACCGAGTTATTGTGGCTTTCTCATCCTTACGAGGTACCCATTCACAGCTGGGTGGACTGGGACACATAGTCACAGTACTTTGTCCAAGTTTACTGCACGTTGCTGTACCCGCAACTGGGTGTTTGCACGTATTCATGTAGCCACCATCTGGTCATATACCAACGGATTAAGTAGGTTCTTTTAAGTGCACAGGGTTGTGTACTGTACACTAGGGGTTGCGACAACACTGAAAGAGTCTGTACACAAAGTTGACTCCAAGGTTTTACACCGGTCACAGGTGGGCTCGATCCGACACCTCAACCTCGCTGGATCACTAGCCAACAAACTGCCTTAGCCAGCTTCAAGCCCACCAGCGTAATTTATAACAGAACTGTAATATCTAGACATTTTATAGTTTGCCAATGTGAATCATAATTAAGCACACACACACCTAGTGCATGTTGTCTGTCTCATTACGGCTTCCGCAGTGAAAACAATGATTCTGTTGAATGCTCACGACAAATGAATAAAAACAAAATGCAAATATTAAAACTAAAACAGATTAAAGTTATAGGAACAATATCAGGCCATTACCTTGTTAGGAATGTATCCATCAATATCCACAAAACTGTTCCAAATGATGTGTCTTTTAACAGTTTAATATCTGAAAAAGTGATAAATCTTTTCAGGTATTGGTGTATAGTCTCATTGGTCACCAAGATAGCACACCTGGCAACTAATTTGCGTAATGTCCGCCTTTCTTTAAAAACAGTAATTTAGTTAGCCAATAATGGACAATCAATCAATGTATTGCCGGTTAATCCTTTGAAGAAGGGCGTTGTTTTTAATGCTTGAACACCGACCACGACAGAGTGTACTCAGTATAGATTAGTAAATCTACATACATAAACACTACCTTTTGACAATTCCGCTGTGTAAGATAAAAGTAATTAATCAATCAGCGTGTTATCGGTTAATCCTTTGATCGATGTTTATAATGTTGAATATTTACTCAGACACAAGAAAAGCCAAATGGGAACCTTTGTGGGTAATCTAAATGTGTTACCACTAATTATACCTGTTATAAATTCATTAACTGACCATCAAGTGAATGATGACAAATAACATGTGTAGGTTTATAACACTTAACACGGGTTACAACGAGGGAGTATTAATTGCTGTATTGCATGTGAAAACTTATGGGCCGACACTGTTTTGAGAATACAAACAGATTTTTACATGACATGATTAAATATCGAGGTAAAACAACACAGAAATGGGATCAATTTGGATCAGTCATTATACAAATAGGGCCCTAACGACACCAATCGATTTTGTCAGAATCGTCTATGAAAACAAGTTGTAACTTCGGAAACTAGGCAAAGCAGGAGACAAAATTAAATGACAGTAGATTGTGAGAACATATAGCTTTCATTTTCCACAACAATTAATCCGCGATTTCAGGTTTATACAAGCCAGTAAACACGATAATTTACCCCCTAAAATGTAGATGAATTCTGCATCGGCTCTCAAAGCTATTCCTCATATGACGTCACAGAGGCTCGCCGCTCTGATTGGTTGAAATTTCGTTCGCTGGTGAGAATTGTGCACTGTTGTCAAAAAGGTCGATTTAAGTCAATTAAAGGTCGAAATGAGTAGTTTTAATGACGGGGTTTCATTTATAACGATGCCAGTTAGTGATTTATGTATTTGTACCCCCTAGGGTTTATGTGACCTTTAAAAATTGATGATACTGGTAACACCCACATCACTGTTCCCTGACCTTCGTGGAGACAACTTGCTTCAAGAGCCTTCTGACACTGTCTTGTTGCGTTGCCAGGCCCTGACCCGCTACCAGATGTTGTTCCGTCACCTGTTCTACTGCAAGCACGTTGAGAGGCAGTTGTGCAGGTAGGTGTTGACAGCAGGAATACGTTGGTCTGTGCACTGCGGGTAGACTTTGTATGCACACCTTTGTGGTTTAACCTTGTGCAGTGTTGGTTGGGGTCTAGCCATGTTTGTTCAGGTTTGGGAGTCAATTAAGTGATGCCTCTAACTATGAGTCATTAAAGATAGATAGAGACACAAGACATTGTCCCAAAGCAAATCGTCATCTTCAAAATGTCTGTCAAAGACCTGATTCTAGATGGAAATACAGTCGCATGAGGAAGAGAGTCGGATGAGGAAGAGTGGGATGGGGAAGAGAGAGGGATGGGGAAGAGTGTGGGATGGGGAAGAGAGTCGGATTGGGAAGTGAGTGGGATGGGGAAGAGAGTGGAATGGGGAAGAGAGCCGGATGGGGAAGAGAGCGGGATGGGGAAGAAAGTGGGATGGGGAAGAGAGCGGGATGGAGAAGAGAGTCGGATGGACTGTGGTTCACATGACTGTAAATTAGTCTGGATGTGTGTTTAACACAGTAAATGGCCACTGAGATACAGACCCGGGTGATAGTTTTCAGTAGCAGCTTTAATACATAAACATGGCGCAATGTCTTAGAGGGCCAGATACTTCCGCTGTCTGCTCTTAAGGCTACTAGGGCAGTGGGCTAGCCTAGTGGTTAAAGCATTGGCTCGTCACGACGAAGACCCGGGTTCGAATCCCCACATGGGTAAAATGTGTGAAGCCCATTTCTGGTGTCCCCCGCCGTGATGTTGCTGGAATATTGCTAAAAGTGGCGTAAAACTAAACTCAGTCAGTCAGTCAGTCAGTCTGAAGGCTACTCATATTAACATTTGTAAGTTCACTAAAGGGTTGCAGGAGTTCAGATGGCTATGTTATGGAGATGCATGTGGTAGAGTTATGATATACTGCCAGGAGATGTGTGAGGCAGCTTGTACAACAATCTGGATGTGCAGAAGTCAGCATTGACATGGAATGCTGATACCATGGCCCAGCACCATGCTGTTACCATGATGCATCAAGAAACTGATGTTGTAGCTCTTATGAATGCAGCAATAAAAATACACAAAGCCATTTAGAAAGTAGTCAAATACCTATGTTATATTTGGGATTACACTTTCTTAGTAAAGTATAGATTCTAGTACTTTTGTTGGGTTGAGTCCTTTGTGTACTTTATGTGCTGGCGATTAGGTGCCTGACTCTGGGAGTGTGGGTTCGAATCCCGGATGGGACTCAACCCAACAGAAGTACTAGAATCTGTACTTTACTAAGAAAGTGTAATCCCAAATATAACATAGGTTATATGTAAAATACTGTTAACAAATGAAAGGGGGACATTTATCAACATCAACTTCTGTTTTATGAGGAACAAGTGCCCCCCTGGGAACCTCATTTCCTTTTGACAGTTGTGAAAGTGAGCTAGGTAGAATATTGGACTTGCTTTAAATGAATAGTTTGTCTTAATTAGGATGCAGAGATTCAGAAGGTAAGTCATCTCTTCTTTAGTTTCCTGGTAAGATAATCCTGTCAGTCTGAGATATACTAATGTTCAGATCACTAGCAATGCTCCAGGGTAACGGGACTGGTTTGTCTACGTGTTTCCTACGTTCAGATGTCTGAGGGATGATTGATGAGAATCCTCACTAGGGAGTGAAATCTTTTGTTGTGGGCTTTTCTTGATGTTGTAGAGGTATACCCACTGAGGCTGGATGCTTGAGTCTGCTGAGCAGGTTGTATCATGCAGTGATTAAGCAGGCTGATGTTTGGATGCAGCTTGAAAGTAATAAAACTAAGGTTTCATTCATAGTTAGTTAGTAACAAATTATTGCAAGAATCCTTCTGAATCAGCTACAAACAGGGCTACAGTTTTATGAGACATGTGCCTGTTGCTTTCTTTTATGAGATGTCAGGTTGTTTGGAACCCAGCTAGGTGATACGTTCCTGTCCCTGGTACTGACAACTGAGGTAGCTCTATGATGTGCAGTCATTCACCGTCACTCACCACCATACCATGAGTTCTCGAGATCATTTCTGGCATTGCTGAGGCCAGGACAGAGGTCATCGTCAAGGCTCTTTCTAGAACCTTAAACTCCTAGACCCATCTCTTTACATTGGCACAGAAACAGGGTCCTTCCCAAGGTCTCACATCTGTATGGGTGGCTCTTGGTATTGAGCCCTTGTTCTGCGAGTACATAATCACTGCTTCTCCTCAAGTTTGACCAATTTTCTAAAGGTCCCAGACTCTCCTGCTTGTTTTACTGACTTGTCACAGTGAAACAGTTTGCTGATGTGACTCCACTTTCTATGGTGATACCTCAATGACATCTGTTAATGTCCACAAGAAAAGATTTCACTATTATTTGTCTGTGAGGCTCAGCACTTCATCCCCTGTAACCTTGCTATAGCTAAAACTGGTAGTAACCTTTCTTAGATTCGGACTCTGCAAGGGACTAAAATGGTATCAAGACATGCTCACAGTCAGTGTAAAGATCCAACCTGTTCTGTCTGTCTCTTCACGTAATCTGTTTTTACCTGTCTCCTGATCAGTCATAATCCCAGCAGTCATGACGAGATTATGTGTGTAATATTTTCCTGTAGGCATTACTAATCCCAGATTACAGCCACTGGCAAGTAATGTATGTACTAGTGCTGATAGATGTAACAACCCTTCAAAATATCTGAAATATAATTTGTTTGAGATGTTTCTAATGTTTAGTAGAAACAGGTAATATTTTGTTTACATATCCTGCTTGAGACTGTCTATCCGTATAATTATGAGTGTTCCATGCTATATTTGTTCCCACATACCAAACAGCCCACACAATTGTAAGCTATTGCCTTGTGCCACATAGCAATCCCAGCAATAGTCACACTGTCATATCTCTCGTCTCGTCCCAAACCCCAACAATAGTCATTACCCAGACATCAGTTTGTGGGCCAGGTGTCCAGGCCCCACAGCCTCAGGTGGCAGACAACAGGCACACTGAGATGGCCTGGTCTGTGTCCAGGACCACCAGCCTTCAGGTGGCAGACAACAGGCACACTGAGATGGCCTGGTCTGTGTCCAGGACCCACAGCCTCAGGTGGCAGACAACAGGCACACTGAGATGGCCTGGTCTGTGTCCAGGCCCCACAGCCTCCAGGTGGCCGACAACAGGCACACTGAGATGGCCTGGTCTGTGTCCAGGCCCCACAGCCTCCAGGTGGCAGACAACAGGCACACTGAGATGGTCTGGTCTGTGTCCAGGACCCACAGCCTCAGGTGGCAGACAACAGGCACACTGAGATGGCCTGGTCTGTGTCCAGCCTTCAGGGTGGACCCACAGCCTCCAGGCCCCACAGGTGGCAGACAACAGGCACACTGAGGTGGCCTGGTCTGTGTCCAGGACCCACAGTCTCCAGGTGGCAGACAACAGGCACACTGAGATGGTCTGGTCTGTGTCCAGGCCCACAGCCTCCAGGTGGCAGAGACAACAGGCACACTGAGATGGCCTGGTCTGTGTCCAGGCCCCACAGCCTCCAGGTGGCAGACAACAGGCACACTGAGATGGCCTGGTCTGTGTCCAGGACCCACAGCCTCAGGTGGCAGACAACAGGCACACTGAGATGGCCTGGTCTGTGTCCAGGACCCACAGCCTCCAGGTGGCAGACAACAGGCACACTGAGATGGCCTGGTCTGTGTCCAGGACCCCACAGCCTCCAGGTGGCAGACAACAGGCACACTGAGATGGCCTGGTCTGTGTCCAGGACCCACAGCCTCAGGTGGCAGACAACAGGCACACTGAGATGGCCTGGTCTGTGTCCAGGACCCACAGCCTCCAGGTGGCAGACAACAGGCACACTGAGATGGTCTGGTCTGTGTCCAGGACCACACAGCCTTCAGGTGGCAGACAACAGGCACACTGAGATGGTCTGGTCTGTGTCCAGGACCCACAGCCTTCCAGGTGGCAGACAACAGGCACACTGAAATGGCCTGGTCTGTGTCCAGGACCCACAGCCTTCAGGTGGCAGACAACAGGCACACTGAGATGGTCTGGTCTGTGTCCAGGACCCACAGCCTTCAGGTGGCAGACAACAGGCACACTGAGATGGCCTGGTCTGTGTCCAGGCCCCACAGCCTCCAGGTGGCAGACAACAGGCACACTGAGATGGTCTGGTCTGTGTCCAGGACCCACAGCCTTCAGGTGGCAGACAACAGGCACACTGAGGTGGCCTGGTCTGTGTCCAGGACCCACAGCCTCCAGGTGGCAGACAACAGGCACACTGAGATGGTCTGGTCTGTGTCCAGGACCCACAGCCTCAGGTGGCAGACAACAGGCACACTGAGATGGCCTGGTCTGTGTCCAGGACCCACAGCCTCCAGGTGGCAGACAACAGGCACACTGAGATGGCCTGGTCTGTGTCCAGGCCCCACAGCCCCAGGTGGCAGACAACAGGCACACTGAGATGGTCTGGTCTGTGTCCAGGACCCACAGCCTCCAGGTGGCAGACAACAGGCACACTGAGATGGCCTGGTCTGTGTCCAGGACCCACAGCCTCCAGGTGGCAGACAACAGGCACACTGAGATGGCCTGGTCTGTGTCCAGGACCCACAGCCTTCAGGTGGCAGACAACAGGCACACTGAGATGGTCTGGTCTGTGTCCAGGACCCACAGCCTCCAGGTGGCAGACAACAGGCACACTGAGATGGTCTGGTCTGTGTCCAGGACCCACAGCCTTCAGGTGGCAGACAACAGGCACACTGAGATGCCCTTGTTCATGTGTCCAGGGCCTTCAGGTGGCAGACAACAGGCACACTGAAATGGTCTCGTCTGTGTCCAGGCCCCACAGCCTCAGGTGGCAGACAACAGGCACACTGAGATGGTCTGGTCTGTGTCCAGGACCACCAGCCTTCAGGTGGCAGACAACAGGCACACTGAGATGGTCTGGTCTGTGTCCAGGACCCACAGCCTCAGGTGGCAGACAACAGGCACACTGAAATGGCCTGGTCTGTGTCCAGGCCCCACAGCCTTCAGGTGGCAGACAACAGGCATACTGAGATGGCCTGGTCTGTGTCCAGGCCCCACAGCCTCCAGCCTCCTGGTCTGTGTCCAGGCCCCACAGCCTTCAGGTGGCAGACAACAGGCATACTGAGATGGCCTGGTCTCAGTCCAGGGACCCACAGCCTCCAGGTGGCAGACAACAGGCACACTGAGATGGTCTGGTCTGTGTCCAGGCCCCACAGCCTCCCAGGTGGCAGACAACAGGCACACTGAGATGGCCTGGTCTGTGTCCAGGCCCCCCAGCCTCCAGGTGGCAGACAACAGGCACACTGAGATGGCCTGGTCTGTGTCCAGGACCCACAGCCTCAGGTGGCAGACAACAGGCACACTGAGATGGTCTGGTCTGTGTCCAGGACCCACAGCCTCCAGGTGGCAGACAACAGGCACACTGAGATGGCCTGGTCTGTGTCCAGGACCCACAGCCTCCAGGTGGCAGACAACAGGCACACTGAGATGGCCTGGTCTGTGTCCAGGACCCACAGCCTCCAGGTGGCAGACAACAGGCACACTGAGATGGCCTGGTCTGTGTCCAGGCCCCACAGCCCCAGGTGGCAGACAACAGGCACACTGGTGGCTCGGCCTGTGAGACAACAGGCACACTGAGATGGTCTGGTCTGTGTCCAGGACCCACAGCCTCAGGTGGCAGACAACAGGCACACTGAAATGGCCTGGTCTGTGTCCAGGCCCCCCACAGCCTCTCAGGTGGCAAACAACAGGCACACTGAGATGGTCTGGTCTGTGTCCAGGCCCCCACAGCCTCCAGGTGGGTGGCAGACAACAGGCACACTGAGATGGCCTGGTCTGTGTCCAGGCCCCACAGCCTCCAGGTGGCAGACAACAGGCACACTGAGATGGCCTGGTCTGTGTCCAGGACCCACAGCCTCCAGGTGGCAGACAACAGGCACACTGAGATGGCCTGGTCTGTGTCCAGGACCCCACAGCCTCCAGGTGGCAGACAACAGGCACACTGAGATGGCCTGGTCTGTGTCCAGGACCCACAGCCTCCAGGTGGCAGACAACAGGCACACTGAGATGGTCTGGTCTGTGTCCAGGCCCCACAGCCTCAGGTGGCAGACAACAGGCACACTGAGATGGTCTGGTCTGTGTCCAGGCCCCACAGCCTCCAGGTGGCAGACAACAGGCACACTGAGATGGTCTGGTCTGTGTCCAGACCCCACAGCCTCCAGGTGGCAGACAACAGGCACACTGAGATGGTCTGGTCTGTGTCCAGGCCCCACAGCCAGGTGGCAGACAACAGGCACACTGAGATGGTCTGGTCTGTGTCCAGGCCCCACAGCCTCCAGGTGGCAGACAACAGGCACACTGAGATGGCCTGGTCTGTGTCCAGGACCCACAGCCTCCAGGTGGCAGACAACAGGCACACTGAGATGGCCTGGTCTGTGTCCAGGACCCACAGCCTCAGGTGGCAGACAACAGGCACACTGAGATGGCCTGGTCTGTGTCCAGGACCCACAGCCTCCAGGTGGCAGACAACAGGCACACTGAGATGGCCTGGTCTGTGTCCAGGACCCACAGCCTCCAGGTGGCAGACAACAGGCACACTGAGATGGCCTGGTCTGTGTCCAGGACCCACAGCCTCCAGGTGGCAGACAACAGGCACACTGAGATGGCCTGGTCTGTGTCCAGGCCCCACAGCCTCCAGGTGGCAGACAACAGGCACACTGAGATGGTCTGGTCTGTGTCCAGGACCCACAGCCTCCAGGTGGCAGACAACAGGCACACTGAGATGGTCTGGTCTGTGTCCAGGACCCACAGCCTCCAGGTGGCAGACAACAGGCACACTGAGGTGGCCTGGTCTGTGTCCAGGCCCCACAGTCTCCAGGTGGCAGACAACAGGCCCACTGAGATGGTCTGGTCTGTGTCCAGGACCCACAGCCTCCAGGTGGCAGACAACAGGCACACTGAGATGGTCTGGTCTGTGTCCAGGACCCACAGCCTCCAGGTGGCAGACAACAGGCACACTGAGATGGTCTGGTCTGTGTCCAGGCCCCACAGCCTCAGGTGGCAGACAACAGGCACACTGAGATGGTCTGGTCTGTGTCCAGGACCCACAGCCTCCAGGTGGCAGACAACAGGCACACTGAGATGGTCTGGTCTGTGTCCAGACCCCCACAGCCTCCAGGTGGCAGACAACAGGCACACTGAGATGGCCTGGTCTGTGTCCAGGACCCACAGCCTCCAGGTGGCAGACAACAGGCACACTGAGATGGTCTGGTCTGTGTCCAGGACCCACAGCCTTCAGGTGGCAGACAACAGGCACACTGAGATGGCCTGGTGTCTCTGTGTCCAGCCTTCCCACACAGCCTGAGATGGCCTGGCTGTGTCCAGACAACAGGCACACTGAGATGGCTCTGGTCTGTGTCCAGGACCCACAGCCTCCAGGTGGCAGACACAACAGGCACACTGAGATGGTCTGGTCTGTGTCCAGGACCCACAGCCTTCAGGTGGCAGACAACAGGCACACTGAGATGGCCTGGTCTGTGTCCAGGCCCCACAGCCCTCGGTGGCAGACAACAGGCACACTGAGATGGTCTGGTCTGTGTCCAGGACCACCAGCCTTCCAGGTGGCCGACAACAGGCACACTGAGATGGCCTGGTCTGTGTCCAGGCCCCACAGTCTCCAGGTGGCAGACAACAGGCACACTGAGATGGTCTGGTCTGTGTCCAGGACCATGCCAGCCTCAGGTGGCCGACAACAGGCACACTGAGATGGTCTGGTCTGTGTCCAGGACCCACAGCCTCCAGGTGGCAGACAACAGGCACACTGAGATGGTCTGGTCTGTGTCCAGGCCCCACAGCCTCCAGGTGGCAGACAACAGGCACACTGAGATGGTCTGGTCTGTGTCCAGGCCCCACAGCCTCCAGGTGGCAGACAACAGGCACACTGAGATGGTCTGGTCTGTGTCCAGGCCCCACAGCCTCCAGGTGGCAGACAACAGGCACACTGAGATGGCCTGGTCTGTGTCCAGGACCCACAGCCTCCAGGTGGCAGACAACAGGCACACTGAGATGGTCTGGTCTGTGTCCAGGACCCACAGCCTCCAGGTGGCAGACAACAGGCACACTGAGATGGCCTGGTCTGTGTCCAGGACCCACAGCCTCCAGGTGGCAGACAACAGGCACACTGAGATGGTCTGGTCTGTGTCCAGGACCCACAGCCTCCAGGTGGCAGACAACAGGCACACTGAGATGGTCTGGTCTGTGTCCAGGACCACCAGCCTTCAGGTGGCAGACAACAGGCACACTGAGATGGTCTGGTCTGTGTCCAGGACCCACAGCCTCCAGGTGGCAGACAACAGCACACTGAGATGGTCTGGTCTGTGTCCAGGACCCACAGCCCCAGGTGGCAGACAACAGGCACACTGATATGGTCTGGTCTGTGTCCAGGACCACCAGCCTTCAGGTGGCAGACAACAGGCACACTGAGATGGCCTGGTCTGTGTCCAGGACCCACAGCCTTCAGGTGGCAGACAACAGGCACACTGAGATGGTCTGGTCTGTGTCCAGGACCCACAGCCTTCAGGTGGCAGACAACAGGCACACTGAGATGGCCTGGTCTGTGTCCAGGACCCACAGCCTCCAGGTGGCAGACAACAGGCACACTGAGATGGCCTGGTCTGTGTCCAGGACCCACAGCCTTCAGGTGGCAGACAACAGGCACACTGAGATGGCCTGGTCTGTGTCCAGGACCCACAGCCTTCAGGTGGCAGACAACAGGCACACTGAGATGGTCTGGTCTGTGTCCAGGACCACCAGCCTTCAGGTGGCAGACAACAGGCACACTGAGATGGTCTGGTCTGTGTCCAGGACCACCAGCCTTCAGGTGGCAGACAACAGGCACACTGAGATGGTCTGGTCTGTGTCCAGGACCCACAGCCTTCAGGTGGCAGACAACAGGCACACTGAGATGGTCTGGTCTGTGTCCAGGACCCACAGCCTTCAGGTGGCAGACAACAGGCACACTGAGATGGCCTGGTCTGTTCCTGAAGCCTTTGCTTAGCACCTCCCAAACAGGAATCTTTCTTATCTCTTATTCCATGATCCATAATCACCATATATTTTTAGGCTTCTTTTTAATTGATAGATCAATAATTTCTGAATTCAAACAAAATATCTGACGTAACTGTTTCCCCTTAATCTATAAGCACAATGTTATCTTTGATCATAACATGAGATCACCATTATAAAATTGACGTAACTGTATTTCATTGTGTTAAATCTAGCTTCCACACTGGTCAGTCATTGTTCTATGAAAAAAATGTGTGTACAAGTTGGCTGTCAGGTCGTCACAAACATGACGTAATATTTGATCTACTGTCACATGTTTTTTGAGTCAGTTACTGTCTTTGATGGGTTCAGAATGCTTCAAAAGACATTGAAAATTGTTTATAAGTTTTCCTGGGAGTTTATGTTGCCATCTGTTTGCTCCTTGTAGTGAAAATCAATTTACTCTTTATTGAAAGAAGTTGGCCAAGAGTTCCCTCACCTCCAAGTATGCAGGGATGAAAATTTTGCGTGGATTTGATTGTGCTGGGGCATTAGATCTGGCATGGGGACCTACGGCCCCCAACACCCCCGGCCCCCAACAGCCCCAGCTCATGTTCCACTGTTTTCAGTCATACCCATTCTCATCCCTATGTATGTGTCCTTTGCTGCAGTGTGTGGATCGGCAGCAAGTCAGCCAAGAGCTCCTCCCTACAGTGGTCTCGCTGGTACTCCTCCGCCTTCGCTCTCCGACAACGGATGCTGAACTTTGTCCAGAACTTCGAATACTACATGATGTTTGAGGTGGTGGAACCCAACTGGCACATCTTCGGCCACAACATGGAGACCGTGAGTGTGCAGGAACCACTTGTCAGCCATGTTGCATGATGGTATCAGCCACGTGGTTCAGGTGTTCTCTCTGTGGGCTTATTTGATATCACCATGAGTACAATGTCAGACCTGCTTTATGACATGCCACATGTTGATGAAATAAACTGATGAATCCTAAATTCCCTTGTCTGTAGTATGAGCATGATGAATATTTGCTACTACCACCAAGATCTGCACCCGAGGCGGCTCCACTCAGGCTCACGCCCCAAGCTTCCAAGCTCACCTCGACGACCCTCTACATGTCAGGCCTATACAGGACCGTTGCGGCACGATAGAAGCCCTCGGGGGAGTCACTCCGCAACGGTCCGGTATAGGCCCGACATGAAGGTCTGAGCAAGATCTGTCAATACTGATTCCAGGACAGGGAAGGTTCCAAGTAACACATTCATGTTGACTAACATGTGCTGGCTACAGTGGAGGACCCTCAGACTGTTAATACTGATGACTAGATATCTGTAAGTCTGTATGAGTACATATGTTAAAGTACAAATTTTCAAAAGAAAGGTCATTCTTACCTCCATCTTTTGACAAAACTTGAAAGAACATGTAAAGGAATGTGATTGTTGCAGGTGTCGAATGTGGATGATGTGTTGGCGTACCACACGGACTTCCTCAACAACTGCCTGAAGGACTGCATGCTCACGAACCCCGACCTGCTGAAGATTGTCCACAAGCTGATGATGGTGTGTGTCACCTTCTCCAACTTTATACAGGTCAGTACAACAGTCTGATGACCTGCTGGGTCTTGCTGTTAAAACTGAGAAATATAAACTCATATAATTTCCATGTTGTATTGTAGTATTTATCTTGTTGTTAAATGTTTTCTCTGTAGAGGCTGAATCAGAGCACGTCTGTGGAGAGCGAGGTTGACCGGCTGACCCAGGCTACTCTCCAGGCCACTGGCAGTGAGAGGAGGGAGGAATCCCAGAAGAAAAAGGCCGCTACCAAGGTAAGTCTGTCACACTGTGTACTGTGATCCTCTCCGCACATGTAGGCCTCCAGGTCTGTCTGCCAGCTGCACATATAGGTCTGTAGGTCTGTCTGTCAACTACACATGTAGCTTGCAGGTCAGTTTCTCAACTACACATGTAGGTCTGTCTGTCAACTACACATGTAGGTCTGCAGGTCTGTCTGTCAACTACACATGTAGGTCTGCAGGTCAGTCTGTCAACTACACATGAAGGTCTGCAGGTAAGTCTGTCAACTACACATGTAGGTCTGTCTGTAAACTACACATGTAGGTCTGCAGGTCAGTCTGTCAACTACACATGTAGGTCTGCAGGTCTGTCTGTCAACTACACATGTAGGTCTGCAGGTCTGTCTGTCAACTACACATGTAGGTCTGCAGGTCTGTCTGTCAACTACACATGTAGGTCTGCAGGTCAGTCTGTCAACTACACATGTAGGTCTGCAGGTCAGTCTGTCAACCACACATGTAGGTCTGCAGGAGTCTGTCAACCACACATGTAGGTCTGTCTGTCAACTACACATGTATGTCTGCAGGTCAGTCTGTCAACCACACATGTAGGTCTGCAGGTCTGTCTGTCAACTGCAAGGCAGTCTGTCAACCACACATGTAGGTCTGCAGGTCAGTCTGTCAACCACACATGTAGGTCTGCAGGTCTGTCTGTCAACCACACATGTAGGTCTGCAGGTCAGTCTGTCAACCACACATGTAGGTCTGCAGGTCTGTCTGTCAACTACACATGTAGGTCTGCAGGTCTGTCTGTCAACTACACATGTAGGTCTGCATGTCAGTCTGTCAACTACACATGTAGGTCTGCAGGTCTGTCTGTCAACTACACATGTAGGTCTGCATGTCTGTCTGTCAACTACACATGTAGGTCTGCATGTCTGTCTGTCAACTACACATGTAGGTCTGCAGGTCAGTCTGTCAACTACACATGTGGGTCTGCCAGTCAGTCTGTCTACATGTTGACATACATTGGGACATTGTGTGTTAAGCTCATGGAGATTCTGGTAAGTACCTGCTCAATATCCACTATTTTCACACAATACATCAACACTTGGAAGGCCCTACTTGATTGTTCAAACAACACTTACTTTGCAGCAACTAATCCTGCACTACTTAGTGCACTTATTGCTTATGGCTTGAAAGGCGTGGCTTGCCAGACGATGTTAAAAGATGTAGAACTGCAATCACTACCTGGTCTTGGCTGCTACTCGTCTACGCATGCGTCACCGGAAGGTGACATCAGCCACCTCAGATTATTGCTTTTTGCACGCCTCGCTGGACGCGTGGGTTGCCAGCTGTTCATTGTATCCTATGGGATTTTTTGTGTGTGCTTAATAAACTTATTATTTTTGTCCTCAACGAGAAGTGTAGGTATTATCTTTCACTTTCTCTTGTTATTTTAGTTCAGTAGTTCTGTTTAGTGATGTCGTTCATTTATAACACGGTCCCGTCATCACTCTATCACTTCGCCATTACAACACTTCACCGTATTTGTAGTCGTTGTGTTTTATTTGGTTCAGGCTTATATACTATACCATATAATAGTGGTATATTTATAATGTCTGTATTATGGTCTCTTTATCATTCAGTTTTTTGAGACTTTGTTCTCAATTATGCTGTTGTATTCATTACCATTGTATGTAATGTTTTTATGTGCGTTTACTGGGTTTTCTGCTTTATTGCAGATCCATGTACAGCGCAAGTTGTATACATTGTAGGGGTGGGAAGTCTCATAAAGACCCTCATCCCCGATGTTTGAATTGTACCACTCAATGTTCCCATGGCCATAAATGTGCCAGCTGCGCTGTTCTTTCACCCAAGAGTTTTTCCGTTTATCTCCAGGTTTCTAGGAAGTGCCTGGGACAACAGAGACGGAAGAATATATCTTCTACTTTGACGCCGGTCTTGACGACCGCTACATCTACATCCAGTGTTGCAGCGTCCACTGTTTCTCCGAGTGCGTCTGTCACCAGCATCCAGATGATGACCTCGCCTCTTATGTCACCGTGCGTTACAGCGTTTGGCGCTTAGCGCCTCCGGACTTGGAACTTCAGCGCTTGGCGCTTCGTCGCTTGGACCTTCGGCGCCTGACGCTTCGGCGCTTGGCGCTCCCTCACCTCCTACGCTGTTGCCGATGTTGTCACCGCAACGACCGATGGGTCAGCAGTTTGCGCCGTGTCAGGTGGCTCAGGCTCCCGTGTCGCAGTCCTTTCCAGTGTTCCCGGGGCAGGCGCCTTATGCGTATCAACCATCTACAGGGTTTCAATGCCTCAGGTGTCTATGATGCAGACGCCATACGGCCACCAGCAGTTTGATGTGTCCACGCTCAGCACTCTCTTGACTTTATTATCAGGTCAAGCCGGTACCTCAGCGCCTATGCCATTTATGCCACCAGCAACATCGGCGCCTCTCCCTCCTACAGCGCATCCAGCCACCTTTGCCACCTCTGACGATTACTATGATGCTATGGCAGGGCAAAGTCCTCACTGACATGCGTGAGCACCTTCGGTCAGCGCTTGCCAACACATGCGTAATTCGTCGGCAAGGCTTCCTCTCCTTTTCTTCATGGGATTCAGAGTTTCAACGGAAATTATTCCACCAACCCTGGTCATCGTCGATACTATTTAACAACGCCATTCATGACATTTATCGGGAGGTGAGTGAATTTGCCAAAGGGGAGACTGCCTTGAAAGCTTTTCAAAAGGGACAACGTCCTTTCTCCATGCCATTCAACACCTACCAGCCTCGGCGACCATATGTTCGTCGTGCCAGAAACCCAGCGCCGTCGTGGCAGGGGACGTGGTGCCAAGCCTAGATCAGACAGGGGAGGATATCAATGTTGCCGTGCTCCCGCCCAGAGGCGACAGGCGTAGGGGCAAGTGAAGTGAGGGACATGCACGACTGGACACTCCCACCTCTAGTCGTCCCTGTTTATCCTACACCCGTAGGTGGGAGAATAGGGATCTTTTGGGAAAATTGGTCCATCCTAGAGGATCCATACGTCACTGATATATTGAGGCAGGGATTTCGGCTCCCCCTCCTCTCCGATCCACCTCTGACGCTGTTCCCTCTCCGGCACAATCACTCCCAGATTCAACACGACCTCTTAGCGGAGAACATAGTGATTCTGTTGGAGAAAAGAGCCGTCGAATTACTCCCGTATCCCGTCACAACACCAGGGTTTTATTCTCCAATATTCTTAGTGCCGAAGAAAGTGTCCACGAAAATGAAGATGATTCACAATCTGTCCTATTTCAACGAGACTTTCCTGGAACGTCCTCTGCACTTCCAAATGACGTCTCTCGAATACCTCAAACTATGGTATGTGTCAACGACTTCCTCATCAGCCTGGACCTGCAGGATGCATACCTCCATGTTCCAATACGCCCTAGCGACAGGAAGTATCTGCGCTTTATTTTCAACAATCAACATTTCCAATGGGCTGTCCTCCCATTTGGAATTTCAACAGCCCCGTGGTTGTTCATGCGTATCACAACTCCTATTTCCCGGTATCTTCATTTGAGGGGCATCAATTTCGACCCGTACCTGGACGATTGCCTTATGCACCTGTTAGACCGTCTGCTTCTTATACAACAACGGGATTTCACCCTTCGTCTGTTGCGCCAACTAGGTTGGCTGGTCAACTTGGACAAATCGGAGCTTGTCCCCATCTCACACACATTCATCGGAGGCCATTTCCAGACGGACAAGAACCTAGTTCAGATTCCTCTGGACAGGTGGGACAAGATTCAGTCTCTGATACCACGTGCGCTCTCCAAACCTCTGTCTCTCCGAGAGTGGCAGGCGCTCCTGGGATTGTTGACGTCGGCGCAGGATCTTACCAGCAGAGGGCGTCTTCAACTTCAACCTCTGCAGCGCTATTTTCAACCATACATTGGTCGGGCAGACGTTCATCAACGGTTTTGTCTTCCACCTCAGTTACATCGCTATCTGCTTTGGTGGACTCGCCCATTGAACGTCTTAGGAGGAGTCTCTTTGACAGAGCGGCCTCCGGATTACCAACTGTTCGTGGACGCCTCCATGCAGGGTTGGGGCGCTCACTTACACGACCAGACAGCCGCCGGCCTTTGGTCGGGTCAACACCAAAGCTGGCATATAAACAGTCTGTAGTTGAAGGCCGTAATCCTCGCTATTCATCACTGAGCGCATCGACTACGAGGAACTTGTCTTCTGGTGGCCACAGACAACACCACGGTGGTGTGGTACATCCGGAAGCAAGGGTCGACACGCTCACAGTTTCTTCTCGATCATACTTTTCGTCTCTTTCAACTGGTCGACAATCTCCACATTCTGTTGGGAGTTCGGCATATTCCGGGGTGCCACAATATACTAGCAGGCGCTCTCTCGAGACCCGACAGAGTTGCTCCCACGGAATGGATGCTACACAAGGAGGCCTTCACTCTCCTAAGTCACGCATTGGGTTCTCCAAACATAGATCTGTTTGCCACCAGCCAAAACCATCAACTGCCTGTGTATGTGTCCCCAGTCCCAGATCCAGCGGTTGGGCGGTGGATGCTCTCAGCCTATCGTGGGAGGAGCTTCACGCGTATGCGTTTCCGCCATTAGTTCTATTACCTAAAGATCTCAAAAGTCAAGGAGACAACTTGCCTGCGACTGATTTTGGTCGCACCTTGGTGGCCAGCCAGGAACTGGTTTCCCGTTCAAAAAGACCTAGTGGTAGGAGATCCCTTCCCTCTACCCACGTGGAGGAACGTTCTTGTGCACCCTCACAGCCGTCTCTTGCATCCTGCTCCAGATCGGTTCAATCTGCACGCATGGACCATTTGCAGAAAGCACTGAGTGCTAAGGGGTTTTCGGCCAGAGCAGCCAAAGCCATTGCGACGACGCACAGAACTTCTACTAGACACTTGTATGACGACAAGTGGCAGTCGTTTGAACGATTTGGTGTTACCAGGAAGCAGGAACCGCTGAAAGTGTCTCCTCAGTTCATAGCAGACTTCCTACTTTATCTCCAAACGTCCAGGCGTCTCAAGGGAGGCACCATTGCCACGTATTTGGCGGCAATTAGCTCAGTTTTAGCGGTTCCCACTGACAGAAGGATTTCCAAAATCCCAGAATTACAGGCCATGCTTCGTTCGTTCAGACTTGAAGACCAGAAGTTGAAGTTTCGTCCGCCGGCATGGAATCTCAACACTGTTTTAGACCATCTCCATGGTGCACCTTATGAACCTCTTGAGAACACTTCCCTCGCTGATTTATCCAGGAAGACGGCTTTTCTTTTGACTTTAGCAACTGCGGCTAGAGTGAGTGAGGTTCACGCCCTAGACGTGACTAATAACGTCGTCATCATGGTTCTGTGCATTTGGGTCTGTGTTTGGATTTCATCACTAAAAACCAACTACCAGGTCAACCTGATCGACAGTTTTCCATTTTGCCATTATCATCTATTGTTGGCACTGAAGACGATGCTGAATTGCTTTTATGCCCGATTCGTGCGCTCAAAACTTACATTGATCGCACCAAAGGTGTCCGTGGTACAAGGAAACGGTTATTTCTTCCCCTATCCCGGGCGTCACAGTCAGATGTCAGCAAAAACACAATTGCCTTATGGTTAAGAACGACCATTCTTCAGGCATATAAAGCGGCTGGGCTGGACCCTCCACGTCCTCTCATCCACACGAGATTCGAGCACTTGCTTCGACTATGGCACTTTTGTACTGTGTCATCCATTATGCAAGGTTGTTTTTGGCGGTCGGACACAGTTTTTGCCAGTCATTATTTGCGGACATGGCCGTCAAGGATGTTGACGATGTCCACAGCTTCGGACCATTGGTGGTTGCCCAGCAACTCGCCATGCCCCGAAGAGAGTGACCCTCCTGCCTTGTGTTTTCTTCCCACGGACCACCATGTGGGGAATGAGTTGTTTTTCTTCAGAAACTACTAGGTATGTCAGTTAAGGAGTTATCCTTGTATTTCAAGTCCATGCTTTTTACTGCATTCCTTAAGCTTCCCCAGCTTTAAAATTAGTGGTTTCTTTTCATTTAAGACTTGGTCTTATTTGCGAATTACCACTACCTGATCGCCACTCGCTGATTTGCTCTCTGTTATAGGCGCATTACCAACGCTTCCCGAGCACGGGATTTACGGATTGAGCTGGCTGCTATTACATAAGCGAGGCGATCCCTCAGATGACAAGCCCACCTTCCAGCCTGTCGGATAAAGTGCAGGAAGTAAGTAGTGCAGGATTAGTTAAAAAATTAGTAAAATCTAAATATTTTTATATTTGTATACTTATCCTGCACTACTTATGATAAGGGCCCACCCTGCGCTATCAGCTACCTCCCCGCTTCATATGCCATCTGTGGGATTTCTGGCAATAATCTGAGGTGGCTGACGTCACCTTCCGGTGACGCATGCGCAGAACAGTAGCAGCCAAGACCAGGAAATGATTGCAGTTCTACATCTTTTAACATCGTCTGGCAAGCCACGCCTTTCAAGCCATAAGCAATAAGTGCAGGAACTAAGTAGTGCAGGATAAGTATACAAATATAAAAAATAGTTAGATTTTACTAATTCTGTGACATGTTTTTATTAGGTCGTGACAGAGCATGTTGATCAACTGGCCAGCAGTGAGAACTTTGAGCGGACGATCCACAACTTTGACACCAACTTCTCTCGTCTCCTGGTCGACCTGCTGGACAAGATCATGGACTTCAGTAGCACAAACTACGAACACAAGCTCTTCAACATTCTGTACAGGTAGCAACCACAACTACACGTTCTTCCTTCTATCTTAGTAGGTGTGTGTATGTTCATCGTGATGTTGAGGTAATGAGATTGGTGTGGAGACATACTAGTTTGTATGAATATCTCTTTCAGACTGGATTTCAACGGGTTTTACACTGAGAAGCTGGAGGCCAAGTCTGCAGAGCGGGTTCGTCTTGATGCATCCGTCAGTTCGGGGTCAAGTGAGTGTTTGCATCGTTTAAAGTTTAAGTAATTACATGTATCTGGTTCCATGAAAACGTCTGACTGAGTATGTTACACAATACAAAGTAAGTAGATATTAAATATGAGTAGTTTGAATAAATCTGACCATCTTACCTGTCAGTTCCCGTTATATCTAGATGTATCCTTGTGTTCTTTGTTTTAGCCTCAGTAGACGACTGATTTATACCAGCTGGTAAATCTTGTAGATTAGTTTGGAAAAGTTTGTTTGTGTTGCTTGTAATGATATTACAGTTGAACTCCCTTATATTGAAATGTTCAAGTTATATTAACATGTTATTTTGAGTTGATACAGTTGTACATGATATTTGACTAACTTCCAGTTGGCACGTACACATGATGACATCTCTAGGTAACATTGACATCTTGTAGCCTGTACCCACTCTCACACATCTCACATGGCAGCAGGAACTGCCTCGTCTTGCCGCACATCCAGCTGTTAGTTTCCTACACTACACTTCCTTCCCTACAACTCCAGCACTGGTCCCAGAGAAGGACCCCAGTCACTCTGTCTGTTTACTGTATCTGAGTGACAGTTGGTCTAGGCAAGTCTGCTTGTATTGAGAGGCAGATGGTGAGCTCCGTGACTTGTTGATGGTGCGTGACTGTACCCCAGTAACATCAATCCCTGGTTTGTTGAAGATGCTTACAGACGTCCATAGCTGGAATATTGCTGCCTGCAGTTATACACAACAAACATGGATATAGGTAGGGGTGAAACGGTATACCGCGGTATTGGTAGAACTGCGGTATTTTGCCTTCAGTTCAGTACACTGTAATGCAATCCAAAACTTCGTTTTTTTCGGTTTTCATACAGTCATTTTATTAATCATTTTAAACCTTTTCTAAAATGTCTAGAAATTGATTCATTTGGTCAAAATCTATGCATTTCTTTGCTTGACGGCCGCTATTTTCCTGGAAGTAAGTTCGAGATCGCCTCAAGTCGTCTACTTAGAAAGTCAGCAAGACAACAACTACAGATACCAAATCAATAGCTGAGTTCTGTTTCTTTTTCAGTTATTTCAAATCAGACGAACAGTGAAACATTGTAATAACTTATTGAAGTTACTTACGATGTTTGCAGTGATGCAACACTCCGCGTTATAGCACGAGGAAACACTGCCATCCGAAAACGTATAATGTCAGAAAACTCATAATAAAACGATCTACCTCAATTTCATTTTATTTCATTAAATTTAATCCCATTTTCATTTATTAAAACTGTTTACAGTAACATTGGAGAAAACGTGTGTGAAATGACATCACCTTATTCTATACGCGTACCACTTCCGCTTACCTTGTTCATAAGGGTCCGCTTTTCGCACAATCCGCATTAGCACCAATTTCACATTATTCTCAGCAATCACGAACAAATTACCGCCTCGTCATCCATGGACCCCAAGACCCGTGTTATTGACTCATTGAAGTCATATTTCACAATTAATTGCCAATATTGTGTTTTTACAATCAAAGAGACGGGTACCGCGCGGGAAGTCAACAGTGACTTGTCAAACTGCCTCATACGTAAAATGTATCCAGCCACGTAACCCAAAGTGCTGAACCTATGTTAATTATTATGTTAAATGCGTTCGTAGAAAACATGCATTATACTAATACGATAGCAATATATAATATCTCTGTTAAAATAACTGCTTAAGATATAAATTATTCTGATAATGGATAGAAATCCTTTGATGTTATATTTTCAGGTCGTTTTTAACTGAATCACCGGTAGATTGGAGCAAAACATGAGTACACACTACACAGCTGATTGTTATTTCCAGCTTAGTTACATAACAGGTAGCATAACAGGAAGGACAACTGAATTATTGTGTCTAATGATTTTTAATTTGATTGCAGGTTTCCTATACACATATTTATTTTACAAAATTTGTTTTTTCACCTCCGACGATACGATATAGTTTTGACTGAAAAAGCAGTTCTGTTATGTCCATGGAAAATAATTTTTACTTGGCCTTTATTCTGGGTTATGTAAAAGGCGGGTGTCTCATAACTCGGGGGATCATCCATAGACCCCCATATGGATCTGGTGGCTTTCCCATCACAGTTCTTATGCCTTATGTTTGTTTGTTGTTGCTACCATCTCATTACAAGCTATATCAATAAACCATAACGACCGATAAAAAGAAAAAGCAGCTTTCCCAGGCTAAAACATATTTGTTTCAAAAAGGAGAAATACATTTCTGGGTGAACTTTGAAAGATATTTTGAATGAATTTGAAATGATTTAGATCAAGGACAATCATCTGTCACACAGACTGTAACTGCCTTATGACAACTGTGTTGAGTTAATTTGTTAAATTTATTTATCCGTGATATGTCATCAACAAGAGTCACATTCGACAAGATCTGATTTGTGAATTGTTTTTAGTGTTTTTTAAGCATGAACATTTTCTGGGACGTGGTGATTTCACTGCAGTAAATGCTGATGTGATTTTAGTGACTTTTAATCATACTTGGCTACTTGCTATTTTGCCACACAGCTGTGAGCTCCAAGGTTCCAGTGATATTTTAATTCTTCTATCTTGTCATGAAATGACAGTTTTGTTCATTCAAAATAAAGATTATGATGATTTGTTTCCCATGTTATTAAACAGAGTAAGGTTAGCCTCTTGTTGTCAATTTTCTGAATTATGATAGTGTATCATATACCGAGACGAAACGGACCGAACCGAAGGCCTTGTACCGCAATAAGTACCGTACCGTCGCAAGGGCGTAGCGTTTCACCCCTAGATATAGGCTGATTGCTGTGTGTGACCTGGCTGACCTGTCTATACTGGCTTGTCTGATTAGTGATTAGTTGATTAAAGACTGCGGTGACATGTCTGTGAGGTGACTGTCTCACTCACACGTTCTTCTAGTCATTCAATCACACGTTCTTCTAGTCATTCACTCACACGTTCTTCTAGTCATTCACTCACACGTTCCTTTAGTCACTCACTCACTCTACTTTTTTCTTGTTGCTATATGGCTGAAATAAAGTAGATGTGATGTTAAGATGTTAACAGTTCCCACTAATACTTACTTATTTCTCTGATGTCTCCTGATCTACACACTCTTTTGTTCACTCTCTTTCTCACTCATTCATACAGTTACATGCTTTTTCCTTCTCTTGGGGCTGTCGGGAAGCCTAGTGGTTAAATTGTTCGCTCATCATGCCGAGACACAGGTTCCATTCCCCACATGGGCACAATGGGTCAAGCCCATTTCTGGTGACCCCCGCCGTGATATTGCTGGAATATTGCTTAAAAGCGGTGTAAACTAACTCACTCACTCACTCACTCACTCACTCACTCACTCACTCACTCACTCACTCACTCACTTTACTCAACTCACTCACTTTACTCAACTCACTCACTCACTTTCAGCGGAATATTTTGTTTTATGTGCATGCTTGTGTACAGTTACAACGAAACATTAAACAAACCCAGTTATCTTTATGGTTTGGGATGATGTAACTTTTTATGGGACATTCCTGGTAGAGTGTTTGTTGCTAATTAATATCTCTGCAAGAACAACAGACTTCGATGTCTTAGACACTATATCAAGTAAAAGTGGTGTTGATTGTATTTGCCAGCAGCGTTGTGTGTGCCTGCCTCACTTCAGCTTGCTTCCATTCTCTCACTGTCTTGTGAATATTTTGAATTTTTCTGACAACTTGAAGAATAGTTGTAAGGCCGTCATAGTTCTATTCATCATTTGCTTACATTTGCCATATTGCTTATGACATTTTTCTGATTAGGCCATCAGACATTGGATATATTTATTGATTTCTTGGCCAGGTGGCACAGATCAAAACAAGGATCGTGGGCCACATTACAAACAGAGATCAGCACCTGTTTAACTTTCATAGTTCTACAAAATGTTTAGTTTGCAGGGTTTTACGGACCTCCAATGAAATAAAAGGATCCTGAACATAATGAAATGATGTAGCAGACTACAAAAAGGTTTAATGATTATTTTAATGACATGAACTTTATGTCTCTTGTTGCAAATTTTGAACAGTGAATATTATTGTACTTCCCAGGGGACCCAGTATATGTGTGCTTCTGTGTCCATACTATACATTGGTAGGTACTGGAAGCACATTTCTGCATTGTGTAAAACCCTGAGATTGCTTCATGAAACAGGCCCCATCACTGATACGTCATACAAATACATTCATATGAAAGCTCATGAATTCAGTGTTTCATTTTGTATTATACTCTTCATTTCCTTTATTGATTGTATAAGTAGCCAGGGCAGGTAAAACTGTGAATGCAGCCTTACAGTGAGAGTGACTAGTGAGAGATGTTAGTGTCTAGTGAGAGATGTTTGTCTTGAGTGTCTAGTGAGAGATGTTTGTGTCTAGTGAGAGATGTTTGTGTCCACAGGTTCCTCAGGGTCCTGGCCTACCGCTACCTTCACCAGTCAGAGACCAGACACTGCCCGGTATGTCCCGGGGATACACAGGAACCTGCCTGGGACGTCCTGATTGTTGGGGGGTCTGGGAGAAACATGGAACTTCTCTCTTCACAATCTTGTAAAGCAAAACAAGTGGCAGAACTCCAGATTGTGTTTCATGACCTTCTATTTCAGATTTGTGTGTCAGACAATATTTAAGGGCAACACATCAAGCCCCAAGTAACCAGCCTCAGTCAGATATAGTATGATGGCCATGTAACCTTTCATGACTAAGGTCATCATTTGAAGGTCACTAATTTCAAGGTCAAACATGTTGAGGTCACACAGAAATATTTATTTTACCTACTCTGAAATATGACAGTGGGGTGATTGGGGTGCTTTGTTTTTTTAAGCAATATCTATCATGCAGATTTCGATGGAAGTCATTGTTATGTAATGAGAAAACTTGTTTGTTGGATTGTTATATAATGACTTGTTATATAATGACTTGTTATATAATGACTTGTTATATAATGACTTGTTAAATGCTGTCAGTTTTTCTGGTGGATATATTCATGTGTGAGTTGGAAAGGCAATAATGGTGATATTCCCCTAATAACCTGAGTAAACATTCGCTACTGTATATATCCCTATGTATTGCCACCATGTATGTGTTTTATTGACTGGTACAGAAATATTGAATCTCAGAGGAAACCTGTCTCTGGACAATAAAACTCAATTTACTTTTCACACAGACCTTTGCCAATCAAACAGAACAGATTCCAGGTCCTTTGGTCAGAATATCATGTTTTGCTAAAAACAAAACCCAAATGTTTTAGTTGATTTTTTTGGATCTGCCCTCAAAGAAAGAATTATTCTATATTTAGACCAGACATGAAATACGTGAGTACAGTTGTACACAGCGTTCAGCAATGTTGCTGTGATGTCACAGCTGGAGATGCCCCAAATGGCTGTCACACGTTGTACACAGCGTTCAGCAATGTTGCTGTGATGTCACAGCTGGAGATGCCCCAGATGGCTGTCACACGTTGTACACGTGGGGAATTGAAATAGAGCAACTGTATCATGATCCCCATTTACAGGATGGATTGTCAGGTTGTCAGTTTACTAAATGGGTTACTTCGGTACATGTCTTGTATAGAGACAGTATCAGGACACTTTAGGACACAACAATGATCAAAGTACTGGACTGTGTACGACAAGTGTTGCTCCACAACATACAGGCTGGTGATTATATATTTCTAGACAGATGAGAATGCATAGGCGGATCCAGAGTGGGAGAGCAGGGGTGCGCACCCCCCTTTTGTCCTAAAAGTTTATTAAATGACCATTGAAACTCTTGTGAAAAGGTGTGAAAATAAAGTGTGTGTGCACGCACGCACACACACACATTTGATTTCAGTTTCCCTTTTAAACTAAGTGATTTATCATATAATCAGTTCATATGTATTTTGGTATTTTGTCCTTAAGGAAAAGAAGTATTGTTTAGTTATGTCCCAAATGTCAAGGCCTAGTGTTTGATTGTGTCTGTCTGTGAGTGAACTTAAGAACCTGTGTGATGACTCCCCTCCATCTGAACCTACCAGAGGATGGGACAGCTGTTACCATGGTGACAGGGATTCCTGCTTGCTTCACCATAACTTGTACTTATACATTGAAGTGTAACATAAATACATGTTGAAACAGCAGTGTGTTGTGTTTCCTTACTGTGTAATTACCTGGGGAGTTGATGGTCAGAAGCCTATACTTGTGCCCTTACATCCACAACACCTTGTGCTGACTGAAGTGGAAACGTGTGATCCGAGTTAGTGGAACACTGCTCATATGATCAACACCATTGATTGATTATTGCCTGGTGTGAAGTATTGGCAATAAAAAGAACTGGAATGTTTCTTCCTGCCTCCTGAGGGCGAAATATTAGTGTTGCATGGAGAACCTAGGATCCATGCTTACAATAAGTTTATATATTTAAACCAAATTTGACCCCAGATAATAGTTTTCTGTTAAATCCATGATCTGATCCTTAGCAAAATGTGAATAGTATATTTGGTCCATACGGAATAATTAAATGTCAGATCTCAACGAAAAAGAACAAAAACTAGTTTATTCATAGGCTTTTCATGGCAAAAATATCACTCATTTTGTAGTACTGACAACTATGGTCGTATGACGTTAACACGGTCGGTCATTGGCAAGATGCTGGCGTGTGATCCTCAACAAATCACATGTCAATAACCAAGCACAACGTCAATATCTGGTATAACCTCCGCCATCTGCAATCACATCCCTGGCTGACTTCATCACCTGTATCAGTCATTGAATTTGAAGATGAGGTATTGCGTTCCAGTCTTTATGGAGAGCTTGTTCCAATAAATTAAGATTTTGTACTGAAGATCTCTGTCGTATTCTTCGACCCATAATGTCCCAAACATGCTCTATAGATATGCTCTCGCCCCTTGACGTAGTACATCACCCAGGTGCGTGCTCGATGTGGCCTACCTTGTACATGAATCGTTCAGGACCGTAGACAGTCCATGTACAAGACAATGAGGATTAACAGTAGGAATTAAAATCATTAACAGTAGTTAAATTATTCTAAACGTGGACATATGGCTACATGGTAATTTGGCAATAGAGTTCACTGGCATACATAAGTCGTGATAATATACAGTCGACTTTTAGCAGAGACAGAAAATGATCAGACCGACACAATTCAGTCTTGGAAATATCACAGTAAGATTTGACAATACATGTACGTTTCTGTTGATACTGAAGACACGCGATGCTTTTGTTCATGGACACCTGACGTTAAAGTTATCATCTTGTGGACAAGCTCATTGTTTCAGTCGGAACGCACAAGACACGTCAGTATCCATGATGAAATGACAGAAACCTTCCGACAGAATGTATCCGGGACCTATAGACACAATACTTGACATTTTAGATACGTTCTTGCTGTCGTCTTCATCGTCGATATGCTTGCAAAAGTGAATTCTTCATTCATTCATTCACATTCATTCATTCAGGTTCTGTACACACAGATAGGACCGCCACATAGATAGTCACTGCGCAGGTTCTTACACACAGATAGGGTTCACATAGATAGTCACTGCGTTCACACACAGATAGGACCGCCACATAGATAGTCACCGCCACATAGTCACTGCGTTCACGGGTTAATATTACACACAGATAGGACCGCCACATAGATAGTCACTGCGTTCACAGGTTCTGTACACACAGATAGGACCGCCACATAGATAGTCACTGCGTTCACAGGTTCTGTACACACAGATAGGACCGCCACATAGATAGTCACTGCGTTCACAGGTTCTGTACACACAGATAGGACCGCCACATAGATAGTTACTGCGTTCACAGGTTCTGTACACGGTTCTGTACACACAGATAGGACCGCCACATAGATAGTCACTGCGTTCACAGGTTCTGTACACACCGATAGGACCGCCACATAGATAGTCACTGCGTTCACAGGTCCTGTACACACAGATAGGACCGCCACATAGATAGTCACTGCGTTCACAGGTCCTGTACACACAGATAGGACCGCCACCATTTAATGGGAGAGGTGATGGTTCTCAGCTATGATGATCAAAGCCGACAATACACGTCACCAATACATGCTGGTTGTGCTCATGAACCAACGCTGCTTTCACTTGTTTATATTGTAACACGAGACACAAGCATTGTTTTACAATGACACTTGTCATATTAAATCCGCTACTGTTTTTAAGGCTGGGTTAAATCTCTTGCTACTGGTCCTTGTGTGGTGAGCCGTCTGGAGGTGGACTGGTCTGTTCAGTGGTATCTGTGGTTGGAGCCATGTCTGTAGGTTTGGGGGTGGACTCCATATTACTATCTGTACGTGAGGTTATCTCTCCGTTTACAGAACTGGATTCAGCGTCTTGTACAAGCTTTCTATTGTGCTCGTCGGCGGCTGTAGAGAAGACGTCAATGTCGGACACACTCTGTAGAGACGTTGGCGACTGTGGGGTGTTGAGGTTGCCGTCTGAGGCGGAGGGTGTCTGTGTCTGGCAACCCCCGTCACTATGTATGCGGGCCAGAGAAGCTATGATGTCATCCAGCGATTGTCTGCCAGGAACAGAAACAGCAATTAGTGCCTTGTACAGAACTTGGTGTCTACAGTGTTGTACTATGTATGGGATATTTATACCAGTAACAGAAAGTAAACCGTGACCTTCAGAATCAAGGATTCTCAAATTCACCTGCCCCGACGATCGGGTTAAAATGTAGACATGTACATGAAGATAATTTTCATATAATAATTTCAGCAAAAAGACATATTTATGTCTCTTCTTTGAAAAACAACATTCCAAAATGCAATAACTTTATAAAGACTTTAAAAGATATTTTTTCTGTTGAAAGCTTCATTGCCAAAAGAAAGAATGAAATGAAGAAATTTGCAAATAAATGGCATCCATTATTCCCAGTATTCAAACCTGACCTGTGTATGCAACAACCGCTTTTGTAAAATCTTGATCTTTATGTATTGATTAATTAGTTAACATATTTGTAGGTGCACTGATGTAACATTGGGAACATTTATTATAGGGCGGATATATGACGCAACATACAACACAATAAGTCTGATGTGGCGCAATATACAATACACATTGGATGTGACATAAGACGCAGCATGAACAATATACAGCATATGTTAGATAAGACACTATGTACAAGTGATGGACGTGACTCTATATACAACATGGTATGTCGGGTGTATGATATGTTAGGTGTGGCTATATGTACAACATGGTATGTTGGATGTGGCGCTATGTACATAGAGAATACTACACGAGGTCTCATTACTTACGAATTATACGAAACGAGTGTCCTTCCTATGGTATCTGACCGAGCGAAAGCGAGGTCAAAAAACCATAGGAAGGTCACGAGTTTCGTATAATTCGTATGTCATGAGACCGATTGTGGTATTTTATTTATTACCCACGTGTTACATGCATTAAATTGACAAAATAGCGTAGTTTTGGTATTGTTGTGGTTTCAAACCGAAACCGGTTTCATAAAGAGGTTGCGGAAGAATTTTGTTCTGACGTACACTTGTGCATGACGTCACACTGTATTGACGTCACTCGTCTGTCCCCTTGGTAATCGACGTCACGATGCATGTCAGTTGTCATCGCCTCTCGTACAGCCTCCTTCAGTAAACTACTCCGTAGCACACACACACACACACACACACACACACACACACACACGTTCTTGGTTTGCAACAGCTTCAACCGGCTAACATCACTGGTGGAAACATTGCGTTTATGTTTTTCGACGGATATAACGTCTCAGTTCGACTCACAATTAAACAGCGACACCACAACGTTCGCAATGTTTACATTCCCACAAAGTTGTAGAATGAATGAATTCACGTGTTTGTTATGAATGAACAAGTAGTTCCGTCACAACGTGACCTAACTGAGAGGTCATCGGTTATCCAATCAAATCGTTAGAATCTCAGGTCAAGTCGTTACGACATAGGTCAACGCGATACGACACTCGTGTAACGTACGAGATTAGTATGCAACTACCCATACGTTGACCACCTGGGTAATAAAACATAATGTGTCTGAGGTGTATGCAATATACAACATGACATGTTGGTTGTGGTGCATTATACAATAAGATAGATCAGATGTGATGCAATAGACAATGAGATACAAGGGATGTGATGCAATATACAGCATGATATGTCAGATGTGGTGCTTTAAACTATACGACATGTCATATATGATGCTATATACAACATAGCATAAAGCATGATATCTCGGATGTTGCGGACTGCCTCCGTGGTGTAGTGGTTAGAGCGTCCACCCGGAGAGCGGAAGGTCGCGGTTCGATCCCCGACCGCGTCATACCAAAAGACGTTAAAATATGGTACTTGTTGGTCCCTGCCTGGTGCTCGGCATTAATGGGTACAACAAGGACTGGTCGGCTAGGAGTCTAGGAGTCAGTATAATGTGTCTGAGTGGGGTATTCATGCTTCACTGCGGCATGGTATCTCAGTGGGCTAGCACTATAAAACCAGCTTCAGTCTGGGCTAGTACAAGCAGCCGCACATACACATACACACTCATGCACGTCGTCATATGAGCGAAATATTCTCAAGCACGACGTTAAACCCAATTTCACCTCCCCTCACCTCGGATGTTGCGCTATGTACAACATATGTCGGATGTGACCCCATATACAATATGATATGTCTGATATGGCGCAATATACAACATTGTATGCTTGGTGCTGTGCTATATACAGCATGATATGTCGGAGGTGCCGCAATATACAATACGATATGTTGGATGTGATGCAATATACAGCAGGAAAGATCAGATGTGGCCATATATACAATATGATATGTCGGATATGGTGCTATATACAACATGATAGGTCGTTTGATATGATATATACAATACGATGTTTCGGCTATGACACTGTATACAACTTATGTTGGATGTTGCGCAATATACAGCATATGTTGGATGTGACCCAACATACAATATGCTATGTCTGGTGTGACGCTATATACAACACTGTATGCTGCATGTTGCACTATATAAAACATGATATGTTGGGTATGGCACCACATACAACACCCTATACAGGCTGATATTTCACTGGTCTAACTATGTTACATCCTGGTATGTTGGATATCTGATTATGTTCATGTATTTGTATATGTCATCATGTAATGACCGCCGTTTATGACGGAAGACTTTGGTTTCATGAAAAATAAAATAAATTTAACAAAAGAAGTGGGCAGGTAAGTTTTTGTCAAGGCTGGCAAGTTTTACATCTAACCAGCCCTGTGGTCGGGCTGATATTTTAGGAGTTTCATACCCTGCATAAAGCCGTCTTGTACGTCTGCAAGTGACTTTTTACAAGATGTAGTATCAAGAAAGACAGTTGACTCAATCCCATTTCAAATTATTTGTGCATGAGAGAGGCAGCAGCACTTGTACCGAAATGGAAGTCAACTGTCTTCCTCGACCAAGTACAATATTTAAACTATGGCACCACATGGTTCTACAGCACATACAATTCTTAACATAAAAAAAAATGCAAGTCTTTTTTTGTCTTTGTGAAATGTACAAGTGAAGAAAGGCAATGAAGAAACACTTTACTGTGTACATAATTCATTTTGAACTCGTCGCAGTCGTTTCGTCACGTCTGAGGCTCTTCCCCCTGCTCTTGTCCATCCTTTCTAGGCTACCATACCAAGTAACATTAAACATTTCACACCAGACAACGGGCGTGGAATATGGTTCGGTTAGCCGAGCGCAGTGAGGCTTTGCCATGTGGATGCTACAGGCCCGGGTGCCGTTCTATAAAGCGATCGTAGCGCTAAGGTGATCGTAACTCCCATACTTTAACATAGACGTACGACAGTCGTAGCGCTACGATCGGTCTTTGAAACGGGGCCCTGATCAACGTCAGCTGCAGTGGTGACAGACAGACAGACAGTGTCGAACGGCCTCTTTCTGGTCACAGGACCGTTACATCCGGGTCACACAACTGCGTGACCGACAGCTACGAGCAACACAGGCAGATGCACCCACCCACGTCATCCAGTGTCGGCCGACACAATCCGTCGTCGTTGAAGAGCGGTGGGAATCAGATGTCGTCGTCTTTGTCTCAGACCTAACGGCTGATATCGCTTTATATCACAGTCAAGTACGTCGTACAACCTACTGCATCATGATAATATTGTTTTATAACAATAGCAAGGACACATTGTACATTTTACTGCATCCTGATGATACAGCTTTATAACACTACCAAGTACATTGTATAACCTACTGCATCCTGATGATACAGCTTTATAACACTACCAAGTACATTGTATAACCTACTGTATCCTGATGATACAGCTTTATAACACTACCAAGTACATTGTATAACCTACTGCATCCTGATGATACGGCCACTGCATCCTGATGATACAGCTTTATAACACTACCAAGTACATTGTATAACCTACTGCATCCTGATGATACAGCTTTATAACACTACCAAGTACATTGTATAACCTACTGCATCCTGATGATACAGCTTTATAACACTACCAAGTACATTGTATAACCTACTGTATCCTGAGGATCGCCTTCTCCTGGCGTGTGAGTCTGTTCTTGACTGTCAGGAGGTTCATCTTGTTCGACTCCTGCCCCTCCCAGATGTACCGAAGGTTCTTGTTCATGTCATTCAGGGGAGGCGACTCCCATCTCTCCAGGAGGTCATGTGGTTGTGACACCACCTCAGACTCGCAGTACTTCTGGATCCGGTAACTCTGTGGACCACACACGGGAAGACTGACTGGCAATACTACTCATGAACGCTCGGCGTAGAACTGACGCATACTCCATATTTTAACTAACATACTCTAACGTAGTTAATGCTCTAACATAGTCCATACCTAGTCCATACTCTAACGTAGTCCATACTTAGTCCATACTTCAACGTAGTCCATACTTAGTCCATACGCTACCGTAGTCCATACTTAGTCCATACTTTAACGTAGTCAATACTTTGTCCATACTCTAACGTATTCCATACTTAGTCCATACTTTAACGTAGTCCATACTTAGTCCATACGCTACCGTAGTCCATACTTAGTCCATACTTTAACGTAGTCAATACTTTGTCCATACTCTAACGTATTCCATACCTAGTCCATACTTTAACGTAGTCCATACTTAGTCCATACGCTACCATAGTCCATACTTAGTCCATACTTTAACGTAGTCCATACTTAGTCCATACTCTACCGTAGTCCATACTTAGTCCATACTTTAACGTAGTCAATACTTTGTCCATACTCTAACGTATTCCATACCTAGTCCATACTTTAACGTAGTCCATACTTAGTCCATACGCTACCATAGTCCATACTTAGTCCATACTTTAACGTAGTCCATACTTTGTCCATACTCTAACGTAGTCCATACTTAATCCATATTCTAACGTAAGTTGAAATGGCTACATGAAAACAAGAAATTGATTACTTGTATATCACAAGATTATATTCACATATATGTATATGAAGGCTGGTCGGTGTTAAAGTAGGAGACAGTAAAGAGGAGGGTGTTTAAAGTGGATCTGAAGAGGATACATTCTCAGCCAGTAAGATGTTTTCAGCACACTGTCTGGGTCATGTTAGTGGCGACGGGTATGCAGTGCTGGTGAATTATTACACCATAAATACAACCATAAACTTATTTCAGATTCTAGGTCGAGTCACATAAGCCTTTAAGGGGCTGTAATAAAAGGGTGTATGGAAGTATATATGCCGGTAGTATCTCAATGTTCTCACTCTCCGCAAGTAGATACTGTTGAATTCCACCCTCGCTATAATCCAGGCTCTGTTGAGCTCCAGGGCACGCTGCGCGTCTGTCTGCACGTTCTGGTAGGTGTCGCTGAGCTGAGCGATGAGGATGTTGAGGAGGACGACGATGCAGGTGAAGAGGAAGATGACCAAGATGACGCAGCTCAGCGTGCTGTATAAAGAAATAAACACGGTCAGCAGCCCAGAACCCACAACCAGTTACTTGACAGATGCCGTGACAATATATCGGACATTACATTATTGTAACCACTTTCTAAGAGGCATCGAATATTCTTATGTTGACATAGACAACAGAAGATACGGCTGCTAGAACCGCAAGACTGACCAGAAAATGCCGCCTTTAAAGTTGCTGTTATACCCTCCCATGACATCAACTCACTTGTATCCGTCTTGGCCGTAGTAGGCCACGATGGGGTCGGACTCGATGAGGATGCGCACTCCGGTAAACATCACCTCCCAGAAGGTTCTGTGAAGACCGCACAGAGCCATGGCTAGATTATTGATATATTGTATAGCCATTCTATCCATTTTAATAACAGAATACATCCAGTAATTATTGTTTGAAACAGCACTCAGATATACTGCAACTGTATGCCCGCGGCAAATAATCGAGTATGGACTAGACAATCCTGTGATTGATTGTTATTAAAGGGGATTATTCTCGCTATCAGACATGGAGCTCAGCCATCCATGAACCTGCATGTTACATAGGAACACAACCGTCAGTACATACCCAGTCTCAGGGTGCACCTGTAGGGAGTTCTCTCCCCTGAGCGCTAGGATGAAGGATCCGCTGAAGGCCAGCAAGATGACGGAGAAAAGGACAGTGAACTGGACGAAGTCGTGCCCCAGGATCCGCTTCAAGACAAGTGCATATGCACCTGTCTGCCTGTACACAGGGAAGTACAGTGTACACCAAGAGGATATATGTGGGGTATTGCGAGTGGTAGAAACCAATGGTCAATTATGTGCACACTGAACCCCATCCCAGACTCCACCCCATCCAACCCCAACCCCACCCCACAACTGGGGTAAGTTTACAAACACGCCGAGGTCATTGTTGAGGATAAGGATCGTGAGGTTCCTTCAGCTGATTACATGAAAGCTGCACTTGGAGAGCTTCTGATACGATCTTACCCAAAGACCACCGCATACCTGACGATCTTGAGAGCCCGCAGTAGATGTGGCCATACTTGAAGATCGCCGCAGACATGAAGATGACATGAGCCCATAGAAGATTTCATATTACCTGTTGCATATCTGACCTCCATCAGTGCCAACAGTGGATATGACATTAACTGAAGATATTCGAAGACCACGAGTGCCAACAGCAGATATGACCTTATCTGAAGACTGCTGCATACTTGAAGATCTTGAGAGCCCACAGCAGATATGACCTTACCTGAAGACTGCTGCATACTTGAAGATCTTGAGAGCCCACAGCTGCATACTTGAAGATTTTGAGAGCCCACAGCAGATATCTCCTTACCTGAAGACTGCTGCATACTTGAAGATCTTGAGCGCCCACAGCAGATATCTCCTTACCTGAAGACTGCTGCATACTTGAAGATCTTGAGCGCCCACAGCAGATATCTCCTTACCTGAAGACTGCTGCATACTTGAAGATCTTGAGAGCCCACAGCAGATATCTCCTTACCTGAAGACTGCTGCATACTTGAAGATCTTGAGAAGATCTTACCTGAAGACTGCTGCTTTGAAGATCTTGAGAGCCCACAGCAGATATCTCCTTACCTGAAGAGACTTGATCTTGATATACCTTATCTGAAGACTGCTGCATACTTGAAGATCTTGAGAGCCCACAGCAGATATCTCCTTACCTGAAGACTGCTGCATACTTGAAGATCTTGAGAGCCCACAGCAGATATCTCCTTACCTGAAGACTGCTGCATACTTGAAGATCTTGAGCGCCCACATCATATATCTCCTTACCTGAAGACTGCTGCATACTTGAAGATCTTGAGAGCCCACAGCAGATATCTCCTTACCTGAAGACTGCTGCATACTTGAAGATCTTGAGCGCCCACAGCAGATATCTCCTTACCTGAAGACTGCTGCATACTTGAAGATCTTGAGAGCCCACAGCAGATATCTCCTTACCTGAAGACTGCTGCATACTTGAAGATCTTGAGAGCCCACAGCAGATATCTCCTTACCTGAAGACTGCTGCATACTTGAAGATCTTGAGAGCCCACAACAGATATCTCCTTACCTGAAGACTGCTGCATACTTGAAGATCTTGAGAGCCCACAACAGATATCTCCTTACCTGAAGACTGCTGCATACTTGAAGATCTTGAGCGCCCACAGCAGATATCTCCTTACCTGAAGACTGCTGCATACTTGAAGATCTTGAGAGCCCACAACAGATATCTCCTTACCTGAAGACTGCTGCATACTTGAAGATCTTGAGCGCCCACAACAGATATCTCCTTACCTGAAGACTGCTGCATACTTGAAGATCTTGAGAGCCCACAGCAGATATCTCCTTACCTGAAGACTGCTGCATACTTGAAGATCTTGAGAGCCCACAGCAGATATCTCCTTACCTGAAGACTGCTGCATACTTGAAGATCTTGAGAGCCCACAGCAGATATCTCCTTACCTGAAGACTGCTGCATACTTGAAGATCTTGAGAGCCCACAGCAGATATCTCCTTACCTGAAGACTGCTGCATACTTGAAGATCTTGAGAGCCCACAGCAGATATCTCCTTACCTGAAGACTGCTGCATACTTGAAGATCTTGAGCGCCCACAGCAGATATCTCCTTACCTGAAGACTGCTGCATACTTGAAGATCTTGAGCGCCCACAGCAGATATCTCCTTACCTGAAGACTGCTGCATACTTGAAGATCTTGAGCGCCCACATCATATATCTCCTTACCTGAAGACTGCTGCATACTTGAAGATCTTGAGCGCCCACAGCAGGTAGCCGATGGAGAAGACGTGCCACTGGTGCTGGGAGTGCGTGAAGCGGAGCGGGATGACGGACAGCAGCAGGCACGACGAGGACAAGTCCAGCCAGTTGAACATGTCGCGCCAGTAGGCCAGGCGGTGTCTGGGAAATACCGGCAAACATAGAAGCATCTGGTATTGGTGCCAAGGAAACAGATTCCTTGCTGCTCCAAGTTCGTTGTTGGACAGTCACGGTCATAAACACATTGACTATACACACAAACTGATATTGTTACGTATAAAGACGATTCCCCCATCAACAGAGGAACCAGAGAAAGATCATTCATCAGCCGATGTTAAATAGAATTCTTCACATTAAACACATTAAACTTTTGGAAAACACCTCACCTCCTCATCTGATTCACCTCAAGAGCAAGACTGAAACCCACCGCGCTACTCGCCCACACCTCAGCAGCCGCACGCGCCTTATCTCGGGGGTCTGGGTACTGGGCAGGGTCAGGGGTCAAGGTCGCTACAGCCAGAGAGTAGGTCAGGCAGAGCAGGGTGAAGCAGTATATGATGCTATTCACACTGCAGACAAAAGCATGTCAATGTCAGAAACGGAATTATCCTTGGTTCAAACTTTAAACTGTTTGATGTTTGATTGTCCCACGTAACGCCATTGCCTACATTTCAACGGGGAGACAATCTTAGGTCATAATTACATTAATGAAGTCGCTACATTAACAGACGTTACGTACACGAAGCGAGACCTGGCGTATTCTTTCCACTTCCGCCGTATGAGAAGCCGGACACAGTCATGGAACACCACCTCCTGGACAGACGGAGATACAGCGATGGAGACAGTGGGAAGGACGGGGTATACATCACAGACAGAAGTACAGGAACTATCTCACAGTACACAACATGACGGTCTGAGTTCTATCCCCTGACGGCCAGATGTCTATGCCCCGACAGCCTTGAATAATGTTAATTGTAGTTATCCTGCCTGGTATAAAGGGAGCAAAACTCATCTGTGAGTCAGTTAACAGTGCCTTAGTGGGCAATCTTGTTCACGTGCAGCATGGTATCTCAGTGGCATAGTTCTATAAAACCTTTATACGTGTATACCACCATCTTCCTGGGAAAAGGGAGGTAACAACTAGACAGCAATTTCTTGGTTCGATCGTATTTTCACAAGTGGCTATTATGATTTATTGACCAGTCATGTTATACCTCTTATAGGTTGAAATCTGGTCGTTGATAGTTAGTTAACTGTTTTACCTACAGGAGGTGAATGATCACAAGCAGCCACGTGCGCGCGCACACATACGCACGCACGTACATGCAAGTGCTATAAAAGTGCTATATTCGCGATGTGAAACTACACTTATCGTCTCATTGCCCACCGTGAAATGAGATGTCACCTGTATTCCATCAAACAATGCATGGTTTGTATCACAGTAAGCAATGTATCACCAAATATTTGACTAGTTCTCTGCTCGCCCACAACACAGACGCTCACCGGAACATATTTACCTTAAGACTTCCCTTGGCGATGAGATTGAGGCAAGATTTGGACTCGTCATCAAAGTCTTTGTGGGTTGGTGGTCTCCCTTCCTCGTCGGCCTCCAGCACGTGGTAGAACACCATCACGTGCCCCGTTTCACCGATTGGGTCCATGAGACAGTCAAGGACCCCCATAGCTGCGTGCTGAGGAACAAATCAGTGGCGTCAATTTCAGTAACGCTTTCAACAATTCTGGCAAAGGAGGAGAGAGTCTATGAGCACTCAAAATGGAACGGTGAAAGCATTTGCTATTTATTAAGTCTCACCTGCATTTCTTTACGAAGCAGGTCATGAAGGGTGAACTCTGACTTCGTGGAGGTCCTTGTGATATACATGTCTCTAACGCTGAAACATGGAACACAGGCGGTGATTGGTTGAATCTAAGACTGAAAAGTGCAACATAGACAGTGATTGGTGGAAAGTAATACTGAACCATGCAACAAAGGCAGTTATTGGTTGAAACCTGTACTAAAACACGAAACACAGACCGCGAATGGTTGAATCTAATACTGAAACACACACCGGCAACAGCAACAACAGCAACTGAACCTCAGCGAGTGATTGCCTTTATCATGGGAGACGCGCGGAGTTTCATACTTTTGTGTCTCTCTGCTGATTTGGCGTGAACCTTTATGCATTATTTGTCAAAAGGTATTCCAGTGCAAATATGTAGTCGGTTCGCTCCTACAGCAACACTGTTAGCTTACACGGCGTTGGGCATGTAGCTGAGGATTAGGGCCGCGATGTCGTCGTTGTTGTTGTTGAGGGCAAGGTGGTAGGGCATGTTGTTGTCCTTGTCTCGGACGTGGGGGAGGGCGTCGTTCTCCAGCAGTTTACTACACACACCCTTGAATTTCCTCTTGACGGCGTGGTGGAGGGGGGTCTGCCAGCAGCTGTCGCACGTCGATGGGTTGGCGCCACGTTGTAGAAGCATATTGACAAACAGCTGGACCTGTTGGAACACATTGCAGCAGATATATAATAGTTACATTAATAGGAATGGATTTTCTCCGGAAGATTGTGTTGTAGCAGCCATTCCAGGACGAGAGATACCAGAGCGTTCAGCCACATCTGGGAGTAGAACCTGAGACAGATCAGGAGACACGTTGTCCAGAAACAGCAGCTCTGACAAACCTTATACTCTGTTGGGAATTCTGACACCACGAACATGAGCGCCTTCTCCTTGTCGCCATACTTCTCCACTAGTCTGTCCATAACCACCTCCCTCTCCGCCTCCTGGCGCCCGATCAGCAGCGTCCGAGTCTTGGCCGCCACCTGGTTGAAGATGAGGCCTTGGTGAAACGTGTGCGTGCGTGTTTGATTGCTTGCTTACGTGCGTACGTGCATACATGCGTGTGTGTGTGTGTGTGCCGTATGGTAGAAGGGGTGTTTTTTATAATGGTGTGTGTTGATGTTTTTTCATTAGGGTATTTATTAAACTTTTCAGGATGTACGTGTTGTGCATGTGTTTTTTGGTTGTTGTGTATGTTTGTGTGCGCTTTGGGCGTAAGTGTTGTTTGCAACGCCACAGATTTTAATCTTGCCCTGATGACATACACTGGACCTAATCAGGGCACTTTCGTCAGACCTAAACAGAACACTTCCGTCAGACCTAAACAGAACACTTCCGTCAGACCTAAACAGAACATTTCCGTCAGACCTAAACAGGGCACTTCCGTCAGACCTAAACAGGGCACTTCCGTCAGACCTAAACAGGGCACTTCCGTCAGGCCTAAACAGAACACTTCCGTTAGATCTAAACAGAACACTTCCGTCAGGCCTAAACAGAACACTTCCGTCAGACCTAAACAGGGCACTTCCGTCAGACCTAAACAGGGCACTTCCGTCAGGCCTAAACAGAACATTTCCGTTAGATCTAAACAGAACACTTCCGTCAGACCTAAAAAGGGCACTTCCGTCAGTCCTATACAGAGCAATTCCGTCAGACCTAAACAGGGCACTTCCGTTAGACCTAAAAAGGGCACTTCCGTCAGTCCTATACAGAGCTCTTCCGTCAGAAATCCAATTCAACATATTCCTAAGATTCTAAATAATTTCTGGTCATACTATAATAATGGTGGACTGGCATGTCACTGTAGATAGCAAAAAAGGAAAATAATTGTGGTCTGAGGCCTGACGGCCCTCCTGAAAGACCTACACTGGGCACTCTCCAAAGACCTACCCCGGGCACTACCGAAAGACCTACTATGTTCTTTCTCGAAAGACCTACATCGGACGGTCCTGAGAATCTTACCCCGGGCACTACCTTAAGATCTACCTCGTTCACTCACTACGGCACGGACACAGGGAACTCCTGAAACACCTACCTCTTGCTGGAACTGATCCTCTGTCAACTCCTCCCCCAGCAGGTCGGAGAACGAGGGGGTCTGGGGCAGGTGTGTCGGCGGGATGTGGATACAGGCACCACAGAACCCAGCGTCCTCGGGGTAGGCGTAGTCTGCAGCAGGAAGCACGTGGGAGATGGGTAGGCGCACAGACACACTCACAAGACAGCTGTCCTATCAAGATGTTAAACCCCCTCCTCTTTTGTAACACACCCCTCCCCATACCGACTCCCCCCTTGTGACATATTTGTCCCATTCAGTCTTGGCAATGTGTGACCCGTGAAGGTCCGGGTTAGAATATTGATATTCAGTAACCTATGCTTGTCGTAAGAGGCGACTAACGGGATCGGGTGGTCAGGCTCGCTGACTTGGTTGACACATGTCATCGGTTCCCAATTGCGCAGATCGATGCTCATGCTATCGATCACTGGATTGCCTGGTCCAGACTCGATTATTTACAGACCGCCGCCATATAGCTGGAATATTGCTGAGTTACGCGTAAAACTCAACTCACACTCACTTACTATATTTGCTCATAGTGAAGTAATAAGATAATCGTTTGATACACATATGAACATTATGGTAGCGGGTTAATATTGAGGATGTACAGCTGGATTATGGGATCAGCACACTGACACTTGTCCCACTGGCAGCCCAGTCGATACTGAGTATATAGCCCGCATAACTATATTACCTAACAATCAATAACTGGTTCTGTGAACTTCTTTGTTGACTAGACTACGGTGTATATGTTATGAATAGATATACTCGATGGCAGCAGTAAGAATGGCGCACCTGGTCTATAAAAATGTTTCGGGGCACGTCTCGCTGTGCAGGATCATTCGTCGAACAGGGCGGGGACAAAACTTTCCTCCCCCCTCGTCCCCAGCAAACAGTGTCCCTCAATACCCCTACTTGTACATGTGTTAATCCCAACATTCGATATCCCTACCTCTCGTGTTCCTAACATATAATACCCTGTAAGGTCACCAACATGTGGTATCTCTACCTGTGAAGTCCCCAACATGTGATATCTCTACCTGTGAAGCCCCAACATGTGGTATCTCTACCTGTGAAGCCCCCAACATGTGATATCTCTACCTGTGAAGTCCCCAACATGTGGTATCTCTACCTGTGAAGCCCCAACATGTGATATCTCTACCTGTGAAGTCCCAACATGTGGTATCTCTATCTCTACCATGTGTGAAGCCCCAACATGTGGTATCTCTACCTGTGAAGCCCCCAACATGTGATATCTCTACCTGTGAAGCCCCCAACATGTGATATCTCTACCTGTGAAGCCCCCAACATGTGGTATCTCTACCTGTGAAGCCCCCAACATGTGATATCTCTACCTGTGAAGCCCCCAACATGTGGTATCTCTACCTGTGAAGCCCCCAACATGTGATATCTCTACCTGTGAAGCCCCCAACATGTGATATCTCTACCTGTGAAGCCCCCAACATGTGATATCTCTACCTGTGAAGCCCCCAACATGTGATATCTCTACCTGTGAAGCCCCCCCAACATGTGCCCCCAACATGTGGTATCTCTACCTGTCATGTGATATCTCTACCTGTGAAGCCCCCAACATGTGATATCTCTACCTGTGAAGCCCCAACATGTGGTATCTCTACCTGTGAAGCCCCCAACACCTGTGAAGCCCCCAACATGTGATATCTCTACCTGTGAAGGTATCTCTACCTGTGAAGCCCCCAACATGTCCCAACATGCCCCCAACATGTGATATCTCTACCTGTGAAGCCCCAACATGTGTGATATCTGTGAAGCCCCCAACTATCTCTACCTGTGTCCCCCAAGCCCCCAACATGTGATATCTCTACCTGTGAAGCCCCCAACATGTGATATCTCTACCTGTGAAGCCCCCAACATGTGATATCTCTACCTGTGAAGCCCCCAACATGTGTGATATCTCCCAACATGTGATATCTCTACCTGTGAAGCCCCAACATGTGATATCTCTACCTGTGAAGCCCCCAACATGTGATATCTCTACCTGTGAAGCCCCAACATGTGATATCTCTACCTGTGAAGCCCCAACATCCCCAACATGGATATCTCTACCTGTGAAGCCCCCAACATGTGATATCTCTACCTGTGAAGCCCCCAACATGTGTATCTACCTACCTGTGAATCTCTACCCCCCAACATGTGGTATCTCTACCTGTGAAGCCCCCAACATGTGATATCTCTACCTGTGAAGCCCCAACATGTGATATCTCTACCTGTGAAGCCCCAACATGTGATATCTCTACCTGTGAAGCCCCCAACATGTGATATCTCTACCTGTGAAGCCCCCAACATGTGGTATCTCTACCTGTGAAGCCCCCAACATGTGATATCTCTACCTGTGAAGCCCCCAACATGTGGTATCTCTACCTGTGAAGCCCCCAACATGTGGTATCTCTACCTGTGAACCTGTGAAGCCCCAACATGTGGTATCTCTACCTGTGAAGCCAGAAGCCCCAACCCCCTGTGAAGCCCCCAACATGTGGTATCTCTTCCTGTGAAGCCCCCAACATGTGGTATCTCTACCTGTGAAGCCCCCAACATGTGGTATCTCTACCTGTGAAGCCCCCAACATGTGATATCTCTTCCTGTGATTCCCACGAAATATGATATCCCTACTATGAATAGAATACTGAGCTGGAACGCGCGTTAAAATTACCCCACAATCAATAATAACTTTGTTGTCGATATTGTATATTTTACTGGTGATGCCCCCAATCATATGATATCTCTTCCTGTGATACCCCAACATACGATATCTGTACCTGTAATACCCTAATCATATGATATCCCTACCTGTAATATGCCAATCATATGATATCCCTACCTGTAATATGCCAATCATATGATATCCCTACCTGTGGTATCGAGATGCCCCAAGGCGATGCTCCGATGTTTCTGTCTCCTCATCGTCCCGGCTGTGTTACCATGACAACACAGGTGTACTCAAGTATGTTCGACGTACTGCTAGTTCCATGAGGAGCATGTTCACACCATGAACTGAATACCCAGGTTTACACTATGAACTGAATACCCAGGTTCATACCATGAACTGAGGACCGTGTAGCTACTGTTTCACTGTCACTGATCGATGCCGTGTCCTCCTCCACTCGGGTCGTAGAGCGACGCTTACTGCCATCACAGCTGGAAATAGTCGCAGGAGAGCCGCGCAGCCAAGAAACAACGGATTGTCACTAAGTATATAATATCATGGCGGTGAAGTAACCGTAAATCTCCAGCCACCCATTCTCCAGGAACACCTCCACCCAGCACCGCCAGGCGTCTGTGTTGTGACTGTATGAGGAGGAGGAGGGAAGGGGGGTGGGGGGGATCACTGATAAGCTTAGTAAGGAACCCAGATAACGGTAGTAATTTATTGATACAAATACTTCCTCTCGTGGCATAGAAAGAATGTCCCTGCCAGGGTACTGTAGAAGTTAAATGATCTAGCTCGGGAAAGGTCTCGGCAAGTCGTAGGTCACAAAGGCGTCTAGTTCAAAGCGATCAAGCTGTATTTTCACATAATGCGTAGTTTGGTTGTTTAGTAGATACTGATCTCCGATACTGTACGTGTTTCCTGGTGATCGGCGTCGAACTACAGCAGTGGTGGATTATTAACGAACCAAGGTTCCTGTACTGGGGTCGCCATACCACGCCGTACTCCACTGTTATCGCTTACAATTGGACAAATAATTCATGCACGATGTTAAACGATACTGGAACTGTGTACAACCTGCCTGTCTATTGTTGTCTTTTACGTAGGCAATAATAACAATAATAATAACAACAAAGCGATACTGCTGGTGGTGATATGGTTTATACATCCTGTTTTATAATGAAATGATACCTGAAATCCAGGGAATGTTGATAAGCTGGTGAGTGATCCACGGTTAGCCACAGTCAGACATCACCGTGTCAGACACCAGCATGTCCGACATCACCGTGTCAGACACCAGCATGTCAGACATCACCGTATCAGACACCAGCATGTCAGACATCACCGTGTCAGACACCAGCATGTTAGACATCACCGTGTCAGACACCAGCATGTCAGACATAACCGTGTCAGACACCAGCATGTCCGACATCACCGTGTCAGACACCAGCATGTCAGACATCACCGTGTCAGACACCAGCATGTCAGACATCACCGTGTCAGACACGGGCATGTCAGACATCACCATGTCAGACACCAGCATGTCAGACATCACCGTGTCAGACACCAGCATGTCCGACATCACCGTGTCAGACACCAGCATGTCAGACATCACCGTGTCAGACACCAGCATGTCAGACATCACCGTCAGACACCAGCATGTCCGACATCACCGTGTCAGACACCAGCATGTGTCGACATCACCGTGTCAGACATCACCGTGTCAGACACCAGCATGTCAGACATCACCGTGTCAGACACCAGCATGTCAGACATCACCGTGTCAGACACCAGCATGTCAGACATCACCGTGTCAGACACCAGCGTGTCAGACATCACCGTGTCAGACATCACCGTGTCAGACACCAGCATGTCAGACATCACCGTGTCAGACACCAGCATGTCAGACATCACCGTGTCAGACACCAGCATGTCAGACATCACCGTGTCAGACACCAGCATGTCAGACATCACCGTGTCAGACACCAGCATGTCAGACATCAGACATCACCGTGTCAGACACCAGCATGTCAGACATCACCGTGTCAGACACCAGCATGTCAGACATCACCGTGTCAGACATCACCGTGTCAGACACCAGCATGTCAGACATAACCATGTCAGGATTGCATACTTCTCATCGCTGCTCAGTCACGTGTATCCATGGTCTCACTAGTAAACTCAACTACTGGATATGCGTATTGCCCTCTGACTGGGCTGTGGATATTGTGGACTGACTGCACCTCCCTCTCTGCGGTGTTCAGCATCAATATGTGGAATCACAGCGGGAATGCTGTGGGTAGTCGGCTCCCAACAATACCACAATGTGTTGTCCCTTGCAGAGATATTGTAAGAATTTGGCTTAAGTGACTTAAAACTATACTTCATCTTGGAGACCAAGTTTCATAAAAAAAAAACCCAAGAAAGCAAAACCCAAGAAACAAATGTTGTGCACTATATAAATATCCTATAATAATAATATGACATCCACAACTGGTTGGTTGGTTTGTTGTTTAACGCCGCCTTCGGCACTATTCCAGCTGTATGGCGGTGATATTATCGAGTCTGGACCAGACAAGCCAGTGATTAACATATCATGAGCATCGATCTACCCAATTTACGATACGATGACATGTGTCAACCAAGTCAGTGCGCCTGACCACCCTATCCCGTTAGTAGCCTCTTACGACAAGCATGTTCGTAGCGCAAATACGGTTGCGTAACAGAGAGAAAATGACCACGGAGTGAAGGAACAGGGGAGTTAACTCTAAAGATAGCTGTTGCTTCACATGTCCGCTAAATGCACAGTTACCTCCCTTGCTGTCATACACCCGTTACGTCAGAAGTGGGTTTTTTTAGAATGAAGTTTACAAACATTCTAAAAATAACGACGGCAGATAAGATAATTAATTTTCAACAGTTTAAAGGTAAAATCAAGCAGTATGACATTTTCGTTTTAATTTCTCTTGTTCTTGTTCCTTCACACCGCTTGAAACCGGAAGCTGGCAGGGGTAATGGAAGCGAAGAACAATTTGATATGTCACAAGTGGTGCTGAATCAAAGATATTTTACGTGAATAATTATTAAATATGAGGTTGGAAATCTGAGCGCACAAATCTGTGAGGAAATGGGTGTCTACCTTTAATGGAGGCGATATTCCATTTGGACATAAACAATATTTTTCGAATCGAAGCGAGGGAAGTACGTAGCCAACCTAGGAAGACTGGTAAGTTCTCTCTGTTGCACAACCCTATTTGCGCTTCAGTTTGCCGGTGAACAGACAAAAAATCCCGTCTCTCTTCGATGATTTTATTGACGCTTCTGTCACCTCCAGAGGGGTTGCAGGATGAATGTTTATGAATTTAATTGTTGGGATTAAATCAAGAGAAAAGCAGCTCGGAGATATTGTTTATGTGTTTTTAGTCATCAGTTTGGGCACATGTGTTGTTTGTGGAATTACAGTATGATAAGTGACAATGTTGTAAGGAATGCATGGTGAGACTAGAGTATGAGCAGCTGTACATACGTGCATAGTTGACAGCGTCATGGGGTCTGGGCGGTGTCTAAACATATTCAAACGGCTGGGTCGTGTGATGTTGTGCTGGGTCGTGTGATGAGTGTGCTGAGTTTAGTGATTGAGTTTCGTTTTACGCCGCACTCAGCAATATTCCAGCTATATGGCGGCGGTCCTGAGTAGTGTGATGTTGTGTGATGTGCTGAGTTGTGTGATGTTGTGTGATGTGCTGGGTTGTGTGATGTTGTGTTGAGTTGTGTGATGTGCTGGGTTGTGTGATGTGTTGAGTTATGTGATGTTGTTGCTGGGATTTGTGAGGTGAAATTGGATTTAACGTCGTGCTTGAGAATATTTCGCTCATATGACGACGTACATGCGTGTGTATGTGTATGTACGGCTGCTTGTACTAGCCCAGACTGAAGCTGGTTTTATAGTGCCAGCCCACTGAGATACCATGCCGCAGTGAAGCATGAATACCCCACTCAGACACATTATACTGACTCCGAGCCGACCAGTCCTTGTTGTACCCATTAATGCCGAGCGCCAGACAGGGACCAACAAGTATCATATTTTAACGTCTTTTTGGTATGACGCGGTCGGGGATCGAACCCGCGACCTTCCGCTCTCCGGGTGGACGCTCTAACCACTACACCACGGAGGCGGACATTTAGCTGAGGTACCAACGTCAAATGTGGTTTCCCCAGATGGTGGTGGTGGTGGCATAGTTTAAGGGCGACTGGACTAGGATTATGGTATATATAACTGAAGTTGAACTATCATATATGTAAGTAGACATATTGCACCAAAAGATTACATGTACAATGCATATAATTGTATTCATTGTATTTAGATATTTTGATATCATGATCTCCTGTTTGAAAAAACCCATAAAACAAACAACCTTTTGTTTATACAAAACACCAGAAAACACACACACAAAAGTATGATACTCGTTCAATATAAAGGCAGAAAATCAAACAGAAAAAGAAATGATAAAACGATTTCAAATTTTGGTTTTCCCAGGGGGCGCGTGGTGGGTTGTCTCCCCTTTGAACAATCAGCACAGTCAGCTGAGACCGGCCATTCCTCCTTGTTGAGACAAATGATACGAGCAAAGGTAATGACATACACCTGAGACGGTACCCCTGAGACAGTCGGCGACGTGGTCTCTTCCCATAAGACAGACCTCCCAAAAGACAGACCCCTGAAAACAACACATTTTATGGTTGGTTGCATAAGGGTTAATGAAGCTGTACCCTTGATAATAATGGTATGTGCCCAGATAAAACAGACAACATTAGGTATTAACTATAGTTTTATCAATTCATGTAATGATTTATGATTTTGAAATAAAGACATATTGCATCAACATATATGTACATCAAGATATATTTGCCAGGTCACATTTACTTGTGAATATTATCAAAAACAATGAATTATGTACATGTACCTATCAAACATATGACACCAAGCACCATGTTATTTTACATCACATGTTTGTCAGTGCACAGATAACACTTATTAGAAAGTCACTTGAACGTCATCATTTTCTACTTTCACCTTGTTCTTGACATACAGGTAGCCATCTAGAAGGGTGATCGGAAGAAACGTCATAGGAAAAAACTATTAACTATTATAAAACATCCTGTTCTCCAGTTATATACTTTGTTTATGCTCAATTTTATAAATACTGTTTCACGTTCATCTTCAGTAATAAAAACATCCTGTTCTCCAGTTATTTGCAAAGGCCAACTCAACAACTGTTATTAAAAACGTCATATTCTCCAGTTATTTACATTTGTATTATACTTGAATAAATACATTACTTTTATAAGTTAGGTTCAAATGTGGTTCAGAGAAATGTATGTAGTGCTTGTGATGATAATATTGTTATGACTTGTTGAATAAAAACATTACTTGTATAAGTTAGGTTTAAATGTGGTTCAGAGAAATGTATGTAGTGCTATTGATGATAATATTGTTATGACTTGTTGAATAAATACATTTTAGTACTGATCATTGTTCCTACAACCTGGTAGCGATGGGTCAGTAAAAGGATTAGTGATATGTTTTGAGAAGGGCACAGGAGGTAGGAGTTGTTGTTACTATACTCTGCGGTGACTCAGGGTCAGCTCATTAATTAAATAGGGGTGGACAGCATGGCTCAGCTAATTAGTGTATTCATTTAGTCTGTCTTATGGGAGGTCTGTCTTTTGGGAGTGAACCGGCGACGTACACACGTGCACTAGTCCCCGCTATACCGCTTTCTCAGTGTAAGAACTAGTCCCCGCTATACTGCTTTCTCAGTGTACGAACTAGGCCCCGCAATGTATGATATGGAAATAGTTTCTGAAAATTATTATGAGAACGGCGATGACCATGATGATTATGACGATGATGGTGATTGAGACGGTAGTTGTGATGATGAAGGTGAGGACAGTGGTAACGACGCTGGTCACAGCAATGGTGTCAGTGGTGATCACGATGAAGATGACAGTGTTGGTTAAGATGATGGTGATCCTGACGACTATGGTCGAGACGACAACAACGATGATGATGATATGGGTGACGACGATAAGGACGTCTCTGGGTGGATGCAGGATGTGCTGCATGTCTGACGTCAGACACATCAGGTAGATTCTACGTGTCTATTTGCTGTCACCTCATCGCGCCCTTCCGTCCAGCCTCCAGCTTGTCACGTGACTCTGCATTTACCAGGTGCTCCAGATACTCTCTGAAACACGATGACACAAACGTGATGTTCTCTGTGAGACATTACGACAAAAACGTGATGTACCCTTGAAAAAACATTTCCCGACGTATTTATGGTATTATCCATAAACACAGAGCATATAGAGGTTGGACTTACTGAATGAGCACGAGGCTGTTCTCCTGCCTGGCCAGTCTGGACTGGATGGTTAGCAGGGTCATCCTGTTGGAGTCCAGGTGATCCCAAAGGTCCCGGATGTTCTTATTCATCTGACTGAGCTCCGGGCCGTCCCAGCGTTTGAGGATGTCACGTGGGTTGTGTATTTCCTCCATCTCTATGTACGTCTTGAACCTGCTGCTCTGGAACATCAACTCACGGAGTCAGAGATTAGGCCATGGGAACATTAACACACGGAGTCAGAGATTGGGCCATGGGAACATCAACACACGGCGTCAGAGATTAGGCCATGGGAACATCACCACACAGAGTCAGAGATTAGGCCATGGGAACATCAACACACGGAGCCAGAGATTAGGCCATGGGAACATCAACACACGGAGTCAGAGATTAGGCCATGGGAACATCAACACACGGAGTCAGAGATTAGGCCATGGGAACATCAACACACGGAGTCAGAGATTAGGCCATGGGAACATCAACACACGGAGTCAGAGATTAGGCCATGGGAACATCAACACACGGAGTCAGAGATTAGGCCATGGGAACATCAACACACGGAGTCAGAGATTAGGCCATGGGAACATCAACACACGGAGTCAGAGATTAGGCCATGGGAACATCAACACACGGAGTCCAGAGCCATGGGAACATCAACACACGGAGTCAGAGATTAGGCCATGGGAACATCAACACACGGAGTCAGAGATTAGGCCATGGGAACATCAACACACGGAGTCAGAGATTAGGCCATGGGAACATCAACACACGGAGTCAGAGATTAGGCCATGGGAACATCAACACACGGAGTCAGAGATTAGGCCATGGGAACATCAACACACGGAGTCAGAGATTAGGCCATGGGAACATCAACACACGGAGTCAGAGATTAGGCCATGGGAACATCAACACACGGAGTCAGAGATTAGGCCATGAGAGCAACACATGTAAACCTGGGTACCATCAACAACATATAAAATACGCACATGCTTTGACCATGGGCCCAAGGAACATCTGCCCATTGCTTACATGGAAGGTGAGGGGTAAAGGTTACAACCTTTGGAGTCAGTGAAAACTCGTACCTTTCATTACAGGCCACTATTTCAGCAGAATAAAGACCGAGAGCTGGATACCAAACTGACCTACCTTTCCCACATATATACTGTTGAGATCGACTCTTGTGATGATCCACGCCCTGTTGAGCTCCAGCCCCCGTTGTGCGTCTCTCTGCACGTAATGGTAGGTGTCGCTGAGCTGGGCGACGAGGATGCTGAGGAGGACGACGCAGCAGAAGAACAGGAAGATGACCATGATGAAAGTGCTCATCGGCCTGAAGACGACCAGGTAGATCCATAAAGTGGACACACTAACAGACGTGGGGAGACCAAGACCTCATAACAGCAATGAGGATGCACTTTGGAACATATACCATAGTAAGAACACCACATTCTGTCATAGTATTCTAGTTACTCTGTCATGCCAGGAGCAAACAGAATCTGAATTAGGGAATTCGTCTGAAAGGTACCATAAGCTCAAACATGTTTTGCACAAAGATCGTTGAATATATTTATGACTTTTAGAAGAGGTTATCATTTGTTATGTGATATAGTTTTATGCTACACAATCAGGATATTTCTGTGAAGGAAGAGTAGTTGTTCACGTACGGATAGCCTCCCTCTCCCGAATACTCCACTACAGCGTATGCCTCTATCAGTGTCCTCACGCCGACAAACATGACGTTCCAGTAGTTGCTGAAAAACAGGAAACAGGTCTGTGTCGGCATCAAGTCACCCCGGAACATAATGACATATGATACCAGCCAGTGTAGCTGCAGAAACATGGAAACACATATCTCTGTGTAGATACTGAAACATGGTAACCATAGCTACCACGTAGATACCGAAGCATGGTAACCATAGCTACCCCGTAGATGTTGAAACGTTGTAACCATAGCTACCCCGTAGATGATGAAACGTGGTAACCATAGCTACCCCGTAGATTCTGAAACATGGAAATAATAAAACTAATAACGGTTAGCACTATATCGACTCTGTAGGTGCTGAAGCTTCTCTGTAGTTGTTGAAGAATGGTAACTTGACGTCTCTGTAGGTGACCCCATTCCTATCAGTGTCTACTTCAGGCAAAGTGTATCCACAAAGAGTAATGTCCATACACTCTCGCCGGACGCCTTTCATACAATTAACATCTTTTGACTTTGACTTGACTTTGGCCAGGGCATACGTCTGTAGTGCGTGTTATGTATGTTGTGCCACAGGAATATTATACCGCCTACCTGGTTTCGTTATGCACGGTCAAGGCGTTTTCTCCTTTGAGTGCCAAGGTGAAGGACCCGGTGAAAGCCAGGAGGATGACGAGGAAGAAGAGGATGAACTGGAGGATGTCCCTGCTGATGATCCTCCACAGGATCAGGGCGTACGCTCCCGTCCGTCTGCAGGGAAATATTCACGAGACACGTGCATAGGTAGATCTACATTGAAAACATCAAACATTTTCACATATGGTGTTCACCTGTTGTCAGTTACCTGAAGACCTCGTGTGCACGTGCTATCAGCTACCTGAGGACCAGGTCTACACCTGTTGTCAGTTACCTGAAGACCTCGTGTGCACGTGATATCAGCTACCTGAGGACCAGGTGTTCACCTGTTGTCAGTTACCTGAAGACCTCGTGTGCACGTGATATCAGCTACCTGAGGACCAGGTGTTCATCTGTTGTCAGTTACCTGAAGACAGCGGCGTACTTGAACATCCTGAGTGTCCACAGCAGGTAGCCCATGGAGAACACTTGCCACTGTTCCTGTCTGTGTGTGAAGCGGAGCGGGATCACCATCAGCAGCAGACAGGAGGACGACAGGTCGATCCAGTTGAACTTGTCACTCCAGTAATCTCTTCGGTGTCTGGAACAAGATGGCAAAAGAAAAAAAGAAGCAATACACGTTTTAATATTTTTTTCAGCAAACCATTGCTGTGTTACCTTGAAGTCCAGCCGAGTGTCTGAGTTACTCATCCACACAGTGTGATGGCAGACTTACCTCCTCATCTGGTTCAGCTCCAGGATCAGGGTGGTGAGGACGAGGACGGTCCCCACGCATTCCGCCACCCCCCGGGCGATCTGCAGGGGGTCCGAGTATATAAATGGGTCAGAGGTCAGGGACGAAACAGCCACGGAGAAGGTCAAACACAGCAATGCGACACAGAACAGCAAACAATTCAGTCTTCAGTCTGTAGAGAAGTCAAACACACTACATCAAATGCTACGTCATATTATGTAAACAATACTGACTCCATTAGAAGCATTCATTTCACTTGTGCCGTAGGGGTGGAAAGTAGGTGTAATTTAAATAGCCACCACTCCCAATACAGAAGTACACACCTATAACCTACCGATACAGTACTGACAGCCGGCAGGAAAACTACTGCGGCATATTACCTTATACTGATGTCAGAAGATATGTGGTATATAGTGAACGCCACACAACCCACTTTGAATATCCCACGAACCAGATTGCCATGGGAGAAAGCGGCAAATAGCAAGGACAATTGTATGAATGGAGAACTGAAATACAGTGATGATCTGATATAGCAACTATTCTCGAGTACCGAACCCGTTTTGATATTAAGTTACATCTTACTCGAATCGGAGTCTAGCGTATTTCTTCCACTTCCGGCGTATGAGGAGACGGACAACGTCGTGGAAGACTAGCGACTGCAACAGAACACGACAACACATACAGTACATGGTGAGGTAGCAAGCTTTCTGTGGATGATTGACTGACCTGCCTGGCTATGTAGACTCGGAGTTTAGAAAATACAGACTGTTTCCTGACCGCCACGGTGGTTTGAGGTTATCATGACTTAGGAATCTGAATATTGGACTATGTTTATTCGTTGTTTCTGGCCTACCTTCAAACCTCGCTGTGAGATCAGATGGAGGCAAGACTTGTCGTGGGAGTCAAACTCGGAATGACTGGGTGAGCGACCTTTCGCATCTACCTCCAGCACGTGATAGAACACCCTCACGTGACCACTGTCACCCAGATGGTCCATCATGGCGTCCAAGACGCTTAGTGCTGCTTGCTGTAATACAAATATAGTTCCTAAGAAACGAACCCTGAGTCCATCACACACAGTATCGTCGTCATTAAGTATAGCCCATATATCCAACAGAGACACTGATTATATATACCTGTACATGCACCTACTTACCTGTTTGACGTCATTTGTACCTGCGCTTAGTCCCACTTTCCTGTATGACGTCATATGTAACTGTACTTAAATCCACTTACCTGTGTGACGTCATCTGTACCTGCACTTATATCTACTTACCTGTATGACGTCATCTGTACCTACACTTATTCCCACTTACCTGTAAGACGTCATCAGCACCTGCACTTATATCCATTTTTCTGTATGACACCATCTGTGTAATGTAATTTGTATCTTCACTTTGGTCGACCTACCTGTGCAGTGTGTGACTACCCTCAGGACCAATCATTTGTTTTACGCCATCTCTACCTGCATGTATACCCGCTGCATCCCGCCATGTGTACCTTTACCGTTATATGTAAGATAATTGCCTCAAAGACCATCACCTGCATGTTGTTGTTTATCAGGTCATGTAGGCTGCACTCGGAAGTGGCTCCGGCGTCCTCGGTAGCGACAAACATATTCCGTACTCTGTAATCAGACACAACAGATTAGAGACCGGCCTTAGCATCAGTTGCTGAACATACAACACATGTGTGTTATACCATCTACTGTCTACAACTACTGTCTGTAAATAATGAACACGAGAAACCATTCGACCCTTTATTGGGACGATCGACCTACACGGTATGGGGCATGACCGACAGCAACATCGCCGCGATGTCGTCGTTGTTGTTGATGAGGGCAAGGTGGTAGGGCATGTTGTTGTCCTTGTCTCGGACGTGGGGGAGGGCGTCGTTCTCCAACAGTTTACTACACACACCCTTGAAGTTCCTCTTGACGGCGTGGTGGAGGGGGGTCTGCCAGGAGCTGTCGCACGTCGATGGGTTGGCGCCGCGGTGCAGCAGGGTGTTCACGAAGATCTGCACCTGAACAGAAACGTCTTGCATAATACACATTAATGAATGTTGTATTCTCAGTGAAATAACTTGAGGGCGGACATGTGATGGCGAAACAGTTTCTACCTTAGCTTCAGTAGGAAAGTGTGAGATGGCGTACAACAGTGCTGTCTCCTTGTCCCCATGGTTACTGATGAGGCAGTCTACGATGGTCTCCAGCTCAGCCTCCTGCCGCCCGATCAACAGCAGCTGACTCTTGTGGGCGACCTGCAGCAGACAAAACACAGACATGGTGACCATCGACCTGACACCAAACACAGACATGGTGACCATCGACCTGACACCAAACACAGACATGGTGACCATCGACCTGACACAAAACACAGACATGGTGACCATGGACCTGACACAAAACACAGACATGGTGACCATCGACCTGACCCGGCATGCGGCGTGTTTCTGTGGCTGTACAATAGCAGTGCTCATACAAACCACACTGGCACCATGACTAGCAAGCCGCCTTTTGGATATCTGACTTTACAATAGTAGCATACAGCCCACAGGGACATCCTTGTCATCAGCTGCCAACAGCCAGCCAGTAATCATTACGCCATTACGCAGAATGTGTATTACTATGGACGCAGGAATGTTTCTTTTCCCTCTATGGATAAAGCATGTATAATAGCTAAAATACCTCAGCTTGAAAATCGTCGCCTGTGACGTCCTGTCCGAGCAGATCCGACAACGACGGCACTGACGTAATGTGTTCACAGGAACGACACCGACCGTCTTCACACACATCCACGCTCCCACCTCGGGACGAGTAGCGGGGGACCTTGTTCTTACAGAGGGGGCAGTGTCTGTCGTCCCCCCGGGGGTGAGGGGCAGGGGAGGTAGGCGTGAGTGGGGGAGCTGGTCCAGGCTGGTCCGGAGGAGACGTTGTATCACTCCCTCCTTTCTCCCTCTCTGCGTCATCCTGTGGGACGCCTCCTGCGTACAACACAACACCTACACAGTGACTAGGTAACGAATGACATGGGTTGTCCTTGTCGGTCATATTACAACATTGGCTTGTCTGGACATGGTCGGACGTACGTACAGCTGAGTCGGTGAGTTTAGTTTTACGCCGCTTTTAGCAATATTCCAGCAATATGGGCTTCACATATTGTACATGTGCGGAATCGAACCCAGGTCTTCGGCGTGATGAGGGAACGCTTTAACCACCAGGCTATCCCACTGCCCGTACAGCTGAAGATAGGTCTTTCAAACCTCGTGTTTCATTCAGTATTTAGGCGATATGAGGAAGGACCAGTGAATCCCATCTTTAATGGGTTAGTGGACACTTCCATTCTACATAGCAGGGGTGTGGATGTAAATGTTTGTAATTAGTGTAGGCCAGATGGGGTGTAGGAAATATGAAGGTAAACCTAGGCCACGGGAACAGTAATTCATTCTGAACCGCTACATAAAGTAAGGAATATCTATGCTGTGCTATTGGATCTGAACATAAATGTTGGAATCTTAAAATGTCACAGTCAACAAATAATTAAGAAATGTTTTTTGTTCTCTGTACCAAACTTGACCGCCGACGTGTACAGGACGATCACCAGTGGATGTGACTGCTTGTAAATAATCGAGTCTGGACCGCACGATCAAGTGATTGCTGAGTAACGACCCACTAAGCCTGAGTACGATGACGCCTTCGTTGAAGTCACCGACACCGTCCACCGGATTTCGGAAAGGTTATTAGTATTCTAGGAATGATAATATCTTCTCTTTTCAGATGTGAATAAAGTTCAGAGTTATTACAAGACAGTATCACAAGACATTATCACAAGACATTATCACAAGACATTATCGGAAGACATTTTCACAAGACATTATCACAAGACATTTTCGGAAGATGTTCAAACTAATATTCATCCAATCTCGTTACGTGCCTGTGACGTCTGGATTTACTTGCAATGTCTGTATGTATTGAGAGATTAATGATTAACAACGGCAAGTCTTGAGAGTTCGGAGCAGTAGCCGAGTGGTTGCAACGTTCACTGGACACGTCGACAGTCAGAGTTTGATTTCCCATCGAGGGAATATTCTGGCGTAAACCAGGACTCTCTGAACTATGATGTTTGTCATACCAGTCCCGCGCCTACGGCCTCAGTTTACGGGTAATGTATCACTCCTGAAGATAATGAGGTCTCGGTAACACACGCTACAATCATGTCTCGGGGCAATATACTTCATAGGTCTATCACAGCGACGTGTTTCCTCATATGTAACCTAAACTATATATATATATATCTGAATAATACTAGTTACATATTTTTTGTTGTAATTTGTTAGTGATATGGTTGACATGATTTGTTAGACTTGTGATTTATTAGACTTAAACATACATTTGCAAATAATTATTTTCCTGATAATAAAAAACCCCAGACAAACAAGAAGGCGTATCCCACAAACCACGTGTTCAGTTTAGCATACACATATTTATCCATCAACATGCTCCTGTTGAGTTTATTAGGTTGCTGTACACAGGCTGACAACACGTGTCAGATAGCGTACTTATAACAAGGAAATACCCAGTCAATAGGGGTAGAGGTTGGTGTGATGGTACTTCCTCATTGTGTAGACCAGGAAACTCTGGACGGGCATGAATGAGCACTTCTAGATTATATTAAAGTGTTTGGTAGTTTTACTACTTTATAACATTTCAGAAACTTAGCAAACCTTTACGATGAGCGAGGTGTAAATGGGCCTAGCTGCTCAAACACCTATTACACTTATAATATTCAAACAATTATCAGTGAGTGAGTGAGTGGGTGGGTGAATGGGTGATTGAGTGCGTGAACGAGTAAATGAGTGTGTATGTGTGTAAGTGTGTGAGTGAGTGTGTATGTGCGTGAGTGTATGTGTGTGAGTGAGAGTGTGTAAGTGTGTGTGAGAGTGTGTGTGTGGGGGGGTTGGGGTGGGTGGGGTGAGCGAGTGTCTGTGTGTGTGAGAGTAAATGAGTGAGTGAGCGAATGAGTGTGTGAGTGGTTGAGTGGGCGACTGTTTGAGTGAGTGAATGAGTGAGTGAGTGAGTGGCCGGCTGTGTGAGTCAGTGAGTCAGTGAGTTGGATAGTCCAGTATTCCAGGTATGTACACACTACAGTTCTGTATCAAACTTCAACTTGTTTTCTCAAGTCTCTACGATTACCGTCTTAATCAAGAAAATCGTGGATTCTCACCTTTGTCCATGTCATCCAGGACTATGTCACCGTGGTCAATGTCGCACATGTTTAGTAGAGTCCTTGACGGGCACCGGATGAAGCGTCTCAAACACCGGACAACCTCCTAGTCGACATCCTCACAATACAGGAAGGGAGAAGCCTGTTGTCGGTATAAATAACTCGTGTTTTACCATACGTGTACAGCTGTTACTATTCAGCTGTGTGATTGTGGGGCACATAATGACACAACTGTAGGGTACATACTGACACAATACTGTAGGGCACATAGTGACACAACTGTAGGGCACATAGTGACACAACTGTAGGGTACATAGTGACACAACTGTAGGGCATATAGTGACACAACTGTAGGGCATATAGTGACACAACTGTAGGGCACATAGTGACACAACTGTAGGGCACATAGTGACACAACTGTAGGGCACAGAGTGACACAACAGTAGGGTACATAGTGACACAACGCTGTAGGGCACATACTGACACAACACTGTAGGGCACATAGTGACACAACTGTAGGTCACATACTGACACAATACTGTAGGGCACATAGTGACACAACACTGTAGGGCATATAGTGACACAACTGTAGGGTACGTAGTGACACAACTGTAGGGCACATAGTGACAAAAGTGTAGGGCACATAGTGACACAACTGTAGGGCACATAGTGACACAACACTGTAGGGCACATAGTGACACAACACTGTAGGGCACATAGTGACACAACTGTAGGGCACATGGTGACACAACACTGTAGGGCACATAGTGACACAACTGTAGGTCACATAGTGACAACTGTAGGTCACATAGTGACGCAACTGTAGACACATAGTGACACAATACTGTAGGGCACATACTGACACAACACTGTAGGGCACATAGTGACACAACTGTAGGGCACATAGTGACACAACAATGTAGGGCACATAGTGACACAACTGTAGGGCACATAGTGACACAACAGTAGGTCACATAGTGACACAATACTGTAGGGCACATAGTGCAAAAACTGTAGGGCACATACTGACACAACACTGTAGGGCACATAGTGACGCAACTGTAGGTCACATAGTGACACAATACTGTAGGGCACATAGTGACACAACACTGTAGGGCACATAGTGACACAACTGTAGGTCACATACTGACACAACTGTAGTTACATAGTGACACAATACTGTAGGGCACATACTGACACAACACTGTAGGGCACATAGTGACACAACTGTAGGCACATAGTGACACAACAATGTAGGGCACATACTGACACAACACTGTAGGGCACATAGTGACACAACAGTAGGGCACATAGTGACACAATACTGTAGGGCACATAGTGCAAAAACTGTAGGGCACATACTGACACAACACTGTAGGGCACATAGTGACGCAACTGTAGGTCACATAGTGACACAATACTGTAGGGCACATAGTGACACAACACTGTAGGGCACATAGTGACACAACTGTAGGTACATAGTGACACAATACTGTAGGGCACATAGTGACACAACTGTAGGTCACATAGTGACACAACTGTAGTGGACATAGTGACACAACAGTAGGTCACATAGTGACACAATACTGTAGGGCACATAGTGCAAAAACTGTAGGGCACATACTGACACAACACTGTAGGGCACATAGTGACGCAACTGTAGGTCACATAGTGACACAATACTGTAGGGCACATAGTGACACACATAGTGAGTGACACAACTGTAGTGCATATAGTGACACAACTGTAGGGCACATAGTGACACAATACTGTAGGGCACATAGTGACACAACTGTAGGTCACATAGTGACACAACTGTAGTGGACATAGTGACACAACTGTAGGGCACATAGTGACACAACTGTAGGCACATGGTGACACAACTGTAGGCACATAGTGACACAACTGTAGGTCACATAGTGACACAACTGTAGGGCACATAGTGACACAACTGTAGGCACATAGTGACACAACTGTAGGGCACATAGTCACATAGTGACACAACTGTAGGGCACATAGTGACAGTCACATGGTACCAACTGTAGGTCACATAGTGACACAACTGTAGGGCACATAGTGACACTTCTGTAGGACACATAGTAACAACTGTAGGTCACATAGTGACACAACTGTAGGCACATAGTGACACTTCTGTAGGGCACATAGTAACAACTGTAGGTCACATAGTGACACAACTGTAGGCACATAGTGACACAACTGTAGGGCACATGGTTACACAAACGTAGATCACATAGTAAACTATACTGACAGAGCAAGCCGTATAGACACATAGTGGCACAACTGTAGTTCACATAGCAACACAACCGTATCACAACCCTAACATATCTTCATTGTTTGCCTACTGGTTTCGAACATAGATTTTCAATCCAATAGATATAACTCATATACAATTCGTGTGAATATCAAGTCTAAAGCCTATTATGTAAAGTGAACTATATCGGGAACGTATCTGTACATAGACTAACAACTAGTCTCTGAAATGAACATATTTTACTGAAAAAAGTTCATAGTAAAAAACTATAAAATATAATGAAAAGGAGCCCTGAGACCTTCTTCATTTTCAGGAAATCTAGACTTGCCACATTTTCTAGACTTGTGTGGGCTTTCTTGGATATATTTGCTTCAGGATCTGTACGAGAGACTAATCTGTACATAGAGAGGGAAAATAATGGTCTGACTGTGGATCTAAATTTGGGAACAATAAACATTAGTTTTTCAAGGATAACCAATAATAAATTAAACATTGACTGTATTTGTCTAGCAGTGTCACAGACTGCCGCAGGGTCAGTGAAGGCAGTACATGCATAACTGCATTGCTCTATATTACTTAAAATATTCATCATACATTGTCTCCAATCTGTCCGTACACCTGCGAGGGAATATCTCAGTGACTCGGGTTATATCAGTGTTTACGACATTAACTATGTCCATATTGTCAGTTATAACAGTTTGTACTACATTGTGTATGTCCATAAACCGAGTTATAACAGTTTTTACGTCATTGTGTATGTCCTTAAACCGAGTTATAACAGTTTTACGTCATTGTGTAGGTCCATAAACCGAGTTATAACAGTTTTTACGCCATAAACCGATTTTACGCCATTGAGTATGTCCTTTAACCGAGTTATAACAGTTTTACGTCATTGTACGTCATTGTGTAGGTCCATAAACCGAGTTATAACAGTTTTTACGTCATTGTGTATGTCCTTTAACCGAGTTATAACAGTTTTACGTCATTGTGTATGTTCTTTAAACCGAGTTATAACAGTTTTACGTCATTGTGTTTGTCCATAAACAGAGTTATAACAGTTTTTACGTCATTGTGTATGTCCATAGTGCGGGTTATTACAGTGTTTGCTACATTGTGTCATAGTGACATCGCAAGTCAGGCGTTTGAATTTCATCTGAAGCTATCATCTATACATACAAATTTGAGTCGTCACAACTCCGACTGTAACTCTCTGGAAGAACATCACCATCCACCTACCGGGTTTTGGGGTTGATCCAGACGCTGAGAAGTACAATCCGGGGCTTCAGGGCTGTCAGAATCACATCAAGGTCAGAGGTCAGCACTTCTGGAGGCCACGTGTCCAGCAGACTCACGTGTTCATGTGCTGACACTTGACCAATACAACTTTAGGACGGTGACTGATTCTGGAGTACACTGGTACATACACGTGCTACAGCGATGGTGCTAACGGCCAGGACGCGGGAACAGTTCACATCACGCCCATCGCCGGGGAGGGGCAGATATGTGAGAATGCTTGAATAAACACTTGCAGGCCAACTCGCGGTGCAGACTGCCTGGCTCTCCGCTGTATCCCGAGGCTATCCGCCATGACAGACGCAGTCAGCGTAATAAACCCCACATGCAAACACAGGCCTCCATCTTACCCCGCGCCAGCTGCAGCGAGGTGCAAACAATTGAATGACATATGATTGTATTTGTCTTATAACTCAGTATTTACCATCTGCGGTGTAGTCGTAAACTCGCTGTTTTATAGCAGTAGCGCAATTGTTTATTCTATTTATTTAAATCTTAAAGTATATTTAGTGAGAGCACAATTCATTCAGAAATATCTGTGAGAGACTGATTGATGTAATAATTTATACGAGTGTAAAAATGGGCTTCACAACGCTTCCCGGCTTCTCCCCTAATGTGATGTAACGATGTTTCTTTGCCTGAGTCATGTCTCGCTGTTGTCTTGTGGCGCCTGTCAAGAATCAGTCACTATACCACACAGCTGCTGCCAGCGGGGAGTATGAACAGGTTGGAGGGTTACGGTAGCTAGCTGAAACACACTAGGCAGTGTTAATTAGTGTTATTGTTCAGGTGAAGACAGCTTACACTAGTCTGCAGGTGGACAGGAGGTCTCTTGACTTGGTATGACTGGTTTAGTGATTCCTGTTGAACAGGATCCGTCCCAGAAATTTATTAGTGCAGGGGCTTGTGTAATTTTTAATTTTTGGAACCAATACTAATTGTAATCACTATTGTGTATGGATTCAGGATAAACATGGTTCCATTTTTTCTGTTTGCTATAAGTGTCATTGTGGGGTGATTGAATATGAGTTCACAAAATTGCTTGCGACACCATTTCAAGAAAAACATGTTTTCATAAACTTATCACAACATAGTCATGTAGCATATCATAATAAAGCTTATGATGTATGACATAGAGATAACCACATGATATGCTTCTAATTTCAATTTGGTGATATAAAATATGACATAATCATATAAATTATTGTCTTAATAATATTGTATTTCCTTCATCAGACACCAACATTGTAAGTATTGGCCTATGTTAATGGAAACCACTTATTCAATTAATGTATTCTCCCATTTCATAAAATATACTACCATGACGCACTTATGTAGTAATAATAGTATCCAGGTAAGGTTAATGTGACTATCATACAGCCGTGCACAAGTGTCAAATCAGGCCTACCAGTACAGTCAGAATTGACACACTGACACTCGTGTCTGGGTAATTTAATGGCAAACGACATAAAGCCAAATCTGCAGACAATATAATCTTAATGTATTAATACAGGAGTGACAAATTGTATCACAGTGAACAGATAACTACATATTGCAAGTGGGGTATGCAAGTGCAATATATAATGTGCACTAGTATATTTATTTTAACTTTCACATTGTTAAGTAACTTCCATAATCAATCAATCCGTCATTAACCTGCAAGAACAAAATATTCTGTTGAAATACAAGCCTCGACATTATTTGTCATACAAACACAAGCATGAATTCTACGCATATTTTTTCTTAATTTGGAAACTAGAAGGGCCCTTGTTAGAAAACACGCCTCCGCCTTGCACAGCTATTACATTTTTAAAGTACTACTGTGTACTCGTACTTTAATGTACTTTGACCAAACCGTACGCAGGTAGCTCTTGTGTCATACCTAACATAACCACCAAGATTGATTCAAATCCACCAATACCTATTGAGATATTATTCATATTCTCCATTTATTTAACATTGCGATTATTTTCAATGTGCCTCTGTGTACATATGTGCTTTAACATACACTCTTCAAAAAATAACATTTGAAACTAATGATCGAAATATTGTAGTTAGTATGGTTTAGAAGAACAACCATATACGATTTTGAATGGTTTATCGATCATGATTGTCATGATGGGCTGACTGTTATTGAACACAACCAAAAGCATGCAAGGCATGAGTACAACCTATGACTATAAAAGACCGAAATGCATCTCGAAAATGGGACGTCTGAACGGTGCCCACCGAAATATTGCCATTGGACGATTACAAGGTGGTGAATCAGGACCTTCAGCATTTATCCCAGCACAATAACTCGTTTGTGGGATCGTTTTGTGCATTCCATGTCGACAAATGACCATCCAAGACACCGTGGAAACTGGAGACACATATGGTTCAGTGATGAATCGCGGTATCCCCTCAAGCGACGTGACGGAAGACAGCGTGTCTACAGACCACGCAATGAACGTTTTGCATCCAGCTGCATCAGGCAAGTGGACAGATTTGGTGGAGTTGGTGTGATGATGTGGGGAGCCATGTCATACACCTGCAGATCGGAATTGGTGCTCGTCCAAGGCAATCTTTCGGCTGCTCGATATATCGACCAGATTCTGTGCCCCCAATTGCATCGCCTTGTCGACTGCCAAAGGGAGCTGTACCAACAGGACAACGCCAGACCTCACACAGCACGTGCTACAGTGGACTACCTGGACAATAACAACATCCATGTCCTCCCCTGGCCCTCCAGATCCCCAGATCTGAAACCAATTGATTACCTGTGGGATCAGATAGATACATGTGTACGTCATTAATGTGTACGTGATTAAACCATTGAGACTGTAACAGTAACTGTTGTTCAACATGCTGCAGGAGGAATGGAGAAAGATTCCACAAGGAAACATCCAACAACTGATTCAATCTGTGTCAAGGAGGTGGCGTGCAGTTGTAGCAGTAAGAGGTGGTCATACAAGGTAGTAACGTCAACGTCACCTCGTGGACAGCAGTAATGACTATGATGAACATCATCCTTGTGAAATGTGCACGAGATACCAATGTATTGCTCTACTTATGCTTCAATGCTGTACCGTTTATTTTCGTTGATTTACATAATTGAATAAGACCAAATTTTTCAATGATATTTTGCTTTTGCGTTTCTTATTTTGAAGAGTGTACTTTCTTCAACATCTAATTGATTTGTCCTGGGGACATACCTAAGAGATCCAGTACGTTTAAATGAAATCCATCAAGTAGGTTTTGAGCAAGATGCTAACACATATACACACACACAAACAGGGTTGAGTGCATACCCTCTGCAACAAACCTTCGGTTTGGGCAGAAGCAGTTATGATCATATTGATTATTATGCATACATATATTATTGAGATTCATGATACATAATGGTAGTTGTAAAACACACATCACAAGGTACATTTTGACATACTACATGCCTATGTTGTGATAGGTTTATAAAAATATGTTTTCTCACATTGGTGTTGCAGCTCGATTATGGGTACCGATGTTCAGTTACCCCAGAATGACACTTATAATCAGCAGAACAAATGGAACCATGGTTTTTCTGAATCCATATGCAGTACTGATCACAATTATCAGTGGTTCCAAAAATTAACATGCACTTCCCACGGACATTATTTTTGCTACATAAGCCCCCGCACTATATCTTGTGCTGCTATTGTTGTAGGTCTGCGTTAAAGGTTTAGGATTGCTATGGAAGCGACCACTGCTGACTGTCAGCTGGAGACCTCAGAGTTCCGACTTTATGACTAACATTGAGGCTCTCGTTGCTAGAACTAACCACCATAGTGCCTGTGTGCATGTGGCCGTGAGAGTGTGAGTTGACATGTTACGTCGCCTCGGTATTATTTCAGCCATATAGCGACGAAACCAAGTCAGGACATATATACAGGTCCGTTTTATATACAAAGTTTAAAGGTGATTTCTTCACTACAGTATTATTTAGAACTAGAAAACATCGCAACATCAAATCTATCAAGTCACATACATTGAGATAACGTTTTCTCAGGTAGTTGACAATGAGATGCCTGCTCTCTCGCAACAAAACAGATCATCCAGATATATTGCTTCATAATGTGAATCCGTTGCATGTGAAAGGTCCACACAGTCAAGCAGAATATACTTGATGATGAACACTTCATTGACAGAGACACACTTGGGAGGCTCATCTCCATCCGTTTTGAGCAGATAGTCCTGAGTAAACCGCCCCTGATAATCCGGGTTAGAATTGGTCTTCAGTAATCCATGCTTGTCGTAAGAGGCGACTAACGGGGTCGGGTGGTCAGGCTCGCTGACTTGCTTGACACATGTCATCGTATCCCAATTGCGTAAATCGATGCTGATGCTGTTGATCACTGGATTGTCTGGTCCAGACTCGATGATTTACAGACCACCGCCATATAGCTGGAATATTGCTGAGTGCGGCGTTAAACACCAACCAACCAATCCTCAGTATACTGACTGTGGCCAAGATGTAAAAATACCTTATCATGTCTTGACTGATAACCCAAGTAAGTAGAACCAATTGTTGGTTTCAGTTCGGGAAGTTTATTTCTTTGATAGTGGGTTTTAAATCACTCAACTGGTCTAGCAGTGAAGATAGCGGTTTGTGACCGTACCAGGAAACTGCAAGGAAACTAGCCACATGTGCATCACTGCGAGAGGTCGCCTTAATCTTTGTCATGTACGATGCACGAAGCCCCCTTCTATACGGCTCTACTTGTTTTGGACGATGCCGTCAGTGTAGGAAAGTCATTTGCTTCATTTCCTGCGAACTAGATATGCACATTTAGACACGAACTGAATATACTTGCTGACATAGTTCCTGGCTTTGTTAAGATGGCATTGGTAGAACCTTTGTTACCAAAGTCTGACCTGGTCATTACAGGCTGCGATTTGACAGACTTGTCACATTCACGCCCGCGATCTGAGAGAAATCTGTGAAAATGCAATTTAGATCTCATCTACCATTGTGTGGACCGTGTCTGTGTACGGCCAGAGTTTTAGTCAAGAAAACTGCCCGCCTGTGTGTGAATTTGTGCACCCATTGTAGTGGTCAGTTTAATGCAATCTATGGACTACAGTGCCGCTTTCCACACAATTGATTATCAGATCTCGGTGATATTAGGGTGCCACAATGTTAAGTCCTCGGTCCAAACTGTTCAAGTTTTTACACAGGGTATCTTGGGAATATCATTTATAATCATACAGTCAAACGTGTTTTGTTGATGTCATCTAGCTGGTTTCGAAGCCTATTTTACAACTAGAACTCTGGTTGTTAACGCGTGGTTGAGAACAAGAGCAAGGATTCGGCATAAGATCTTGACCATGACCAACAACTGTGTCAAGGCCACGTGACTGGACACAAACCCTTCCTAACTCTGAAGCAGTTGATGGAACACTGTAACTTGGTCCAACGATTTCACCACCTTTGTTTGCTGTCAGGAATAATGGCTCACCCTTCAAATTTTCTGTTATTTATAACACAGCTATGAGTTAATTTCTTGAATTTCACTTTCATCTTTCTGTATAATGTAGTAGTGGAATCTGGCGTTGTAGAAATGGAATTATTTTAGCAATTATTATTTATCTGTCTTTTCGTGTTTCAGACTCCACACGTGACCCATTGACTTCTTCGGTGGCCAGTGCGGTCACTAAGACTTACCTCCCTTCCCTTGTATAGAAGCCTTCATTACATGAAGCGTCATAAAATATTATTCTTTCCCCCTGTATCCATGCCTCTACCGGCACGTGGCGTAGAGCAAACTGTTTTGATGTTGGCCCGGCTGTTATAATTCTACATCAATTCGGCAATACCTCTGGCAAACACATGTCGTTGAGCCACTGTAAGTGTTTTGTGGATATGTATTGCAGGTACAGCTGGTCAACCCGTGAACATCCCCGTTAGAACTGGTGTCGTAAGAGGCGACTAACAAGGTCGGGTTGTCAGACTCGCTGACTTGGTTGATGAATGTCATCGTATCCCAACTGAGAAGATCGATGTTCATGATGTCAATCACTGGATTGACTGGTCCAGCCTCAACTATTTACAGACCGCCTTCATATAGCTGGAATATTGCTGACAAACAATATAAGTTGTATGGTTCTCTCGAGGGTAATACGGTCTGATGTACGCCGCTTTGTAGCAGTGTCACCCAAGCTGGTAGGCGAGGGATGACACTGCTACAAAAGGCGTACATCAGACCGTATTACCCGAGGGAGAAGCATACAACGTATTTATGGTACCGCCATGTTAAATGTACAAAAAATCATGTTATTTTATGTTAAAGATCGCTACCGACTATATGACATGTAAACAAAATGGCGTCTGCCTCTAGACTGGATTTTAAAAACAGTGAGTCATATTCTGACAAGCTTAAAACTGCTATAAAATGGTTAACTATGTTTAAGTTGAGTGTGCAAACCATTCAATGTATAAAATAGCTTAAATAAAGCATTGAAAGTCGGTAAAATAAATCTGTACAAAGTGAACACAAAAACAGCTGATCGAACGGTTTTCGAACTCTGGGCACGGTATGTGCCATATTATGACGTCATACGATTGTTAGCGCATCAGCTTCTCGGCGGACAGCTTGGCGGTTACCATGGCAGTGGGTAATATTTTTTCCAGCTGGGGTGACACTGCTACAAAGAGGCGTACATCAGACCGTATTACCCTCGAGAAAAGCATACAACTTATATTGTTAAAGCGTCATTGATCAATGAAATTAAAGTATTTTACATGAAGGTAAGATATTAAACAAACAAATGCAACTAGTCAGTGGGGCAGTTTGCTATACTCTTTCATATTGATGTGTGTGCCGTTAAACAGCAAACCACCAACCGGCCAGACGGACGGACGGACGGACGGACGGACGGACGGACGGACGGACGGACGCAGGGGTTGTTGTCCTGTATATGCGATATAGAGCTGTACGGCAACCTGTGTGTAATCTTGGGTCGGGAATGTAGTGTACATGGCGAAGGTCAACATATGTTGCAGGTACAGACTATGGAATATTCATGTATGTAGACACACTAGTCTGTACCACTCAACCCAACTGCTCTGTATGTGGTGTCCAGTCTCCATCGCATGAATTATACATCGCCAACACTTGCTCAGGTGAAACCGAACCCATTATCAGCTGATTTGGTATTCAGAATAGGGTAAACACAACAACCTAACATTGATTTTCTTTCGGCATAGATACAGTCTGTGAGACTGGACACCGTATCAACCCTATAAAACACATTATGCACGACCTTTGTCGAGTTGTGTATCGAGGTAAAATCTACTGAAACACCTAATTTGTTAGCTTCCAGGCTCCACATAATAATGAATCAATACTGAGTGATACCGAGGTTTGGTGGGTTTCCTTCCCGAGACTTCTGCCTGGGTACTTGTACATGGTATAAACGACTCGTCTCACTGGCTATAAACACAGAACACAGGCTCAGCAGTCTCGCCATACTTGACATACACACTAAGTGATTATTGGACATACATGGCGGTACATGTGCAATCACATGTCTCGCCACAGGGTCTAGATACTTCCACGGCGTCCATCACTAGTCTTAGTCCTCTCTTTGATATATTGTAGCTCACCTTTCCTCTTTTAAACAAACTTGATAGATGTTTTGGTCGTGCAACTGACGCAGAACTGACACAGGCTTGGCCGAAAGTTGCCCCCAACATGTCAGCTTGCCCAGACTGTTTACACTCCTCTTTCTTCAACCGTCTGATTATCAGAACTTTGACTGCATCCAGTAAAAATTGTTGACGTAAATCTGGGCGTTGGACAAATAACCGGTAAGACAATAATATACTATTCACACTTTGCTAAGGATCAAATCATTGATACAACAGAAAACTATGATGTGAGATGAAAGCTGGTTTAAATATCTAAGCTTATGGTAAGCATGGATCCAAGTTTTCAGTATGTCACTGAACGTCTTTGATGAAACTGTCCAAAATCATTTCAGAGGAAGACACACTGGCAGTAATATACCCCAAACATTGTTGAATGTCTAAACTGAAAGCTGTGGAACAATATCTGATAATGAATGTTGCCATTATTGGCCCTATGTGAAGCTGCTGAGTTGTACATAGTTTATACACTTACGGATTATCTTGCCCTGCTTTACGAGTTTGTTTGGATTGTGCATCCTGACAGATTGTTAAACACTGACGAAGTTACTATTGAGCATGCATACTGATATACTGTGGATATGTCCAAACAAGTTCGATGTGCTTTGAAATACACTCACACCAGCATGTTTGTGAAGAACAAGGAAAATATGAAATTAAATTTGTGGGAATTTGACGCCTTGGAAGGTTTATGACTGATATCCGAGTTCGTATTTATCGCAGCAAGCACTGCACAACGGGATATGACTAAGACGTGCCGTGTGGCGGCATCATTGAAGGTGTTTTGGGCTGCCTCTAACATGGCTATGAACTTGATCTTGTGACGATCAGAACAGACAAAATCTGAACAGACAACCGTACAACCCTGGTATCCTACACAGGCGTGTTATACTACATGGCCATGGTCCACATGTTAGGCCACATCGAGCACGTACCGAGACGAGGCGGTAGTAACTCTACCTTGGCCTGCCAGATCTCAATCCCATTAGAGCATGTTTGGTAATTATGGGTCACAGAATACGCCAGAGAAATCCTCCTCAACAGAATCTTGCTGTATTAAACAAGCCCTCCACCAAGAATGGAACGCAGCGTCAAATTCAGTCTGATACACTCAATGAGGAGGAGGGTCAAGGTTGTTATTGCATTGGAAGGATGCAGGTACTGACATTGATATCATCAAGTATTATTGATACTTATGTGATGTATCGGGGAATGCAACGTCATAGTTATCAGCACTACAAAGATGAGTCAGTTTGAGGTTTGGATAAGTTCCTCTGCTGTGGTTGATGGTAACAAATTGATGTTATGAAAAATATGGGATATTACGATAAAAAAGTCCATGTATATAATCCGACTCTACAATAAAAGATATTTAAAGACATCACAAATTATTTATAGTCTCATGAAAACTTCGGGCGTTTTTAAATTATTTTGAGTAGTATGCAATTGGCGCCTTGTGGAGTCAATTTTTATACAGTATTTCAAGTGGTACGTTCACGACGAAGATGACGGAAGGCGTGTACTCCAAGAACCAATAACTGCCAACCACGTAATGAAGACCTGGACTTTACAGATCTCAGCCATTGTTGTTAGGAGCCTTGAATACCGGAGAGAATGTCAACAAGTATACATTTGCAGATTTGTGTGACTTGAAGGCGACCTCAAGTCAGACCAATATCTGTAGAGTTTGTTGACGGAACTCTTGAGGTCATCATGGATGCATCATGGCTGCCAGGTAGTGTTTGCTGCGTCAGTTAAAAGCGCGGAGAGAGACGTGGCGGACCGCGAGAGTGTTGTCTTAACTGAATAATAATAATTCATGTCACGACTACCCGGCGATGAATGTCTATCGCATGGGAACATGCCGTGACACAGGGACATAGCGTGACAGAGGGACATAGCGTGACACAGGGACATATGTTGGGCTCGACACCAGCTGAACGACAGTACACGGAGCGGCATCTCCCGATACAGGTACAGTTAAATCATTTCTACAATCACAAATGTTAAGATTCTGTAGGAGTCATGTGATTTGTTCACACTTAAGGGGCGTCACAATACCAGTATTATTAATATAGGTAAAATAGGCTATATTATACGACAAGAGGCTTCGTGTAGCGCTTGTGTGCCAGATTGTAGTTGTAACGATGGTTACGTCCACACCCTCGTCACGTGACATACTACATCAGTTGTACTTTTTACTGCGGCTGTCTCTTGGGTGATGTGTGATCAAACACAATAAAATCTCAAACAGAAAGTTATAACGTGGCAAACAGAACACTATAATGTGACAAACAGAACATTATAACATGTCAAATAGGACATTATATCACGACGAACGGAATATAATACGGCGACAGAGACTATAAAATGATAGTATTATAGGATGAAAAATATGGCAGTTAATATTTTAAGATGACAGTCACTATATAATGTAAAACAGAACAATATAAGATGTCAAACATTATAAGATGAAAGACAATATGTAATATTGTAATGTGTAAAACAGCCTTGTCAAATGGGAAACCGGCCATTAGACGATGACAGTCAGTACGCGATGAAACACAGATTATCAGATTACAGTGATGATTTTAGGAGGTGACAAACTCTTTTTCCTATGTGACAGAATGAAGACGTTCGATGAAATCCTACACCACGTGGGGGAGTTTGGAACTTATCAGAAGAGGATATTCTTCTTTCTTTGTCTCCCCTCGATAGTTACAGCGTTCCTCACATTCAGCTCAATCTTCACCATGTACATCCCCCCTCACAGGTAACACCCCTACACCCCGTAACAGGTGATACTACTACATAACCCCTCACAGGTAATACCCCTACACCCCGTCACAGGTAACACCGTTACATCCTCGTCACAGGTGATACACCTACACAACCCTCCCGTCACAGGTGATACACCTACACAAACCCTCACAGGTGATACACCTACACCCCGTCACAGGTAACACCCTACACGCCGTCACAGGTGATACCCCTACACCCCGTCACAGGTGATACACCTACATAACCCCTCAAAGGTAACACCTTTACACCCCGTCACAGATAACACCCTACACCCCGTCACAAGTGATACCCCTACACCCGTCACAGGTGATACACCTACATAACCCCTCACAGGTAACATCTTTACACCCCGTCACAGGTAACACCCCCACACCCCGTCACAGGTGATACACCTACATCCCCCCTCACAGGTAACACCGTTACACCCCGTCACAGGTGATACACCTACACCCCGTCACAGGTAACACCCCAACTACCCGTCACAGGTGATACACCTACACCCCACCTCACAGGTAACAACGTTACACCCCGTCACAGGTAACACCCCTACACCCCGTCAGAGGTGATACACCTACATAACCCCTCACGGGTAACATCTTTACACCCCTGTCACAGGTAACACTCCTACACCCCGTCACAGGTAACACTTTCACCCCCCGTCACAGGTGCACCCTGCACAGCCTCTATCAGGTGATACACCTACATAAGTGTCCCTCACAGGTAACACCTTTACACGCCGTCACAGGTGATGCCTCTCTACACCCCGTCACAGGTGATACACCTACATAACCCCTCAAAGGTAACACCTTTACACCCTGTCACAGGTAAACACCCTACACCCCCTCACAGAGTGATACCCCTACACCCCCGTCACAGGTGATACATCTCCCTACATAACCCCCTCACAGGTACATCTTTACACCCCGTCACAGGTAACACCCTCACACCCCGTCACAGGCGATACACCTACATCCCCCTGTCACAGGTGATACACCGTTACATCCTAGTATACAGGTAACACCCCGTCACAGGTAACACCCCTACACCCCGTCACAGGTGATACACCTACACCCACTCACAGGTAATACACCTACACCCCCTCACAGGTAATACCCCTACATCCCTGTCACAGGTAACACACCTACACCCAGTCACAGGTAATACACCTACATAACCCCTCACAGGTAATACCTTTACATCCTTGTCACAGGTAACACACCTACACCCAGTCACAGGTAACACACCTACATAACCCCTCACAGGTAATACCTTTACATCCCGGTCACAGGTAACACACCTACACCCAGTCACAGGTAACACACCTACACCCCCTCACAGGTAATACACCTACATAACCCCTCACAGGTAATACCTTTACATCCCCTGTCACAGGTAACACACCTACACCCAGTCACAGGTAACACACCTACACCCCCTCACAGGTAACACCCCTACACCCCGTCACAGGTGATACACCTACACACACTAACAGGTAACATCTTTACACCCCGTAACAGGTAACACCCCTACACCCCGTCACAGGTAACACCCCCACACCCCGTCATAGGTGATACACCTACACACCCCCTCACAGGTGATACACCTACACCCCGTCACAGGTGACACACCTACACCCCGTCACAGGTAACACCCCCAACACCCCGTCACAGGTGATACACCTACATAACCCCTCACAGGTAACACCTTTACACCCCGTCACAGGTAACACCCTACACCCCGTCACAGGTGATACCCTACACCCCGTCACAGGTGATACACCTACATAACCCCTCACAGGTAACATCTTTACACCCCGTCACAGGTAACACCCCTACACCCCGTCACAGGTGATACACCTACACCCCCTCACAGGTAATATCTTTACACCCCGTCACAGGTAACACCCCTACACCCCGTCACAGGTAACACCCTACACCCCGTCACAGGTGATACACCTACATAACCCCTCACAGGTAATACCTTTCCACCCCGTCACAGGTGATACACCTACACCCACTCACAGGTAATACTCCGACACCCCGTCACAGGTAACATACCCTTACACCCCGTCACAGGTGATACACCTACACCCACTCACAGGTAATACACCTACATAACCCCTCACAGGTAATACCTTTACATCCCTGTCACAGGTAACACACCTACACCCAGTCACAGGTAACACACCTACATAACCCCTCACAGGTAATACCTTTACATCCCCGTCACAGGTAACACACCTACACCCAGTCAAAGGTAACACACCTACACCCCCTCACAAGTAAGACCCCTACACCCCGTCACAGGTGATACACCTACACACACTCACAGGTAATACCTTTACACCCCGTCACAGGTGATACACCTACATAACCACTAACAGGTAATACCCCTACACCCAGTCACAGGTTATACACCTACATAACCCCTCACAGGTAACATCTTTACACCCCGTCACAGGTAACACCCCCACACACCGTCACAGGTGATACACCTACATCCCCCCTCACAGGTAACACCGTTACACCCCGTCACAGGTGACACACCTACACCCCGTCACAGGTAACACCCCAACTACCCGTCACAGGTGATACACCTACATCCCCCCTCACAGGTAACAACGTTACACCCCGTCACAGGTAACACCCCTACACCCCGTCACAGGTGATACACCTACATAACCCCTAACAGGTAACACCGTTACACCTCGTCACAGGTAACACCTTTACATCCCGTCACAGGTGATACACCTACACAACCCCTCACAGGTGATACACCTACACCCCGTCACAGGTAACACCCTACACGCCGTCACAGGTGACACCCCTACACCCCTGTCACAGGTGATACACCTACATCCCCCTCACAGGTAACACCCCCACACTCCGTCACAGGTAACACCCTACACCCCCGTCACAGGTGATACACCTACATGAACCTCAAAGGTAACACTTTTTACACCCTGTCACAGGTGTAACACCCTACACCTGTCACAAGTGATACCCCTACACAACCCGTCACAGATGAAACACCTAGCATAACCCTCACAGGTAACATCTTTTACACTCCTGTCACAGGGTAACACCCCCACACCCCGTCACAGGTGATACACCTACATCCCCCTCACAGGTAACACCGCCACGACCTCACACAGGTGATACACCTACACCCTGTCACATGGGTAACACACCTACGCAACCCCTCACAGGTGATACACCTCCATACACCCCGTCACAGGTAACACCCCTACACCCCTGTCACAGGTAACACCCTACACTCGTCACAGGTGATACACCTACATAACCCTCACAGGTAACACCTTTACACCCCCGTCACAGGGTAACACCCCCTACACCCCGTCACAGGTATACACTCTACACCCCTGTCACAGGTAATACTCTTTCCACCTCACATACACCCCTCACAGGTAACAACGTTACACCCCGTCACAGGTAACACCCTCACACTCCTGTCACAGGTGATACACCTACATAACCCCTCACAGGTAACATCGTTACACCCTTTCGTCACAGGTAACACCTTTTACACCCCTGTCACAGGTGATACAACTACAAAACCCTCACAGGTAATAACCCCCACATTCCGTCACAGGTAACACCCCCACACCCCGTCATAGGTCATACACCTACATAACCCCTCACAGGTAACACCGTTACACCTCGTCACAGGTAACAACTTTACATCCCGTCACAGGTGATACACCTACACAACCCCTCACAGGTGATACACCTACACCCCGTCACAGGTAACACCCTACACGCCGTCACAGGTGATACCCCTACACCCCGTCACAGGTGATACACCTACATCCCCCCTCACAGGTAACACCCCCACACTCCGTCACAGGTAACACCCCCACACCCCGTCACAGGTGATACACCTACATAACCCCTCAAAGGTAACACCTTTACACCCCGTCACAGATAACACCCTACACCCCGTCACAAGTGATACCCCTACACCCCGTCACAGGTGATACACCTACATAACCCTCACAGGTAACATCCTTTACACCCCTGTCACAGGTAGGCACCCCCAGCACACCCTGTCACAGGTGATACACCTACATCCCCCTCACAGGTAACACCAGTTACACCCCGTCACAGGTGATACACCTACACCCCGTCACAGGTAACACCCCAACTACCCGTCACAGGTGATACACCTACATAACCCCTCACAGGTAACAAAGTTACACCCCGTCACAGGTAACACCCCCTACACTCGTCTGTCACAGGTGATACACCTACATACAACCCTCACAGGTAACACCTTTACACACCGTGTCAGGTAACACCCCCTACACCCTGTCACAGGTAACACCTTCTACACCTCCTGTCACAGGTTTTTACACCTACATCTCACACAGGTAACAACGTTACACCCTGTCACAGGTAACACTCCTACACTTCCTGTCACAGGTGATACACCTACATAACCCCTCACAGGTAACACCGTTACACCTCGTCACAGGTAACACCTTTACATCCCGTCACAGGTGATACAACTACAAAACCCCTCACAGGTGATACACCTACACCCCGTCACAGGTAACACCCTAGACGCCGTCACAGGTGATACCCCTACATCCCGTCACATGTGATACACCTACATAACCCCTCACAGGTAACACCCCCACATTCCGTCACAGGTAACACCCCCACACCCCGTCATAGGTCATACACCTACATAACCCCTCAAAGGTAACACCTTTACACCCCGTCACAGATAACACCCTACACCCCTGTCACAAGTAATACCCCTACACCTGTCACAGGTGATACACCTACATAACCCCTCACAGGTAACATCTTTACACCCCGTCACAGGTAACACCTCCCCACATTCCCTGTCACATGTGATACACCTACATCCCCCTCACAGGTAACACTGTTACACCCCTACACAGGTGGATACACTCTACACCCACTCCTCACAGGTAATACCTTGATACCCCTGTCACAGGTGATACACCTACACCCCCGTCACAGGTGATACACCTACATAACCCTCAAAGGTATACACCATTACACCCCTGTCACAGATAACACCCTACACCCCGTCACAGGTGATACCCTCCACCCCGTCACAGGTGACACCCCTAACATAACCCCTCAAAGGTAACACCCCTACATCCCCGTCACAGGTAACACCCCACACCCCGTCACAGGTGATACACCTACATCCCCCTCACAGGTAACACTTTACACCCCTGTCACAGGTGATACACCTACACTCCCCTCACAGGTATACACTGTTACACCCTGTCACAGGTGATACACCTACACCCTGTCACAGGTATACACTCCCAACTACCTGTCACAGGTGATACACCTACATCCCCCTCACAGGTAACAACCTACACCCCTGTCACAGGTAATACCCTACACCCTGTCATCACAGGTAATACACCTACACCCCTCACAGGTATACCTTTTACACCCTGTCACAGGTAATACACCTACACCCCTGTCACAGGTAATACACCTACACCCCCTCACAGGTAATTTCTACACCTAATAATTTCTACACCCTGTCACAGGTAATAACTTTACACCCCTGTCACAGGTAATACACCTACACCCTGTCACAGGTAATACACCTACACCCCTGCACAGGTAATACCCCTACACCTGTCACAGGTAATACACCTACACACACTCACAGGTAACACCCCTACACCCTGTCACAGGTGATACACCTACACCCATCACAGGTAGGTATACCTTTACACCCCAGGTCACACCACACCTCACAGGTATATACCTACACCCTGTCACAGGTAATACCCTACACCCTGTCACAGGTAATACACCTACATCCCCTCACAGGTAATACCCCTACACCCCTGTCACAGGTGTATACACCTACACACCCTGTCACAGGTAATACACCTACACCCTGTCACAGGTGATACACCTACATCTCCCTCACAGGTAATACCCTGTCCTACACCCTGTCACAGGTAATACACCTACATAACCCTCACAGGTAATACCCCTACACCCCTGTCACAGGTGATACACCTACACCCTGTCACAGGTAATACACCTACACCCCTGTCACAGGTAATACACCTACACCCTGTCACAGGTAATACACCCTACACCCTGTCACAGGTAATACACCTACACCTCTGTCACAGTGTAATACCTCTACACCTCCTGTCACAGGTAATACACCTACACTCCCTGTCACAGGTAATACACCTACACCCTCCTCACAGGTAATACCCTCTACACTCCCTGTCACAGGTGATACACCTACATAACTCCTCACATGTAATACCCCTACACCCTGTCACAGGTGGTAATACACCTACATAACCCCCTCACAGGTAATACCCCTACACCCTGTCACATGTGATACACTTCCATAGCTCCCTCACAGGTAATACCCCACACCCCCTGTCACAGGTGGATACACCTACATACACCCCTCACAGGTAATACACTCTACACCCCTGTCACAGGTGATACACCTACACCCCTGTCACAGGTAATACACCTTTACACCCTGTCACAGGTGATACACCTATATCCCCCTCACAGGTAACAACCCTACACCCTGTCACAGGTAATACCCCTACACCCCGTCACAGGTGATACACCTACATCCCGTCACCTCATAAGGTACATCCTACATACCTTTACACCCAGTCACAGGTAATACCCCTACACCCCTGTCACAGGTAATACCTTCTACAACCCGTGACACAGGTGATACACCTACATAACCCCTCACAGGTAATACCTTTACACCCTGTCACAGGTAACACCCACTACACCCTGTCACAGGTAATACACCTACATAACTCCCTCACAGGTAACACTTTTACATCCCTGTCACAGGTAATACACCTACACCCTGTCACAGGTGATACACCTACATAACCCTCACAGGTAATACCTTTACACCCTGTCACAGGTGATACACTCTACACTCCTGTCACAGGTAACCCATACCCTACACCCTGTCACAGGTGATACACCCACATCCTGTCACAGGTAACACCCTACACCCCCGTCACAGGTGATACACCTACACCCACTCACAGGTGATACACCTGACACCCCTGTCACAGGTAATATTCTTTACACCCCGTCACAGGTAATACACCTACACCCCGTCACAGGTACATATCCTTTACACCCTGTCACAGGTAATACACCTACATAACATGCCCTTCGTCACAGGTAATACACCTGCACACCCTGTCACAGGTAATACACTCTACACCCCAGTCACAGGTGATACACCTACATCCCACTCACAGGTAATACACCTACACCCCCTCACAGGTAATACCTTACACCCCTGTCACAGGTAATACACCTACACCCAGTCACAGGTAATACACCTACACCCCTGTCACAGGTAATACACCTACACCCCGTCACAGGTGATACACCTACACCCACTCACAGGTAATACCTCTACACCCCTGTCACAGGTGATACACCTACACCCTGTCACAGGTAATACTCCTTTACATCCCCTCACAGGTAATACACTCTACACCCCTGTCACAGGTAATACACCTACACCCACTCACAGGTAATACACCTACACTCCTGTCACAGGTAATACCTTTACACCCCTGTCACAGGTAATACACCTACACCCAGTCACAGGTACACACCCTACCCCTCACAGGTAATACCCCTACACCCCGTCACAGGTGATACACCCCTACACCCCGTCACAGGTAATACCCCTACACCCCGTCACAGGTAATACACCTACACCCCGTCACAGGTAATACCCTACACCCCGTCACAGGTAATACCCCTACACCCCGTCACAGGTAATACCCCTACACCCCGTCACAGGTAATACACCTACACCCCCCATCACAGGTAATACCCCTACACCCTCACAGGGTAATACCCCTACACCCCGTCACAGGTAACACCCTACACCCCCTCACAGGTAATACCCCTACACCCCGTCACACCCCCTGCTGATACACCTACACCCCTCACAGGTAATACCCCTACACCCCGTCACAGGTAATAGCACCTACACCCCTACTACACCCCCTCACAGGTAACACCCCTACACCCCGTCACAGGTGATACACCTACATAACCCCTCACAGGTAATCCCCTACACCCCGTCACAGGTGATACACCTACATAACCCCTCACAGGTAACACCCCTACACTCTGTCACAGGTGATACACCTACACAACCCGTCACAGGTAATACACCTACATAACCACTCACAGGTTATACACCTACATAACCCCTCACAGGTAATACACCTACACCCCGTCACAGGTAATACACCTACATAACCCCTTACAGGTAATACTCCCCCTCACAGGTATTATTCAGTTCAACAACTACATCATATACCCGTCTAACCCAGTTCTCCCCATCCCTTTTTAATTCTTCTCTGTATCCGACGGTAGGTGTGCAGTTCCCGGCCTCAGTAACGACACATACGCCATACAGGGAGACAACCATCGTCGACTGGTCAACCTGACCATCCCCGTTAAAGATGGCGCCTTCTCCAAATGTAATGTCTATACAGATGACGTCACAGACCTTGATCAGAGGGCAGACAACTCCAGCCAGTCTCAGTGCAGCCAATGGGTGTACGACAAATCAATGTTTACATCCACCATAACAGAAGACGTGAGTTGAATTTTTTATCAACTTCTTACAGTTCTTGTTTTAGCGAAACATGACAACATGTTGCATGTAGCAGCTGTTGTGACTCTTCCAGAAGGTGTGCACGTACTGGTGCTTGGTGAAGATCAAAGTCTCTATAAGAGGTTCATGTGGTCAACATGGATGTTCCTGGGGTATGAGTGAGTGGGTTGGGATTTACACCGCTTTTAGCAATATTCCAGCAATATCACGGCGGGGACACCAGAAATGGGGTTGTGGTGATGTTGGGTTGTGGTGATGTTGGGTTGTGGTGATGTGGGGTTGTGGTGATGTGGGGTCCACAGCTGTGTGGTGATGTGGGGTTGTGGTGTGTTGTTGTGGTGTTGCGGTGTCTTGACGCTAGCTTTCCCTCCACAGCTGTCTGGTGGTGACAACGTGTGATGTGGGGTTGTGGTGATGTGGGGTTGTGATGTGTAGTGGTGATGTGGTGTGTGGTGTCTTGACGCTAGCTTTCCCTCCACAGCTGTCCCTGGTGTGTGACAACGTGGTGATGTGGGGCTGTGGTGATGTGGTGTTGTGGTGATGTGGTGTTGTGGTGTCTTGACGCTAGTGGTGTGTGACAACGTGGTGATGTGGTGTTGTGGTGATGTGGGGTTGTGGTGATGTTGGGTTGTGGTGATGTGGGGTTGTGGTGATGTTGGGTTGTGGTGATGTGGGGTAGTGGTGTTGTGGTGTTGTGGTGTTGTGGTGCCTTGACGCTAGCTTTCCCTCGACAGCTGTCCCTGGTGTGTGACAACGTGGTGATGCGGTCTCACTCCAACATGGCCGTCATGGCGGGGATGCTGGTTGGCTCGTTCGGACAGAGTGTCATCAGCGACATGTGAGAGTACTGCTAGATTACTCGAGGCTCCTGGTGTTCTGTGCTCTCCTCATGTGTCTGTCCATCATGTCTCTCTGTGTATCCTGTGTGTCTCTCCGTCAGATCGTCCATGAATCTCAATCTCTGTGTGTCTCTCCGTCAGATCGTCCATGAATCTCAATCTCTGTGTGTCTCTCCGTCAGATCGTCCATGAATCTCAATCTCTGTATGTCTCTCCGTCAGATCGTCCATGAATCTGTATCTCTGTGTGTCCGTTATTAGCCTATATAAGCCTCCCCGAGGCTCTGTTATAGCATGCAAGTCGGAATGATATATTTGGTTCCGATGGTACCTTCCAGTCTGTTCTGGGTTATGGAGATATACTTATTTTCATGGACAGCTGATTGAGAGATACTCACTTCATCACTTTCACCTACCCTGTGGTGTAACGCCATTCATTCTTCACATTCCAGTTTTGGACGGAGAAAGTCGTGCATGATCTTCCTTTTAATGCTCATCTGTGTCGGCTTCCTCAACTACGTCATCCGCGACTTCGCCTCCCTCATCATCATCCGCTTCCTCACTGGATGTGGAACAACATCGGTGGGCATCGCGTGCTACGTCATGGGTACGTCATGAGTACGCCAAGGTACATCATGGATACATGTGTATGTCGTGAGCACGTAATAGCCACGTCATGAGTACACTATGAGTACGTCACGGGTGTGTCATGGACACGTCCTGGGTACATCACGGGTATATATATCATCTTCAGGATAACTGTGTCATTCTTCCTCTTGGGTTCAGAGGAGACTGGACCAATCTTAAGTTCACTGCATAACGGAGCACATACATGTAGTTAGCACATGATGCGTGCTCAGTACTACTTTCTCAATATACGTCTCATGGAGGCGTGTCAAGTGTACGTTCATAGTTTGGTTTAACATGAGATACATATTATACATGGAGTATTTCAAAGCTCACGTGTACAATTATTAAAGATATTTCGCTACGGTATTAAGAGAGGGGTTTGATACATGGTCTCGCTTCATGTGCAGGCCAAGCAAATGGCCCGGCTGGATGTCGCTCCCAAAGGGGCCGTGCATGAATCAGTGTATCAAACTGTAGGAATTGTTTTGTGACTCAAACTTTGGTCAACTGCTTGGTCTCTTGGATGGAATAGTTTTTCTCATTCGGTGATTTTAAAACCAATGTTGCGTTTGCAACATGAAGATTATACTAGATTCATTTCATTTGTGTTTTTTTGTGTTGCAGTACATAGTTTCTCTCACAAACGTTATTTCGAAAAAAAGTTATTTCGAAAGTCTGTGGTAAATTAAACCGCCCTTTGTTAGATAGGTGAAGTTATTTCTCCTGTAACGTTTCTATTCGTGCTAGGGTCAGGGTCAGGGTCAGGGTCAAGGTCAAGGTCAGGGTAAGAACCTATAGTACATTGTTGGTCACTTGAAGATATAAGGCAAGTTACGCTGTGAAAGGCATGATGTAGCGTGTGTGGATGGGTCTGTTTCAGGGATGGAACTGGTAGCTCCGACCAAGCGCGTCTACGCAGGGATGGGGGGCTTGTTCCTCTGGATGCTGGGGATGGTTCTGATGTCGGGTGTGGCCTACTTCCTCCGTGACTGGCACAACTACGTCCTCGCCCTGGCAGCTCCCTCGGTCGTCTTCCTCTCCTACTGGTGGTAAGCTGGTGTACGTCTGACTGTGAAACATGGTGCTTATTAGAAAGTAGTAAAAAAACAGAGGTTCAAAAGAATGTAGACACCTACCTTTTATGGGGATTATTTTCCAAAACATTACATTGCATTTTGAAAAAAGGTGTTTTGCGTTGTGACAGTAACACCACAGTTATCCTTCACAATGTCATACGCGGGACATCATGAACATTACGTTGTTGTTGAATTGCACATGCATGATATCACTAACAGTATAGAACACAATCGACTGAGGTTGTTGGCGGTATACATGTTAAAGGCACACATCAAACATGTATTGATTGTATTCATTGTGTGACATCTATTGACTGTATTCATTGTGTGACATGTATTGATTGTGTGACATGTATTGATTGTATTCATTGTGTGACATGTATTCATTGTGTGAGATGTATTCTTTGTATTCATTGTGTGACATGTATTGACTGTATTCATTGTGTGACATGTATTGATTGTATTCATTGTGTGACATGTATTCTTTGTATTCATTGTGTGACATGTATTGACTGTATTCATTGTGTGACATGTATTCTTTGTATTCATTGTGTGAGATGTATTGATTGTATTCATTGTGTGACATGTATTCTTTGTATTCATTGTGTGATATGTATTGATTGTCTTCATTGTGTGACATGTATTGACTGTATTCATTGTGTGACATGCATTGATTGTATTCATTATGTGACTTGTATTGATTGTATTGATTGTGTGACATGTATTGACTGTATTGATTGTGTGACATGTATTGATTGTATTCATTGTGTGACATGTATTGACTATTAAAGGATTGTGCCAGAATCTCCACGGTGGCTCATGTCTAAAGGCAGGTTTGAAGAAGCTGAAGCCATCATCCGGAGGTTTGCGAAGGTCAACAAGACAAAGCTTCCAGAAGACATGTTTGATGGTAAATTTGTGGCGGAGACTGAAACTAAGGGCAAACTGTCTGAGCTGCTGACGAACAGAACCCTAGCGATTCGCTGTTTGATCATCAACTTCCACTGGTACGTGACCTGGATGTTAACGTGCTTCAACCTCACGTGTACATCTGGTCTGGTTGTCATCTTGTTTACTTTATTCAACGCTTCCATAGATAATAGGCATATTAACCGTAAAGTAGAACTTCTGTACGGAATATTTGTTTTGAACAGGGCCGTGTGCAGTTTGATCTATTATGGCTTGACGCTGAACGTCACCAACCTCAGCGGCAACGTCATCATCAACTTCGTGCTGTCTGGGCTGGTGGAAGCAGTGGGGTATCTGCTGACACTGTTTCTGCTCAACAGACTTGGCCGGAAGCGGCTCCATTGCATTTTCTTGCTGGGCGGGGGCCTCGCCTGTCTCGCCTCCATCTTCCCAGTCCTGTATGCTGATGATGGTATGTAGCTCGTCACCATTTTGTGACAGTTTTAGTGAAATGTTATAGAATTACGATTTCTTTGTTTCATCATGAGATATAGGCTTTATAAACTTTACACATATGTCTGAAGACTCATTGTTCATTAAAGACGACCATTGTGATTACAGTTGTTGATCTGTATTGTCCAGAAACCAAGTGGACCCTGGTCGTGTTGTCCCTCGTGGGCAAGATGGGCGCGGCAGCAGCGTTTTCAACACTCTACATCTTCACTGTTGAGCTTCATCCCACCCCCGTCCGCAACACTGCTGTTGGTGTTGGGAGCATGTGCTCTAGACTTGGAGGGATCGTCTCCCCTTACATCGCCGATCTGGTAGGTTCGGTAGGCTCTCAGTGTACGTGACACTTACATAAAAACCTTGTCATAAAATACAACTCTCCTGGCCTAAATAGGGATAAACGTGACAAACATGATGGATCTTCCCTTTTGCCAGAATGTCTAATTAACACATAGATTGGTACGTGTGTCCTTGTAATGAGTTTTTATAGTGTTGGAGTTGGTGCATCACCCCAAGACGGGTTCCTTAAACGATTAACCATGCAAACTCTACCTGCCATCTGTCTAACAATCTGTCGTTGTTTCCAGGGAATGCTGGTAAAGGGAGGGTTTAGGGATGCTCTTCCCCTCATGGTGTTTGGTGGTGCTGCAGTATTGGCGGGCGTGTTGACCTTCTTCCTTCCGGAGACGCTCAACCAAGACCTGCCGGAGACCATCGAGGACGCCAAGAACCTTGGCAGGTAACAATACTGGGAGTATATGATGGTGGTTGGGCACCTCGCTGGACGCCAAGAACCTTGGCAGGTAACAATACTGGGAGTATATGATGGTGGTTGGGCACCTCGCTGGACGCCAAGAACCTTGGCAGGCAACAATACTTGGTGTATGTCATGGTGGTTGGGCACCTCGGGGGACGCGAAGACTTCAGGTGGGTGACACAAGTATTATATATCATGTCGTTCAGCTACCAGAGAGGTCGGCGGACATCTGTGCCTTGAATGGCGTACAGACTATACGTTATGGTTGAAAGGTCCAGCAATACTGAATGTCCTTGACATGTTTAATGACAGACTGTAGAAACACTGCATGTGTCGAGTTGGTAGATCTACATATCAGACATGTATGTTTCAGATCCAGGTCGAAATCTGCGTCCAATGTGTACAACATGGGGAACACGCTTGAAGGCCAGGACAACCCAGTGTTTACTCTGTCCATCAAAAACAAAAACTGAAACATATATATACAGTCCCAGCTGCTGCATCCGACATGTATCTGTTAGTGTCTTGATTAAACATTAATCGTCACCTGCCTGCTCTTATCAACATTAGCTGATGTTCATATTGGAAAATAAAGCGATAGACATCTTTCAATAATCAGTGCTCAAAGCAGAATCTTCAATATAATTACGCCCACGTCATTAGCTGATGTTTAGGCATCCCTAGTGAGCATATCATGCACTAAATGTGGCATCCCTAGTGAGCATATCCTGCACTCACTGGTGGCATCCCTAGTGAGCATATCCTGCACTCACTGTGGCATCCCTAGTGAGCATATCCTGCACTCACTGGTGGCATCCCTAGTGAGCATATCCTGCACTCACTGGTGGCATCCCTAGTGAGCATATCCTGCACTCACTGGTGGCATCCCTAGTGAGCATATCCTGCACTCACTGGTGGCATCCCTAGTGAGCATACCATGCACTCAATGTGGCATCCCTAGTGAGCATACCATGCACTCAATGTGGCATCCCTAGTGAGCATATCATGCACTCAATGTGGCATCCCTAGTGATCATATTCTGCACTCACTGTGGCATCCCTAGTGAGCATATCCTGCACTCACTGTGGCATCCCTAGTGAGCATATCCTGCACTCACTGTGGCATCCCTAGTGAGCATATCCTGCACTCAATGTGGCATCCCTAGTGATCATATCCTGCACTCACTGTGGCATCCCTAGTGAGCATATCCTGCACTCACTGTGGCATCCCTAGTGAGCATATCCTGCACTCACTGTGGCATCCCTAGTGAGCATATCCTGCACTCACTGTGGCATCCCTAGTGAGCATATCCTGCACTCAATGTGGCATCCCTAGTGAGCATATCCTGCACTCAATGTGGCATCCCTAGTGATCATATCCTGCACTCAATGTGGCATCCCTAGTGAGCATATCCTGCACTCACTGGTGGCATCCCTCAACCGTATACTAAGACGGATAATTAATACGAAGTTTTCTGATGTAGTGACGTGTATTTAGATGTTGCCAATCTTAGCAGTAATTGATGATGAACAATTGGAGGTACAGGGATTTGCCTACTTATGCCCTGTTCTAAATTTCAATTAGACGCTATGTATAAGGAAGTCAAGCATTTAGCATATTTTGTCAGTATACTTTACAATCTTTGACAAATTGTCCTGAATCTTTGGAGAAGTAACTATGCTTAGGTCTAATTGAAACCACACAAGGAATAACAAGCAGCTTGGTAAAGGGAAAACAAGTAGACGCTATCCTCCTGGACTTCGCGAAGGCGTTCGATAAAGTCCCACACAGGAGACTCTACAAACTAAGATACTAGGAGTAAGAGATAGAACCAACGTCTGGATCCAATCATTCCTCGGAGGCATGAAGCGGAAGGTCATACTCGAAAGTGCCAAATCCGACCCGGCAGATGTGATATCAGGAGTACCCCAAGGGACAGTCCTGGGACCTTTCCTTTTCCTCGCATTCATAAACGACCTTCCGGACTCATGCCAACACGCTGACGCTCGCCTATTCGACGACTATAGCCTTCTGTACTGTCAAATTAACAGCACTGAGGACAGCAAAAACTACAAGAAGATCCATCAGCCCTGGAGAATGTGAGAAGACCTGGCAGATGAGCTTCATGGAGTCAGACTTGCCAAAGAAACACCAAGCAAGTACTTGGGCGTCACAGTATCAAACGACCTAACATGGAAAGAGCACATCTCCAAGACCATCAGCAAAGGAAACAGGACTATTGGTTTCCTCCGCAGGAACTTCCGAGACTGCAACAAGACAGTTAAAGTAACAAAATGCACCACCATTGTCAGACCAGCCCTGGAATATTCGTCCACTGTATGGGATCCCTACTGCCTCAATGAAATCAATTCACTGGAAGCAGACACAGAATACAGACTATGTATGCTACAGAAGATCCAGCACGGCCTCTGCTACACAAGATCCAGCACGGCAAAGTCGGTATCAACAAAGACCTGTACCTGAGACGAAATGACTCCAGGACGAGAGGCGCGAACAGGGTATACCAAGCAAGATCAACGCCCACAGTATACCACAACTCATTCTTTCCAAGAACAATCAGGGAATGGAACCTGTTACCAGTACAGCTGACAGAAGCAGAGACTATTTCCAGGTACCAGGCTAGCCTCACAAGAGCCAGCAAGGAGCTGGTCCCACCAAAACCTCCAATACACCTGTAGATAGTTTTAACACAACCGCCTCTTGACTGACTTGTGCGTGTTTGTGTGTGTGCGTGTGTGTGCGTGCGTGTATGTACGATGCCTCCTACTGTCAACATAAGCTCCTTTGTATGTTGCTATGTAAAATTGAGAAATTAGACGTCACATATTCATCATTTTCATGATTATTATTTATTACATATGTTGTGATATAAACACTGCCTATCACAAAAAGGTATCTGCAGAACGCTTTGCATAGAGATCTAGTTGGAGTATAGACGAACATAAACAGAGTTTCGAGTGTAGAGTGCTTGTTTGCAATATTAGAGATGTTTAAACAATTCCTAACAGACTATCTTCAGTATTAAAACCACGTGTCTTGACTTGACCAGTACTTTGATTAATTGTGGCGAATGCAATAGTTCAGTTGTCTTTCCTCCTAACCTTCATGGCGGAAGATGTGTGGCTGGAGGCTATCAGTGAAAGTCCCGAGGGAGAGGCCTGTGTCAAGTTTATGGACTATGTGACAACAACATGGATTGAGGGAGCCTGGGACCAACTGACTTGGAACTACTTTGCTAATGATGGACACAGAACAAACAAAAACATTGAAGGTTGGCACAACAAGATCAACACCCTCACCCCATGCCACCCGAACATATTTGATTTCATTCAGCTCATCAAGAGGGAACAGTCTACAACCGAGGTGAAACTTGCACAGCAGAGAGGAAACAGACGTGAACCACCAAAACGCCGACAGTATGTGGCAGTATGTCCCCCTAGACCCCTGTTGTTACAAGCTACTATGTAGTACCTCCAGCCCCTCACCTGGCTGTTCTGTTAGCTGTACTCACTCCCCTGAAACTGGATTAACTGCTACTAAGCTCGTGAGGTCAGGTGTTGTGAATACGTGACTACCGGTACATGTTATGTGAGAGAAATCTTGACTCATACCTGTGTGCCATGGACATATGATGGACGATATGTATGTTGCGTAAAAACAAACATCAGATTAACATCAACACCAGCATTTAAATAACAAGAGGCACAAACAGGAGGAGGGATTAAGAACAACGGTAAAAACAACAAGCAGATAGGTTGCTGAAAGATAAAGTATACTACACACCATAGGCCTATGAAGACTTAATGTATAACTAGCTACAGACTCATAGATGCATGTTGCCGAAAACTGTCCATATCTTTTTATAACACTTGTTAAGATTTCGAAAAGGGGTAACATGATAAGGGTGCTGTTGTACAAAACAACCTTAGCGCTAAGACTACCTTAAGTCTATGTTAAGGTACGTGAGTTACGGCCACCTTAGCACTAAGACTACCTTAAGTCTATGTTAAGGTACGTGAGTTACGGCCACCTTAGCGCTAAGACTACCTTAAGTCTATGTTAAGGTACGTGAGTTACGGCCACCTTAGCACTAAGACTACCTTAAGTCTATGTTAAGGTACGTGAGTTACGGCCACCTTAGCGCTAAGACTACCTTAAGACTATGTTAAGGTACGTGAGTTACGGCCACCTTAGCGCTAAGACTACCTTAAGTCTATGTTAAGGTACGTGAGTTACGGCCACCTTAGCGCTAAGACTACCTTAAGACTATGTTAAGGTACGTGAGTTACGGCCACCTTACCGCTAAGACTACCTTAAGACTATGTTAGGTATGTGAGTTACGGCCACCTTAGCGCTAAGACTACCTTAAGTCTATGTTAAGGTACGTGAGTTACGGCCACCTTACCGCTAAGACTACCTTAAGACTATGTTAAGGTACGTGAAAGTACGGCCACCTAAGCGCTAAGACTACCTTAAGTCTATGTTAAGGTACGTGAGTTACGGCCACCTTAGCGCTAAGACTATCTTAAGTCTATGTTAAGGTACGTGAGTTACGGCCACCTTAGTGCTTAGACTACCTTAAGTCTATGTTAAGGTACGTGAGTTACGGCCACCTTACCGCTAAGACTACCTTAAGACTATGTTAAGGTACGTGAAGTACGGCCACCTAAGCGCTAAGACTACCTTAAGTCTATGTTAAGGTACGTGAGTTACGGCCACCTTAGCGCTAAGACTATCTTAAGTCTATGTTAAGGTACGTGAGTTACGGCCACCTTAGTGCTTAAGACTACCTTAAGTCTATGTTAAGGTACGTGAGTTACGGCCACCTTAGCGCTAAGACTACCTTAAGACTATGTTAAGGTACGTGAGTTACGGCCACCTTAGCGCTAAGACTACCTTAAGACTATGTTAAGGTACGTGAGTTACGGCCACCTTACCGCTAAGACTACTTTAAGTCTATGTTAAGGTACGTGAGTTACGGCCACCTTAACGCTAAGACTACCTTAAGACTATGTTAAGGTACGTGAGTTACGGCCAGCTTAGCGCTAAGACTACCTTAAGTCTATGTTAAGGTACGTGAGTTACGGCCACCTTAGCGCTAAGACTACCTTAAGACTATGTTAAGGTACGTGAGTTACGGCCACCTTAGCGCTAAGACTACCTTAAGTCTATGTTAAGGTACGTGAGTTACGGCCACCTTAGCGCTAAGACTACCCTATGTTAAGGTATGTTTTTGTTTGTTTGTTAACCTTAAGAATCAAGCTGTATGGATGCGATCTGTAAATAATGGAATCTGGACCAGACAATCCAGTGATCAGCATCATGGGCATGTTCGTCGTTCCACGCTGTTGGTATGTTATGACATGTGTTAACCAAGTCACCGAGCCTGACCACCTGATCCTGGTAATCACCTCTTAGGACAAGCATGGGTTACTGAGGACCAAATTTAACAAGGGAATTACGTTTGACTGAGTGGGTATGGTTTTACACCGCTTTCAGGAATATTCCAGCAATATCACGACGGGGGACACCAGAAATGGGCTTCACGCATTGTACCCATGTGGGGATTCGAACCCGTGCCTTCGGCGTGAATTATTAGCAACAGTGACCATCTACTGATCAATAATGATCACTGAGCCGTGATTCTCTATTATCGGCGGTCACTACTCACAGCCAACACCTGGCCTAACGAGGCAATTAATAGTAGCAGTTAATCCAGTTACAGGGGAGTGAGTACAGCTAACAGAACAGCCAGGCGGCTAGAGGTACTAATTAGTTGCTTGTAACAATGAGGGCTAGGGGGACGGGGGCTAGAGGCATGGAGTCATTAAACTTCAGTAGTTGGATTTGAAAAGAATTTATGTGGTAAATACAAACATCGCAGATTTCGATAACATTTACATTCCCAAATAAAATGAAATAAAATTATTGATTTTCAACATACAAAACATAGTCGACTTGATCTGGGTTGATTAATACGTCGACCGGTGGAGGCGGTGATGACAACATCTGAACTTAGCGAGGGCCGATCGGAATTTTGGAATTGATAAATCTTTTATGTAAAATTCAACACCAAATGAGATTTTAAAACAAGAATAAAGTGAAAATGTATGACTATTTACAAGCGATGTGTGTCATTCTTGTTCATAACTTGCTCTTAGTCTAAAAGCAAATTCTGATATGAATTTATCAGCATTATGTAAATTTTGCTGATCTTCCCACATAAAGCCAAATCCCAAAGAGTAAAGAATATTCTTAATTTTTTATATCCAGTTTATTTTACCATTTACAGAGTCTAAACTAAAACTAGCATATTATATCATTTCTTTACAAATCTATAATCGGGCATTTTACATAGTTTACACCAATATTAAACACCTTATTTATATAACAACAATTATACGTATATATATACATTGGATAACGGCCACATTCTCCCCTAACTACATGGTTCGAAGTCGACCGTCTGACATTTAAAAGCCGTTTACAACAAAACATATGTACAACTTCGACTTCTTCCCATATTTCAGCTCCATACAAAATAATTGGACTAATTTTGGTATCGAATATCTTATCGAAATAAATCATAAGGAAATGGATTAAACCTGTAAAGATGCTTTATAATACCATATGCAATTTTCTTAGCTTGCAAAGCAGCGTTATTCACATGGGGAGACCAAGATAGTGAACGTGCAAATAAAATACCCAAATAATTGTAAGAATATTTGTTTCCAAAAGAATTCCATTGAAATACCATATATGGTTCTATAATGGTTCCCCTGTTGAAACGGTTTTCCTTTTATAGGTATTTAGGATTAGTTTTCACGCCCAAGCATGTCTGGAGTTAAGCCCAGACACGTCTTGCATCTCAGGCCTCTAAAGCTATAATGTCTTTAAATGGTTTTCAGAGGAAACTTGGTAACATAGTTTGTACTGATCTACTTAATATTTTCTATTCAATGGCTGTGCCTATTCTTTGTTATGGCTCTGAAATTTGGGGAATATGTCATTCCAAAATAATATATAGTCTGTACGAATTAAATTTTGTAAACAACACTTAAGGGTGAAAAACAACTACATTAAATGGTATGGTTCTTGGCGAGTGTGGCAGACTCCCCATTGCAGTATTTGTACATGTCAAGAGTGATCATATTCTGGTGTAGACTTATACATATGCCATAAATTAGACTCCCACATCAATGTTATTTAATGTTCAGATCATTAGATAGCTGGGTAACACAAGTTAGACACATACTCTTTCAATGTGGATTTGGTTATGCTATTGGTGGAGTATTTTGTATATCTATTGAAGCTAAGGCTAGGAGATAACTTAAAACAGCCATGGTATTCATCAATCAGTGAATGTATATTTTATATTTTAGTTTAAAAGTTTGTTAAATGTAGAAAAATATTTGTGTTGTGATATTCCTGTGCATTTAAGAATTGCTATATCAAGGTTTGGGTGCAGTAATTTTAATATTGAGGTTGATTGTGGCAGGTATAATGGAATTGAATATAACGAAAGACTATGCCCTTTTTGTAAAACCAGAGGTCAACATTATATAGAAAATGAATATCATGTACTATTTATTTATAATGCGTATGATAAACTTACAACTAAATATATAACAAAGTTCACCAAAGAACCACGTCGTATTACTCTTTAGAAATCGTTTGCCAAACCAAAATGATGATGTTACATACAATGTTGGCCTACACTTATATCATGTACAGAGATTGATAAACTCCATGACGTAGAGCGGCAAGGTTAAACTGCACACCCACTAAATACATTGTCATCTGATTGTTTTACGGGCCGACGGCCCCTTTACTGAATAAACACTGTATATCTGTCCTTTTTTAATATTTTGATAATTTACAACCATTTTTATATACAATAATCTTGTTTTTCCCAAGTTAATTGATGACTTTTACAGAAACCTTCTAGAATATGTATACGTTTGTGTAAACCAAATACAGTGTGTGCAAAAAGTACAATATCATCAGCAAAAAGTAGTAGGAACATTTGTACAACATCAGGGTGAAGCTGTATACCAGGGTAACATGTGGATTCAATTTCCAAAGCTAATTCATTGATAAAGAATGAGAACAATAGCGGGCTTAAAACACACCCTGGTTTTAAACACTGAGCAATCAAACAACTGAGAAAGAGATATCACGCACCCATCCCTTAACACACTTATAGATAGAAGTTAAGGCATTAAGCATCTTAGGGGAAACGCCTCTATATTTGAGAATGGCCCATAGTTTATCCCTGTTAACAAAATCAAAAGCCTTTTTTTGAAAAAAAAAATATAGCTTAAAACTTCTTCTTTTTCTTACATCGGTAACGTTGGACAACAGACTGTAAAATAAAAATATCATCAATTGTATTGTACCCTTCCCTAAATCCTGTGTGTGATTCTACAACCTTTTCGTATGTATTTGCCCCAAATGTTAATCTACTGTTAAGTACAGATGAATATAATTTACTGAAAGTACTAAGAAGAGATATTCCCCCTGTAATTATTTGGATTATTACGATCACCCTTCTTAAGTAAAGGTATAATAATTGCTGTACTCCACCTGTCTGGAAAAGTGAACGACTCGAACATAATATTGAACAATAGTTCCAGTTTTATTAAACTAAGGTGTTCGTATTTCATAAACAGATCTGTTGTGTCTGTCTTGCATCCTGTCATATTCAGGGGAGTAAGTGAAGCCTGCAGTGAGCTCTCGTGTGTGCCCTCGGGGTACGGCTGCATGAATTATGGATACAGCTGTTACGTGAACATATATCTATTGTTCATTCTGGTTGTAATATTTTCAAGCTATCCTATCAAGTTTGGATTTTATACAGAATGAAAAGGCTCAATATCATACCTGGCATATATACATAAGATGACATTTGCGACATAAATGTTTATCAAGACTGAAGTAGTCACTTCCATCACGTATGTAGATGTTGACATGACATCGGAGGTCACCACTAACGTTTCATGGCTGTTGGTCTATCAAACATTGTAAAGCGAGGAGAGCGAGTCCACCGCGCCATTGTCTGCTTCTCATTATAAGGTAAGCCATGGCAACCTAGGCAGGAGCGTGGCCGTTGTTGTTGAAGGGAATTTATTATCCTGAGACATTGGCGGGATCTTAGTCTACGGGACGGAATCGAGTTGATTTTCAAGGTAAGGTCCAATCTATTGTCTACTGGCAACACTTACAGATGATATTGCTTTCATGAAAGAATGGTTTAACATTGTCATATGTTTTCAGTGATTCCATGTACATGAATGACATGGTAAATTGAAACTAGAATTATTCTTTCATCAACAGGTTAAATGATGTACTATAGGTTTGTCACTGAGAGGTCATTCCGAGCGTTATGGGAAGACACCCACCATGTGACTAACACAGCTGACAAAGTGTATTGTAAGATGTTCGTCACCAAACTACAACCCATTCTGTTATACCGCTCTGATGTGTGGTGACCAGACACCCACCATGTGACTCACACAGTTGACAGATGTATTTTAAGATGTTCGTCACCAACATACAACCCATTCTGTCATACCTCTCTGATGTGTGGCGACCAGAGACCTGGCATGAATTTATATACTATTGCCGTGTCCTTCATGTTTAAAATACTGACATAACTTACACTTAACTTACTTAATTCTACACAATAATAGAATTCCTAAGAAGGCTTTTGATATGCTGATGTGCTATTATGTTTGCGGTATCAGACCGAGTCATCTTCAGACATAGATTTATATTTTTATGGATTGCACAGTGCATTGGGCATAAGTAGTATAGGGAATGGGGGTTCTGTGACAGGCCGATTAAGAGCGTCATTATATATCTATTCCGCTTCCAGCCCCTAGTATAAATTAACGATTTCAAGCAGAGACACCATTCGATGCACATCCCAGACCCCTATAGGAGCCTTAACATCTGTAGGGTACCATGAGTTTCGGCAACCCCAGGCGGGAACGAGGACTGCAATACGTCCCCAAGCCGCAGACGGTGCCACCAGTTCCCAGTGAATAGGGATTCTGTGACAGGCCGACTAAGAGTGTTATTATATACCAATTCCGCTTCGAGCAGAGACACCATTCAATGCACATCCCATGCACCTCTACGTTTTCAAGCAGAGACACCATTCGATGTTCAACCCATGCACCTCTACGTTTTCAAGCAGAGACATCGTTCGATGTACACCACATCACCACACGAGCCTCCCCAAGCATTCATAGAAGTCCTGGACGGGGAGCACAGTTGGCTCTGCAGCGGGCAATACGCTGCCGGCAGACGTCTCACTAGTGGCTGCGTCTGTGCGGGGGGTCGGCGCTTTCTCTCCAGGGGCTGTATTCCATATTTTGCGTAGTCGATTGGAACCGATGCCGAATCGTTGTCTAGTTTCTTGTGCTGGGACTTTTCCACGCATCTTGCGAATCTCCTCCACCTGGTCTTGCGATAGTTGTCTTTTGGGAGGCATTTGGTTGTGCAGTATATCCACATTCGCAAAATATTGTCTATATGGGAATCTAGGGCACACTAGACATACGGGGGGTACACTAGACAGAACCTAGAAGTTTGCTTGTTTTGCTAAGTATTGCTAAGTATTGCTAAGCATTGCTAAGCATTTGCTAAGTATTGCTAAGTATTGCTAAGCATTTGATAAGCATTGCTAGGAGTTTCCTGGGAAAGGTTGGGATTCCTTGGGAGGATTGGGATTCCTGGGAGGATTGGGATTACTGGGAGAGGATTGGGATTCCTAGGAGAGGATTGGGATTCCCATATAGGCATATAGGAAGTATGGGTATATATATGACTAGGAAAAAACAACCATGCCACCAAAAAGAGATTTACCTTCGGATAAGATCCAAGAAATACGCTCCCTTCGAGGGGTGCTCCCAGCAAATGAGGTTAAAAAGCGCTTCGGTATTGGGTCCACAAGACTCTACGACATATGGAGAGATCCGATCGAAGAACCAGAAGTATCGTTGCCAGGCGACAACCAACAAGTATCGTTGCCGGTCGACGAACCACAACAGGTGACTCGGGATAGTTCGAAAGTAACAATACCTGGTAGTACGTTACCAACCATCCAGGACTTCTACGATCGCCTGGGGAGTCTCGAGACTCATGTGGAGCAAACCGCGAATACATCATCGAATTTGTTGGTTGACATCCTGTCGAGGTTGGACAATGATGAAGTCCTGGAGGAAATAGAAGAGGAACAAGAAGACACCCGTCTGGGTATCCAGAAGGTGCGGGAGATGGTAGAATCAGCCCAAAGGTTGACCTATGTTTCGATAGCTGCCGTATTACTCTGGAAGGTCATCCACAAGACCTGGAAGCATAGCAAACCAGTTTCCCCAGCAACACCCAAACCCCAAACCCCGGACCCCTTTCACATGTAGTAACATTCATTTAGACATTTGACTCCGCATAAGGTATACACCATGTGGCCCGTGGGAACTCATTATTGTAAATGGGTATTGCTCGGCAAGCCCACAACCTGCGGCAAACGCTGTATGACTGAATATTGCCACTCGCATGCCCACTGTGTGAGAAAGGGTCATGTCAATTATGTTTGCAAAGTATGCGGCATAGGGGTCAAAGGACATTATGGGTTGTGCAAAGACCATGGAAGGGACGTAGTTCGAAACCAACTTATTTACGATAAGAAGAAAGACTACCTCAACGAACGTAACCGGCTGCTCAGGACGAAAGTTTAAGGGGCGCTTCATATTTTTTGAAGGCTGACGGGATTATCTGCACATTGAAAACGCCCTATTAGACATGTGCCTCCGCATATGGTATACACCATGACTACTGTCGTCGAACTCAAAGCTCTCACCAAAAGTCGTGGACTGACGGGTTATTCCCGCCTTAGGAAACCCCAACTGCTCACCTTGCTCGATATGAAATATACCAAGCCCCCTACCATGCGAGACCTCAAACTCCGTGCTAAAGAACGGGGATTGAAGGGTTATTCTCGCATGAGAAGAGCCGAGCTGATCACCTTGCTGGAAGACACCAGGCCAGTCGAGTTGAGATTTGTGCAGACGGAGCACGCCGTGGGTAAGTATCTCGGGTTGGATAATGACGGTTGATTCCAATATCGATACCGGTACAGTCAAACCCCCCATCGCTAGTAAACTCCGCGAAGAACTAGGCGACTTGAAAAGCATCAAGTACCAACTAACGATGAAAATGGAGCTCCAAAAACAGAATACGGACGGCAGTACTGAGTACGTTGCACCTTATTTCAGAGGCAAACAGGAAGCCCTGACCCAACCAGAATTGATTGAATCCTCCATCGACGCATCGTTGCAAAAATACAAGAGTCGTTGGAGAGATATACCCACCTGGGCTCTGGATGGGTGGTAGACAAAATCAACACCATTTATCTCGACATAGCGAACTACATGCCGCTCAAAGGTGGGACGCACATACCGGTGCCCAAGCATTTCAAGGCTAAAAAGGCCCTCGTTAACCCCAAACCCCAAGGCGATGATGTTAACGATTACTGTGCGGTGGTGGCGGTCATAACTGCTACGCATGAACCAAGGGGTAATCCGGGCAGGCGTTCCAGCTATCCATCGATCGAAGAATCCAGGTTCGACTTCACGGGTGTAGAACGCTTAACACCCATCTCTTACTGGACGCAATTCGAAAAGCAAAACAAGGTGGCCATCAATGTGTTCGGCCACGAAGGCGACAAAACCATCGTGCATAGGATAAGCCCTGTGGATGATAAAACCGTGCGTAGAACCAATATATTCCTCATCGAAAAAGACGGCCAGTATCACTACACGGCAATAAAAAATCTGAGCCGGCTGTTGCACGATCAATCGATGCACAGAGAAAAGAAACACTTCTGCGAACGATGTCTGCACGGTTTTACGCGAGCCGACCTGCTGCAAGCACACCAGGGGGGATTGCCTAGGTGTAGGAGAGACGGCGATCCGAATTGACATGCCTAAGGAAGGCGACAACATCTTGAAATTCACCAACCACAAACATCAGATGCCTGTGCCTTACATGATCTACGCAGACTTCGAAGCCCTCATCAAACAGGTCGACCACGACGTGCCCAACACTGAGCAAAGTTTTACGTGCAAAACCCAAGAACACCAAGCCTGCGGGTTCGGGTACGTGATCGTCCGATGTGATGGGCAAACGAATGCTCCAGTCATCTACCGAGGTCCTGGCGCGGCCGAACGATTCCTGATGTGTTTGCAACAGGAAGAGAAAATCATCAGGAAAAGGCTGTACACCGCTGCCCCCATGCGCATGACGCGGAAGGACCAAGTCGCTCACAAGCGTGCTGAGAATTGCCACATATGTCAGGGGCTGCTGAATGGGGATGTTGTGAGAGATCACTGCCACATCACCGGCCGGTACCGAGGTGCCGCCCATAACGCGTGCAATCTCCAGCTTAGAATCAACCCTAAAACAATCAACATCCCCGTGGTCTTCCACAATCTGAGAGGGTACGATGCCCACCTGATCATGCAGGCCATCTCAAAGGTCGACGGTGATATCAAGTGCATCCCCAACAACATGGAAAAATACATCTCGTTCTCGCTCAACGGTCTGAGATTCATTGACAGCGCTCAGTTCCTCCTGTCATCGCTCGATAGTTTGGTCAAAGCCAATGACACCTTCCCCATCACTGGTCGATACACCAATGCCGAGACTCGGCCCCTGCTGATGAGGAAGGGTGTGTACCCATACGAGTACATGGATGATTGGTCTAAGTTCAACGAGACCCGATTACCTCCTATCAACCAATTTTACAGCAACCTGACCGAATCCCATATCTCCCAGGATGATTACGTCCACGCGCAGAACGTGTGGGAGAAACTGGGATGTAAGAATCTGGGTGACTACCACGACCTGTACTTGAGAACGGACGTGCTCCTGCTAGCCGATGTGTTTGAGACGTTTAGGAGGACGTGTTTGAAACAGTATCAACTCGACCCTGCATGGTACTACACCAGCCCCGGTCTATCGTGGGATGCGCTGCTGAAGAAAACCGGAGTTAAGCTGGAATTGCTCACGGATTACGACATGCACCTGTTCATCGAGAAAGGCTTACGAGGTGGGATTTCCATGGCCGCCAAACGGTACGCAAGAGCCAACAATGAGTACGTGGAAGGCTACGACTCTAGCAAACCCACCAATCATCTCCTCTACCTAGACGCCAACAACCTGTACGGCTGGGCTATGAGTCAGTCTCTGCCTACGGGTGGGTTTGAGTGGTTGGACGATGAGATCGATATCACGAGCATCGCGCCGGATTCGGGGAAGGGTTACATCCTGGAAGTGGATCTGGAGTATCCCGAGGCATTGCACGCTGCTCACAACAGCTACCCGCTGGCCCCCGAACGGTTGATGGTCTGCCGAGACTGGATGTCCGACTATCAGCGGGACTTGTTGGGTGAGAACACCCTGGCTCGGGTGGAAAAACTCGTCCCGAACTTGATGAACAAGACCAAGTATGTCGTGCACTATCGCAACCTGCAGCTGTACCTATCGTTGGGTATGAAACTGACCAAAATTCATAGGGTGCTGAAGTTTGACCAAAGTCCTTGGATGGAGCCCTACATCAGAATGAACACGGACCTGCGAAAGCTGGCCACCAGTGACTTCGAGAAGAACTTGTATAAGCTCATGAACAACTCGGTGTTTGGTAAGACGATGGAGAACCTGAGAAAACGGGTGACGGTCAAACTCGTGCGATCGCAGCAGGAGGAAAAACTCAGGAAACTGATCGCTAGCCCGGCCTTCAACCGAAGCAAGCTATTCGATAACGACTTGGCGGCGCTGCACATGAACAAAAGTCACATCAAGCTCAACCGACCCGTCTACGTGGGGATGAGCATTCTCGACCTGTCCAAACATCTCATGTATGATTTCTACTACAACCGGCTCAAGAAGCAATACGGTGATCGATGCGAGCTGCTGTACACGGACACAGATTCCTTGTTGCTAGATATACACACCGAGGACGTGTACAAGGACATGGCAAAACACATACACCTGTACGACACCAGCGATTACCCCAAGGACCATGCCCTACACAACACGATCAACAAAAAAGGTCCTTGGCAAGATGAAGGACGAATGCGCGGGCACACCCATCGCCGAATACGTCGGCTTGAGGCCTAAGATGTACTCCATCTTGAAAGCTGACAAGGGTGAGATCCGAAAGGCAAAGGGGGTCAAGAAATACGTGGTGAAACAACACATCAAGCACGTCCTCTTCAAACAAGCTCTGTTCAAGAATAAGACGTTCAAACACCGAATGAACGCGTTGAGAAGCGACAAACACAACATCTACGGCATCACCCTCAACAAGACGTCGCTGTCGCCCATGGACACCAAACGGTGGATCGCCGCCGACGGCGTCACGACTTACGCGTATGGGCACACGCTCATAAACCACTGAGTGGTTGGCCTGGGCTGTGCATCGAATGGTGTCTCTGCTCAAAGCGGAATTGGTATATAATGACACTCTTAGTCGGCCTGTCATAGAATCCCCATTCTATGACTGGGAACTGGTGGCTGCTTAGCATCCGGCACCGTCTGCGGCTTGGGGACGTATTGCAGTCCTCGTTCCCGCCTGGGGTTGCCGAAACTCATGGTACCCTACAGATGTTAAGGCTCCTATAGGGGTCTGGGATGTGCATCGAATGGTGTCTCTGCTTGAAATCGTTAATTTATACTAGGGGCTGGAAGCGGAATAGATATATAATGACGCTCTTAATCGGCCTGTCACAGAACCCCCATTCCCTATACTACTGCATACATTTGGTTTCCTTAAACTGAAGATGTAACTGACATGCATAATCAGCCTTGGAATAGTACCACCAGAGTGAGTGAGTGAGTTTAGTTTTACGCCGCACTCAGCAATATGTAATAAATCGAGTCTGGACCAGACAATCCAGTGATCAACAGCATGAGCATCGATCTGCGCAACTGGGAACCGATGACCTGTGCCAACAGAGTCAGCGAGCCTGACCACCCGATCCCGTTAGTCGCCTCTTACCTTCACGGGTTGTACCACCAGAAGAGCTCAACATATACTCTTCAAAAGAGTAGTGGAACTTCATTTTTTATTTACGAATGAAAAAAAATGGGAGATATATCGGAGTCAGTCAATGTTGATATGATAATCATGAATGTTTTGAGAGTGCATCACTTCTTGCACTTCCTTATGACCATAGTTGCTTGTACAGTAATCGCTCTTGAAAGATGACTGGTGTGTGACGTGAAATTTGCATGTGTACGATTTTCATTTTCAAACAACAAAGCACAGCCAGAAACAAACACTAACAACTGTGTGATGCAAGATGATTGTCAAAATTAATGGTCTACAGCGATTTATCGGCCTTCTTGAAAACCGTCAAAATGAAGAATGACACCCAGTGCACGTGGATGGGACTAGTGCGTTGTTGCAGGTGCAACTCATTCGTTGTGTTTAGGGATGGTGATAAGGAGAAATGGTGAAGCGTTCATAAGATGTCTGTCTTTGAAAAGTTTGTTAACGCATATAGTTCCCATCCAAATTGAGAGTTCAGGTTCCCCTTCTGATTTTAAGAGTATATAACATGCGTACATGTAAAGGGGTAATGGTATCTGGAAAGTACTTCACCCTTTTAACAGAGATGAAACAACGTCATAGAGTTGTTACAATTTAAGGTTTAAGATTGAATTAATAAGGTAACTTTTATACAATCGAGCGACAGAAGACGAATATCCTTTTATCTTAATCTGTCGACCCGTGAAGATCCGGGGTAGAATATGTCTTCAGCAACCCATGCTTGCTACAAAAGATGACTATGCTTGTCGTAAGAGGCGACTAACGGAATCGGGTGGTCAGGCTCGCTGACTTGGTTGACACATTTAATCGGTTCCCAGTTGTGAAGATCGATGCTCATGCTGTTGATCACTGGATTGTCTGGTCCAGACACGATTATATACAGACCGCCGCCATATAGCTGGAATATTGCCGAGTGCGGCGTAAAACTAAACTCACTCACTCACTCACTTAATCTGTAATTCCTAAGAGAACACAAGACACTTCTGTCCTCCTACAGTGTGTTGTCATAATCCAGATGTTTTCAGCTTTGTCTTTTGTCTTCGAACCTTGTCATATTTGAAGACATTGAAGTAAATATCCACGTCAAAGTTACGAGGTAAGACATAATGTTTCAAATATTGGAATAATAACATGCAATCCTCAGTATGAACCCACGTACCGTTGTGAAAGATCCCTTTCTGTGTACTGAAATACAGACTTGATTGATATGTTCAGAACCTGGGATGAGAGACATTTGGAAAATGGAAAAAGTGCAGTGACAAAGCATTGACAGATTGTTGTTTGGATTCAGGTTGTTAGTTGCGAACCCAGATTCCATCCATTGTCTCGTTGCAAGAATCGTTCTGGATGATCTTCAAACAGAGCCAGATTACCTGGAGATTAGTTAGTCCTGGCCCTTTGTCATCAGATGTAAGAAGCTTTGGAAGTCAACGAGCTGGTTCTTGTTTTTATTGCCGAAGCTTTTGGAACGTACTCCTGGGAAGCTCCTATTGAAATGTCAATATGTTTCTCAGATCTTTCATGATGGCTTTTGGTGTTGATCTTACTTCATTACTGCTTCTGACAGGTTTCCCTGCTTTTGTTACTGACACGTCCAAGGGACACCTTTATTGTGTGGAAATGAATCATGTGATGTCCACGATTAACGATATCCTTCCTTCTTTCTAAGGACTATCTCCTTCTCATACCAACAGGCGAACAGATCTGAAGACATGAAGACGTTTGACGAGATCCTTCATGAAGTGGGGGAGTTTGGAACTTATCAGAAGAGACTGATGTTCTTTCTGTATATGCCAACGGCGGTGACTGCCTTCCTAACACTCTCAAGTGTCTTCACGCTGTACATCCCCCCTCACAGGTAACATTCACCAGTGACTTCACGCTGTACACCCCCCTCACAGGTTACAATCAAAAGTGTCTTCACGCTGTACATCCCCCCTCACAGGTTACAATCACCAGTGTCTTCACGCTGTAACCCCCCCCCCCCACACACACACAGGTAACACTCATCAGTGTCTTCACGCTGTACGTCCCCCATCACAGGTAACACTCATCAGTGACTTCACACTGTACACCCCCATCACAGGTAACACTCATCAGTGACTTCACGCTGTACAACCTCCCTCACAGGTAACACTCATCAGTGTCTTCACGCTGTACACCCCCATCACAGGTAACACTCATCAGTGTCTTCACGCTGTACAACCTCCCTCACAGGTAACACTCATCAGTGTCTTCACACTGTACACCCCCATCACAGGTAACACTCATCAGTGTCTTCACGCTGTACAACTTTTCTCACAGGTAACACTCATCAGTGACTTCACGCTGTACGTCCCCCCTCACAGGTAACACCCATCAGTGACTTCACGCTGTACGTCCCCCATCACAGGTAACACTCATCGGTGACTTCACGCTGTACGTCCCCCATCACAGGTAACACTCATCAGTGACTTCATGTTGTACATCCCCCATCACAGGTAACACTCATCAGTGACTTCACACTGTACATCCCCCATCACAGGTAACACTCATCAGTGACTTCACGCTGTACAACTTTTCTCACAGGTAACACTCATCAGTGTCTTCATGCTGTACACCCCCCTCACAGGTAACACGCATCAGTGTCTTCACGCTGTACACCCCCATCACAGGTAACACTCATCAGTGTCTTCACGCTGTACAACCTCCCTCACAGGTAACACTCATCAGTGACTTCACGCTGTACATCCCACCTCACAGGTAACACTCATCAGTGTCTTCATGCTGTACACCCCCCTCACAGGTAACACGCATCAGTGTCTTCACGCTGTACACCCCCATCACAGGTAACACTCATCAGTGTCTTCACACTGTACACCCCCATCACAGGTAACACTCATCAGTGACTTCACGCTGTACACCCCCATCACAGGTAACACTCATCAGTGACTTCACACTGTACGTCCTCCCTCACAGGTAACACTCATCAGTGACTTCACACTGTACATCCCCCATCACAGGTAACACTCATCAGTGTCTTCATGCTGTACACCCCCATCACAGGTAACAAGCATCAGTGTCTTCACGCTGTACATCCCCCATCACAGGTAACACGCATCAGTGTCTTCACGCTGTACGTCCTCCCTCAAATGGAACACTCATCAGTGTCTTCACACTGTACACCCCCATCACAGGTAACAGTCATCAGTGTCTTCATGCTGTACACCCCTATCACAGGTAACACGCATCAGTGTCTTCACGCTGTACATCCCCCATCACAGGTAACACGCATCAGTGACTTCATGCTGTACACCCCCATCACAGGTAACACTCATCAGTGATTTCACGCTGTACAACTTTTCTCACAGGTAACACTCATCAGTGACTTCACACTGTACACCCCCATCACAGGTAACACTCATCAGTGTCTTCACGCTGTACAACCTCCCTCACAGGTAACACTCATTAGTGACTTCACGCTGTACATCCCCTATCCGAGGAAACACTCACAAGTGTCTTCATGCTGTACATCCCCATCACAGGTAACACTCATCAGTGTCTTCATGCTGTACACCCCCATCACAGGTAACACTCATCAGTGTCTTCACGCTGTACATCCCCCATCACAGGTAACACGCATCAGTGTCTTCACGCTGTACACCCCCATCACAGGTAACACTCATCAGTGACTTCACGCTGTACAACTTTTTTCACAGGTAACACTCATCAGTGACTTCACACTGTACATCCCCAATCACAGGTAACACTCATCAGTGACTTCACGCTGTACGTCCTCCCTCACAGGTAACCTTCATCAGTGACTTCACGCTGTACAACCTCCCTCACAGGTAACACTCATCAGTGACTTCATGCTGTACATCCCCATCACAGGTAACACTCATCAGTGACTTCACACTGTACACCCCCATCACAGGTAACACGCATCAGTGACTTCACGCTGTACACCCCCATCACAGGTAACACTCATCAGTGTCTTCACACTGTACACCCACATCACAGGTAACACTCATCAGTGACTTCACGCTGTACAACTTTTCTCACAGGTAACACTCATCAGTGACTTCACACTGTACACCCCCATCACAGGTAACAGTCATCAGTGACTTCACGCTGTACAACTTTTCTCACAGGTAACAATCATCAGTGTCTTCACACTGTACACCTCCATCACAGGTAACACTCATCAGTGTCTTCACACTGTACACCCCCATCACAGGTAACACTCATCAGTGACTTCACGCTGTACAACTTTTCTCACAGGTAACACTCATCAGTGACTTCACACTGTACACCCCCATCACAGGTAACACTCATCAGTGACTTCATGCTGTACATCCTCCCTCAAATGTAACACTCATCAGTGTCTTCACACTGTACACCCCATCACAGGTAACAGTCATCGGTGTCTTCATGCTGTACACCCTATCACAGGTAACACGCATCAGTGTCTTCACGCTGTACATCCCCATCACAGGTAACGCATCAGGTGACTTCATGCTGTACACCCCATCACAGGTAACACTCATCAGTGATTTCACGCTGTACACCTTTTCTCTGGGTAACGCTCATCAGTGACTTCACACTGTACACCCCATCACAGGTAACACTCATCAGTGTCTTCACGCTGTATTACAACCTCCCTCACAGGTAACACTCATTAGTGACTTCACGCTGTACATCCCTATCCGAGGAAACACTCACAAGTGTCTTCATGCTGTACATCCCCATCTGGGTAACGCTCATCAAGTGTCTTCATGCTGTACACCCCATCACGGGTAACGCTCATCAGTGTCTTCACGCTGTACATCCCCATCACAGGTAACGCATCATTAGTGTCTTCACGCTGTACACCCCCATCACGGGTAACACTCATCGGTGACTTCACGCTGTACAACTTTTTCACAGGTAACACTCATCGGTGACTTCACGCTGTACATCCCCAATCACGGGTAACACTCATCGGTGACTTCGCTGTACGTCCTCCCTCACGGGTAACCTTCATCAGTGACTTCACGCTGTACAACCTCCCTCACAGGTAACACTCATCAGTGACTTCATGCTGTACATCCCCATCACAGGTAACACTCATCAGTGACTTCACACTGTACACCCCATCACAGGTAACGCGCATCAGTGACTTCACGCTGTACACCCCATCACGGGTAACACTCATCAGTGTCTTCACACTGTACACCCCCATCACAGGTAACACTCATCGGTGACTTCACGCTCCAATCACAGGTAACAGTCATCAGTGACTTCACGCTGTACAACTTTTCTCACTGGGTAACAATCATCAGTGTCTTCACACTGTACACCTCCATCTGGGTAACACTCATCAGTGTCTTCACACTGTACACCCCCATCTGGGTAACACTCATCGGTGACTTCACGCTGTACAACTTTTCTCACGGGTAACACTCATCAGTGACTTCACACTGTACACCCCATCACGGGTAACACTCATCAGTGACTTCATGCTGTACAACTTTTCTCTGGGTAACACTCATCAGTGTCTTCACACTGTACACCCCCATCACAGGTAACACTCATCAGTGTCTTCACACTGTACACCCCCATCACAGGTAACACTCATCAGTGACTTCATGCTGTACATCCCCATCACAGGTAACACTCATCAGTGACTTCACACTGTACACCCCCATCCAGGTAACACTCATCAGTGACTTCACGCTGTACACCCCCATCACAGGTAACACTCATCAGTGTCTTCACACTGTACACCCCCATCACAGGTAACACTCATCAGTGACTTCACGCTGTACAACTTTTCTCACAGGTAACACTCATCAGTGACTTCACACTGTACATCCCCAATCACAGGTAACACTCATTAGTGACTTCACGCTGTACAACTTTTCTCACAGGTAACAATCATCAGTGACTTCACACTGTACAACTTTTCTCACAGGTAACACTCATCAGTGACTTCACACTGTACATCCCACCTCACAGGTAACGCTCACCAGTGTCTTCATACTGTACATCCCCCCTCACAGGTAACGCTCACCAGTGTCTTCACGCTGTACATCCCACCTCACAGGTAACACTCATCAGTGACTTCACACTGTACACCATCCTCACAAATAACACTCACCAGTGTCTTCACACTGTACATCCCCCCTCACAGGTAACGCTCACCAGTGTCTTCACGCTGTACATCCCACCTCACAGGTAACACTCATCAGTGACTTCACACTGTACACCATCCTCACAAATAACACTCACCAGTGTCGTCACGCTGTACATACCCCCTCACAGGTAACACTCATCAGTGACTTCACACTGTACATCCCCCTCACAGGTAACACAGGTAACACAGGTAACAAGCCACATGAGATGGTATTAACGATAGCAGTGGGAATGTCTGTTTTAGGACGGCGTCTGTCCACATGTCACAAACTGATAAGTGGTGTAGTATTTGCGTTCCTCCAGTCAGATACAAGATGTTCTCGACATTGCTGAAAGGAATATCTATTTTGTCAGGCGGGCAGTAGGCGCCCCTTCCAACATCGAGTATCCTTGAAGATCCGGGCTAGAATTGATCTTCAGCAACCCAGGCTCGCTGACTCGGTTGACACATGTCATCGTATTCCAATTGCGTAAATCGATGCTCATGTTGTTGGTCACTGGATTGTCTGGTCTGGTCTGCTTTTTTCTAGTTGGCGTTACGTCATTTACTTTGGCCTTCTCTTGCTGCAATTTGCAGGTCTTCAAGAAGTAGTAGTGCTGCACCTGCGAGATACAGACACCTTGTTGATCACTCGATTATCTGGTCCAGACTCGATTATTTACAGACCGCCTCCATATAGCTGGAATATTGCTCAGTGCGGCGTAAAACTAAACTCACTCACTCACTCACTTGTGGTTGTTCGATACGGTAATAACATTCAATTACTGGATTACTAGTCGATGCTACACATACTGACCAACTAATACACACATGAAAACAAAAACACAGATGACCTTGAAGTAACCACTATTCAGTTGACTTTCACCTCCACCTCACCTTCGTTGTGTAGGTCATAGAACAACTTTGATGGAGTTTGAAATAGGCAGCACTACTTGACTTCAATTATTTTACAATTTCCACCCCATCTTGGTTTAATTCTTCTCTGTATCCGACGGTAGGTGTGCAGTTCCCGGCCTCAGAAACGACACATACGCCATACAGGGAGACAACCATCGTCGACTGGTCAACCTGACCATCCCCGTTAAAGATGGCGCCTTCTCCAAATGTAATGTCTATACAGATGACGTCACAGACCTTGATCAGAGGGCAGACAACTCCAGCCAGTCTCAGTGCAGCCAATGGGTGTTCGACAAATCAATGTTTACGTCCACCATAACAGAAGACGTGAGTTGAAATTTATTTTATCAACTTCATTTTCAGTTCTTGTTTTCGCGAAACATGACAACCTGACAGTTTCACGTTGACTATTCTAATGCATGTATCAGCTGTTGTGAGACTTCAGGAAGGTGTGAACGTATTGGTGTTTGATCAGGATCAAAGTCTCTATAAGAGTTCCATGTGCGATGGTTATATATTATTTTAGACCAATGTCTTGTTCACGAGGTACATTTGTTATTTGACAGCTCAACTTGATATGTGACAACAAAGTCATGCGGTCCCACTCCAATATGGCCGTGATGGCGGGGAAACTGGTTGGCTCCTTCGGCCAAGGTCTGGTCAGCGACATGTGAGAATACTGCTAGCTTTCCTCTTTCATATTGTAATAATAAATGACACATGAACACATGAACATATTTAATGTTACATTCTGGATGAAGTTCGAACCAACGATTACAAGTCTAACGAAGTTAACTGTTCACTTCTCCATCAATGCTTACTTCTTCGTGTCAGATTCGGGAGGAAGAAAGCGTTGATGATGTTCCTGTGTGTGATGATTTGTGTCGGCTTCCTCAACTACGTCATCCGTGATTTCGCCTCCCTCATCATCATCCGCTTCCTCTCTGGCGCTGGGTCGACGTCTGTGTACATCGCCACCTTCATTCTGGGTAGGCCATGGGTCAGAGCAGGCGCCTGGACTCAGGGAATACACGTGTTTGTGAAGACAGCCAGTCAATAATCTGACGAACAAAGCTTCCAGGCAGGAAGAGATAGTTGGCAAATAAGGGAATTTGCAAATGAGAGAATATATATATTACCCTGAACGTTTCTATCCAGATGCAAAGCTTGAAATTGTTTGTACATTTTGTTTAAATCCCACCAGTCCTATTGCCTTTTGTCGTACGCACACACACACGCACGCGCGCGCACACACCCGTACATACACACACAGCATCAGTATTATTCCAGGACTCTTTACATCTAATACATTCTTGAGCATGATATACAGTTTCCTTGTGTTTGTTTCAGGAATGGAACTGGTAGCTCCTTCCAAACGCTTGTATCCTGGTAACTTGGTGTTGTTTTTCTGGGTGTCGGGGATGCTTCTGATGTCGGCTGTCGTCTACTTTATTCGAGACTGGCAGAATTACGTCCTCACCTTGGCATGTGCTCCAGTTCTTTTCCTCTCCTACTGGTGGTATGTCTCCCCCTCTTTTCCCTTCAACTTGTGGTAAGATCTTCTTATTTGTGGTGAGGTCCCGATCCTATATTCTGTTTTCTGCTATGGCAAGATCCTGGCTCTGAATCCATATATGGCCTGATTGCCAGTGAATCACCATGTAGAATGGAAGTGATTGTCAAGCGTCTAGACCTTGTTTCAACTCTGTTAAAGGCTTATACCCGAGTCACCGAGGTGGCTGATGTCCAAAGGCAGGTTCGAGGAAGCAGAAGTAATCATCAGGAAGTTTGCCAAAGTCAACAAGACAACGGTTCCTGAAAACATGTTTGACGGTAAATATGTGGAGGAGGTTAAAGCTCCAAGTGGTAAAATGTCCGAGCTGCTGACACACAGAACCCTGGCCATTCGCAGTTTCATCCTGTCATTTCACTGGTAAGTCAACGTTGTCGTCTGCTTCATCTGCATGTTCAGCTCAATAGCAAGCTATTGATATTCTAAATGTTACAAAAATATGGCATAACACATGATAGTACAACCTTCCACTCACAATGACCAACAAACCGTCATATATTTAGTTTTATCTTCACATATATTTATCTAAGTAGAAGCGTCTTTTTATCTACATTCTCTTTCCCGATAATGACAATTTTATGGATGAACACCTGCTTCCCCAGACATATGTACGTCATTCAACACCTGCTTCCCCAGACATATGTACGTTATTCAACACCTGCTTCCCCAGACATATGTACGTTATTCAACACCTGCTTCCCCAGATATGTACGTTATTCAACACCTGCTTCCCCAGACATATGTACGTTATTCAACACCTGCTTCCCCAGACATATGTACGTTATTCAACACGTCCTTCCCCAACACCTGCTTCCCCAGACATATGTACGTTATTCAACACCTGCTTCCCCAGACATATGTACGTTATTCAACAACATATGTACGTTATTCAACACCTGCTTCCCCAGACATATGTACAGATATGTACAACATCTGCTTCCCCAGACATATGTACGTTATTCAACATCTGCTTCCCCAGACATATGTACGTTATTCAACATCTGCTTCCCCAGACATATGTACGTTATTCAACACCTGCTTCCCCAGACATATGTACGTTATTCAACATCTGCTTCCCCAGACATATGTACGTTATTCAACATCTGCTTCCCCAGACATATGTACGTTATTCAACATCTGCTTCCCCAGACATATGTACGTTATTCAACATCTGCTTCCCAGACATATGTACGTTATTCAACACCTGCTTCCCCAGACACGTTATTCAACATCTGCTTCCCCAGACATATATTCAACACTGCTTCCCCATACATATGTACATTCAACATCTGCTTCCCCAGACATATGTACGTTATTCAACACCTGCTTCCCCAGACATATGTACGTTATTCAACACCTGCTTCCCCAGACATATGTACGTTATTCAACATCTGCTTCCCCAGACATATGTACGTTATTCAACACCTGCTTCAAGATATATGTACGTTATTCAACATCTGCTTCCCCAGACATATGTACGTTATTCAACATCTGCTTCCCCAGACATATGTACGTTATTCAACATCTGCTTCCCCAGATATATGTACGTTATTCAACACCTGCTTCCCCAGATATATGTACGTTATTCAACACCTGCTTCCCCAGACATATGTACGTTATTCAACATCTGCTTCCCCAGATATATGTACGTTATTCAACACCTGCTTCCCCAGACATATGTACGTTATTCAACATCTGCTTCCCCAGACATATGTACGTCATTCAACACCTGCTTCCCCAGACATATGTACGTTATTCAACATCTGCTTCCCCAGACATATGTACGTTATTCAACATCTGCTTCCCCAGACATATGTACGTTATTCAACACCTGCTTCCCCAGACATATGTACGTTATTCAACATCTGCTTCCCCAGACATATGTACGTTATTCAACATCTGCTTCCCCAGACATATGTACGTTATTCATCACCTGCTTCCCCAGACATATGTACGTTATTCAACACCTGCTTCCCCAGATATATGTACGTTATTCAACATCTGCTTCCCCAGATATATGTACGTTATTCAACATCTGCTTCCCCAGGTATATGTACGTTATTCAACACCTGCTTCCCCAGACATATGTACGTCATTCAACACCTGCTTCCCCTGACATATGTACGTTATTCAACATCTGTCTGTCCCTCCTACAAACACGTTTATTAAGCTTATCCATAGTTAGTTCTCCTGGACCGAATCTTCTAGCGTGACACATGGAACGTGTATCTATGTTTTCAACAGGGCTGTGTGTAGTCTGACCTACTACGGCTTGACGCTGAACGTCACCAACCTCAGTGGCAACGTCATCACCAACTTTGTCCTGTCTGCGCTGGTGGAAGTGGCTGGGTATCTCTTGACGCTGTTTTTGCTGGACAGAATAGGCCGGAAGTGGCTCCATTGTGGTTTCTTCCTGGGCGGGGGCCTTGCCTGTCTTGCCACCATCTTCCCAGTCCTGTATGCTGGAGACGGTGTGTAGCTCTCTCTTCCAATAGCATGTGCCCTGAGACATGTTCATGTCGTTCGATGTGAAACTCAGAAATATGACATAATAGTAATTTCTGGATTACAAACCTGTGTGTTGGTTCCTCCACATGCACATAACACCATCACTGTGTCAGTTTCGAAAGCATAGCGATAACTCTGGAATCGATATTCAAAAATGCATAACCAAATAAGAACAAAAATTAACAAATATATTTAATTTGTAAAATGAACTTTGTTTATAAATCAATATACATTACTGCCAAGTGTCTAGAGCGGCAGTACATAATCCAATGACAGTACAGTTGCATTGGTAGCACCATATACAAAGACAGGGCTATAATAGCAGTCAGGGATAAAATTCACCTAGCATAACATTGATCGGATTTTCAAAAAGCCCTGGGCTGGACATACAAGGAGAAATCAAAGACCTTCACCGGAGGCCATGAAGTAATGTGAGATGACAGAGACATTAGGTCGGAATAGGTCCACATGTCATGAAGTCATGTGAGATGACAGGGACATTAGGTCGGAATAGGTCCACATGTCATGAAGTCATGTGAGGTGACAGAGACATTAGGTCGGAATAGGTCCACATGTCATGAAGTCATGTGAGGTGACAGAGACATTAGGTCGGAATAGGTCCACATGTCCTAACGTTCCATACCATGATGGATTAGTCTTTGCTGTTCTTGAAGATTCCAGATTACATTTGCGTCCAAACGTATCTAGATATTTCAACATCGACACAATTCCTTAACTTAATAATATTAAACATTGTCGGTGATTAATTTTTGTTAAAACACATTGCCATGAATGTTTCCTAAATCTTAAGAAACAATGTCGTACAACATTATTTAGTAATAGATAAATTGCGTTATAACAGTAGATAAAGAATAATGCTTCTATTGTTCATTCTTTGCGGACGTAACGAAGTAATTTAAGAAGTCACTAATATGTATAATTATCGCCTCTTCTGTCCAGACGCCAAGTGGACGCTCGTCCTGTTGTCCTTGATCGGCAAGATGGGGGCGTCAGGAGCCTTCGCCACCGTCTACATCTACACCGCAGAGGTCTATCCAACTCCTGTCCGCAACGTCGGGCTTGGAGCCGGCAGCATGTGCTCGAGACTCGGGGGTGTTATGTCGCCATACATTGTAGATCTGGTACGTAGAGGAGATCGGATGGGCACTTGGTCCAAATACTCACCATACCATCCACAATCATGGTCATTGTAGAGTAATGGAACAAAATAGTCCAACTACAGCCTCAGCAATGTCAGTTAACTTCCCACGTGCTGTTCATGCTTGTTGTTGACCGTATAGTTCTGTCTATAGGGCATCTTGGTGGAGGGAGGGTTTGGAGAAGCTCTTCCCCTCATGGTGTTCGGTGGTGCGGCAGTATTGGCGGGCGTGTTGACCTTCTTCCTCCCAGAGACGCTCAACCAAGACCTGCCGGAGACCATCGAGGACGCCAAGAACCTTGGCAGGTAACAATACTTGGAGTATATCTTGGTGGTGGGGCACTGAGGGGTACGCCAAGAACCTTGGCAGGTAACAATACTCGGAGTATATCTTGGTGGTAGGGCACTGAGGGGTACGCCAAGAACCTTGGCAGGTAACAATACTGGGAGTATATCTTGGTGGTGGGGCACTGAGGGGTACGCCAAGAACCTTGGCAGGTAACAATACTGGGAGTATATCTTGGTGGTGGGGCATAGAGGGGTACGCCAAGAACCTTGGCAGGTAACAATACTGGGAGTATATCTTGGCGGTGGGGCACTGAGGGGAACGCCAAGAACCTTGGCAGATAACAATACTGGGAGTATATCTTGGTGGTGGGGCACTGAGGGGTACGCCAAGAGCCTTGGCAGGTAACAATACTGGGAGTATATCTTGGTGGTGGGGCACTGAGGGGTACGCCAAGAACCTTGGCAGGTAACAATACTTGGAGTATATGATGGTGGTGGGGCACTGAGGGGTACGCCAAGAACCTTGGCAGGTAACAATACTGGGAGTATATCTTGGTGGTGGGGCACTGAGGGGTACGCCAAGAACCTTGGCAGGTAACAATACTGGGAGTATATCTTGGTGGTGGGGCACTGAGGGTACGCCAAGAACCTTGGCAGGTAACAATACTGGGAGTATATCTTGGTGGTGGGGCACTGAGGGGTACGCCAAGAGCCTTGGCAGGTAACAATACTGGGAGTATATCTTGGTGGTGGGGCACTGAGGGGTACGCCAAGAACCTTGGCAGGTAACAATACTGGGAGTATATCTTGGTGGTGGGGCACTGAGGGGTACGCCAAGAACCTTGGCAGGTAACAATACTGGGAGTATATCTTGGTGGTGGGGCACTGAGGGGTACGCCAAGAACCTTGGCAGGTAACAATACTGGGAGTATATCTTGGTGGTGGGGCACTGAGGGGTACGCCAAGAACCTTGGCAGCTAACAATACTGGGAGTATATCTTGGTGGTGGGGCACTGAGGGGTACGCCAAGAACCTTGGCAGCTAACAATACTGGGAGTATATCTTGGTGGTGGGGCACTGAGGGGTACGCCAAGAACCTTGGCAGCTAACAATACTGGGAGTATATCTTGGTGATTCTGACTACTGAGGACGTCAAGACGCTTTGCTGGTTAGGGGAACATACCGTAGCGCGGTGCTCAGTCAACCTGAAGGTAATATACTACCTCTTTGTTTGAATAGTTATTAGTGAAATACGTCGTGAGACTATTAACTTCTAGCGCCTAACAGGCAGCTTGGGTTGTCCGGGGTAGTAATAATCAGATTGTGCGCTTTGTGCAGGATATCTAGCCTGGAGAAGGCGCGTTATAAATATTCTCATCATCATAATTATTACAACACATTATTCTCCCACTAAGCAGTGAGGCCACAGTGAAAATGGTTGTTTCGTTGATTATGAATTTTTTTCGCTAAAGTTGCAACCAAATAAGTCTACAATCAACATATACTAGTACTTTGATATCTTGTAGGGAGTATCACCTATTAGGGGGAAGATTGTTTCAGTTGTCTCCATCGTTCAGAGAACAAATTATATCTTTTGAAAGAGCGCCCCAAACATTTCCATAGCGGTCCGTATTGCCCGACTGTTATCTACTTTATCTTTCAGAACCGGAAGAAAGTCTGCATCAAACGTCTACAAAATGAGAAAGTCACTGGAAGGCCAGGACAATGCTGTGTTTGCTTTGTCTATCAAGAATAGAGATTGATGTGGTTTCATATTGTACCTGTCTACATACGATAAACATATATTTGTATTTGGATTAAAACGTGTTGTAACAATCACAAGTCTAGTCTTACTTGTAGCTAAAGTACATCATGACACTTGGACGCCTTTGCTGATGTCACTGATTTGATGATGTTTGATCTGGTACTATGACATACCCCACACCTCCACATTCAGTGGACTGAGCGTAGCGCTGTCGTCATTCTTTTCAAAAAGAGGTTCACTCACCAAAGATCATGAATCAACGCTTGCTTGCTATTCATGGGGAAGTAAGTCCATCACAAGCGATAATTAAACGTTCAGAATATGAGAAGTTAACTCCTTCTGCGGCGCCTCGGCTGTGTTTCTTGAACCATTTGTAAACACAGGTTAATGTTGTGTTCATACTGATGGAGTACAAAACCATTTTCTTGAGCTTCCTGAGTAGGTTGGCGTCGGTTTCGTGGATTCCCGAAAGACCAGAATAGAGTTTATTATGGCAATCTGTTTGGACAGATATCAAGGGAAAATGTTGTGAAATAGTCATTAAAGATACATTGTTCCACCACGTCCGTGTTCACCAACACTGGCTGCCATGCCGTGACTTCGAACTCACAGAACATCTACGCATGTCCGCCTCTTCCCAAACTTGAAGAATGAACTGACTGGCGATGGTGATGATCTCTCTTCGTGGTGTGGAGGACTTGTTACACTGCCAGAAGGCCGCCGTCTATCCCCAGAAGGGTCCTGGCCCTCTAGCAGAAATGTGCAGATGTAATAAGATCTGTTGTATATAGAACCCTTCAGCTACCTCTTGTTCTCACACCTGGTCCATTGCTGATAAACATTGCAATATTGTTTATTACTCGTGCCAGTTTAAATATATTCCATCGATATTTTTACATTTAACAATGAGGCATTACTATTTTGACGAAGTTTCTGTGCGTTGATGTTTTAACTTTGCATTCTCTCATTCAGTAACTCATATGTTGGTTCTGTTGACCGCTGGTGAACACCATACTGCACAAGTATATTAGCAACTCGATCATTATGGCACCACACTCTGCTTGGGTCAGTGGAATGTCCCTGACTAGTACATACTAATGGCAGACGTATTAATTCCCGTTGTGTGACTGAACTTAAGGATAGCATTGTTTGAATCCATAATTCTGTAACGATGTATCGGTGGGCACTCTATTAAAACTCATCAATGACATTATCAGTACCCGTCATTGGTACTGCTAACCACGAACTTGATACTGTACAGTTCCATGTCTCGCACACTCTTCATACTGCAGCATGAACAGTGTGGAATGTATCAGTGGAAATATGTCAAGACCTTATGGCTAAGACTTTGTATATTGTCCCTACATCAAGACTACAATATCCTAAAACACAGGTATATAGATCGTACTTTGGTATATATCAGTTTTATACATACGACTTATTTACTTATGTAGGGCAGGGGTGGTGGGGCGACGTAAGCTGAAACCAGTTTGGTCTACCCGCAGGTATAGTGAAAAGAAGTATGGTTGGTTTGCTATTATACTTACAGTACGAGGCCGCTTGGAGCATGTATAGTCACGTCCAGGTGACACCAGATCCATCCAGGCAATCTGGACAAACACCGCTCAGTCAGCACGGCCAGTGTTATTACTCCAGAGCGGACAATAGCCTGTGGTCAAGCACACAATGATCTCTGGAGATCTGTCACAGCTTGTGTTCGGTGTGTGTCATTGTCACGGGTATCTCACACGTAGAAGCTCTGATACATTTCTCTTTAAACAAAACAGGAAACATTCTATTATCTGGAGAAATGTGTGACTTGTTTGAATTCTGAAGCCTTCTTTAACCATTACCTGTTTCGATCTGGTACCACTCGTAGAGCTTGAAGCAACAATGACTATGAAGGAAAACTGATTTGTATGGATAGTCAACTTCTTTATTGCAATGAGTGCTCATTGCAATAAAGAAGTTGACTATCCATACAAATCAGTTTTCCTTCATCTTCACAACTTCTAAAATGCCTCTCAAAGAAACAATGACTATGACAGGAAAAGAAGCTCACACAGTATTTTGACAGTTGTAACGGTTTATTAAACCATTTATCCCTGTCCAGTTTAGAGGTAGGTTGGACCTTGCTTTTGACACAAGACTTCAGTGAAAAGGCAATAGAGAATGTATATAAGTTTATTGGTATTGATAATGGCAGCGACCGCCTCCGTGGTGTAGTGGTTAGAGCGTCCGCACGGAGAGCGGAAGGTCGCGGGTTCGATCCCCGACCGCGTCATATCAAAAGACGTTAAAATATGGTACTTGTTGGTACTTGCCTGGCACTCGGCATTAATGGGTACAACAAGGACTGGTCGAGTCAGTATAATGTGTCTGAGTGGGGTATTCATGCTTCACTGTGGCATGGTATCTCAGTGGGCTAGCACTATAAAACCAGCTTAAGTCTGGGTTAGTACAAGCAGCCGCACATACACATACACACGCATGCACGTCGTCATATGAGCGAAATATTCTCAAGTACGACGTAAAACTTTCACCTTTCCTCACCCATAATGGCAGCAAATGAATGAAACGCCAGTAAAATACAGACTGCTGGAGTCGCCATATCAACCGGAAGCGCGATTTACTTGTACAGCTGTGTGTGCTACCGGTAGAGCAGATCATGTCTGCCCTTCTCATGAACACCTGGTGTCACCATTTACTTCAGTGATCGATACATACAAGTTACAATGCCTTATATCATAGACACCGAATGGAATGCCTGACGAAGACGTGTCATAGTACATGTTTACAGTTTGTTAGAGGGGTTTCACACTATGACTGCACCCTTTCATGCTGTTACCATAGGTCGTATCTTTGCTACATTGGATTATTTTGTACCTTCATTCTGGTGTACACTGGTGTCACAGAAAATAATTTGCAGTTATTTGTATTCATTTGTAAACTTTGTTAACTTTAATCGAATTGCAAAACATTTCTTGATCGCTTGTTGGTTTCACACTAAATTCTTAATTCAAGGGTAGCCTAGTGGTTAAAGCATTCGCTCATCACGCTGAAGACCCGGGTTCGATTCCCGACATGGGTACAATGTGTGAAGCCCATTTCTGGTGTCCTCCGCCGTGATATTGCTGGAATATTGCTAAAAGCGGCGTAAAACCATACTCACTCAAACTATGCACTGTAGTATGATACACATGCTCCTGTAGACCGTGAGACAATACGCTACTGATACCATCACAGCAACAGTGTTACGTCACTGCCGCATCGGCTTGCGGGAGTGATCTCCCCTCAGTAAACCGGTAACCATACACATTGGTAGCGTCACATGATGCTTTTGGAGCATGCCATTGTCTGACTTGTGTTATCTGCCCCGTCTGACTGTGGCCTGTGTTATCTGTCCAGTCTTAACATGTTTGTGAAGATTTTGGATACCTATCGACCAGCATGGTATATGTCCCCTTTGGGGGACAGAAAGTTTTCTCTGGTCCTCACAGGAACAGTTGTCAGATCCTCACAAAAATGTGTCGCAGAACCTGGCAGAAATGTATCATAAATCCTCACAGAAATGTGTCACAGAACCTGGCAGAAATGTAACAGATCCTCACAGAAATTTCACAAATCCTCGCAGAAATGTCACAGATCCTCTAAGAAATGCTTCACAGATGTCCGCTAAACAGGTCGCATGTTCACATAGGTTGTCAGATCGTCACAGTACCTATTGACTAGCGGTGGTGGAGACGGTCCTTCATCTGAGGAACCCCTACTGGACAACTCCATTCGGGTTACTGTATCCTCACCACTGTCACAACGTCACCGTCGTAGCAGACGTCAACAAAGAATCCGAGGATTCAGTGGTCTGAATCTGCTGACGTCACAGTGGACCTCATTCAAACTTGACTTCGACCTGGGCGTCAGAGAGGCCGGCGTGTTCTCCTGCCTCGGGTATCACCATCTGTGATTGGATGCGATCGATGTCCCCACTTGTTAATGTAGTATTGGTAGGTTCAGTGACGGCAGGTCCTTCTGGTGGAACCATTCGGTCCAGCTGCTCTCTGCAATAGGAACAAAATCTCAGCAAAAACAATCCAACTGTTCGACACCCACTATAAATCACCATTACAATTACACAAGCGTATTGCACTGCAAATATTATAAGTAGTCGTGAGATTAAGTGTCTAGGACAGCGTCAACGAGCACTATTAGTCGATCCTTTAAACTAACTTCTTGTGATTGTTGTGTGGACAATACGTGCATGTATTATGAGTAGTTGTAAGGTAACAGGTATAGAACTGTCACAATCATTGTGGCAAAATTTTATGGTTGCTGATACATACTAATGTATGATTGTGTGGCGGTGTGGTGCCTCGGCCTCAGTATTGTAGAAAGGCCACGTTACAACTGTGTCGTGCACCGGATTGCGTCACATCATGGATACTGTACATATGCATGGTGTGAACAAACTTAGCAATAGGACCGACGGGAGCTGGGATCATGAATGGAGACTAGATATGTAACATTTGTGCCATTGAAATTCCACGTAATTAGAAATGTCGTGTTGCAGTCGGCGCTATGTCCCTCTGCCCATCTCTCCCTTTGTCCCTCTGCCCATCTCTCCCTTTGTCCCTCTGTCCCTATGTGCACGCTCTCGACCGAGTGTATACTCACAGGATCCGGGTGAGTGTGTATTCCTGTCGGGCCAGGCGGTTCTTGATGGTGAGCAGGTTGAGCTTGTGCGAGTCCAGCCCGTCCCAGATGTCTCGGATGTACTTGTTGAGCTCGTTCAGGGGAGGGTTTTCCCACTTCTCCAACACGTCCATGGGACTGGCAATCTCATCCACCTCCTGGTACTTCGTCACTCGGTATCCCTAGGAGACCACGGTCATCAACACTGGAGATGGGACTTTACAAGTCTATGCTGCACCAAGGCATCCCTAGCGTTAATCTACAGTTCAGATACTGATCTTTCATATCATTATTGTGGCGGCATTGTCTTTATTGTGCTTAAATGTCAATATTTGTGTCGTAACGCACTTTAACTTACTACACCACACAGTATGTAATCTTTGCCTAGTATGGATACGGCCTCTGTTTATCTATAAACAATCTCACCTTGCCCACAAACAGTGTCACATTGCCCATAAACGATCTCACCTTGCCGACATACGATCTCACCTTGCCTATAAACAGACTGTTGAGCTCCACACGGGCAATAATCCACGCCCTGTTGAGCTCCAGACCGCGTTGTGCATCCCGCTGCACGTTCTGGTAGGTGTCACTGAGCTGGGCGATGAGGATGTTTAGGAGGACGACGATGCAGGTGAAGAGGAAGATGACCATGATGATGCAGCTCAGTGTGCTGTGAGAGTAAGTAAGCACAATCACTGGTGATAAAACACACACACACGCGCGCATGAATGCACGCAAACACGCGCACTCATCCCACACCTACTTCACTCGCATGCTCTTACAACCCAAAGCCACAAGCAACCTACATAAAACTCGTTCTAAGAACCGTTTGTTTTGTCCATTCTTCTTCTTGTGTTTCCTGACTTTGTAGTGATTGTAGACGAACTGGAGACTCAATACGATAGGCATTTGGTGGACGAGGTGTTTACAAGTTACCGTAAAGCGCAATCATATTTGTATAATTCTGCCAGTGGTATGTTTCCCTGCTATTGGTCGTATTACAGGAATATCTTAATGAAATAGTTTTATCAGTGGTTAAGTTTCAGCTTGATTAATGCGGCCTCCTCTGCTACAACAGAGATGAGGTATGTGTCGAAACATTCACACGTAGGTTTCTCACACAGACTGTAACTGTCCAAACGTTTGTCTGCACTCTCGGTCATACGTTCAAATCGATGTCCTTTGATCTATCGCGACTCACCTGTATTCTGTGTACTCTATGACACGCTCGCCCTCGATCAGGATCCGGACACCAGTGAAGAGGATGTCCCAGAACGTGCTGTTCAGGAAGATATAGAACGGATTATACTTATCATCAGCACTGCATAACCAACATAGTGGCTAAGTGGATAAAAGGGACCACTCGTACCTGGTTTCGTTGTGAACTTGCAAGGAGTTCTCTCCCCTAAGTGCCATGACGAAGGATCCACTGAAAGCAAGCAGGATGACGGCAAAGACAATGGTGAACTGGAAGAAGTCGTGGGCGACGATGCGCCATAAGATCTGGGCGTAGGCTCCCGTTTGTCTGAGGAAGAGAAGAGGAAATAGCTAGATGCAGTCTTTGCCTCTTAGTAATGGCATGCTACGTTTCTGGAGGATTGAAATATATCAAATTGTCGAGCAACGTCAACATCGAACAGCTTGGAAAGATGACCATGCCTCCTGGAAAACATCTTGGCAGTCTACAGAAGACAGTTAACCTTACACAAATACCTAAAACTGCTTCCCTTACCGAAACACTGCGGCATATTTGAAGAGTCTGAGTGTCCACAGCAGGTAACCCACGGAGAACACTTGCCACTGTTCCTGTTTGTGAGTAAAGCGGAGCGCAGGAACCAGCAACAGGAGAATTGAGGACGATAGGTCGATCCAGTTGAACTTGTCCTTCCAGTAGTCCAGTCGGTGCCTGCACATACAGAACCCGACATACAACTCGCACCACGTTGGATGTTTCCTACCCTGATCACTGACCCAAAATAAAGGACTCCCACAAAGGCACGGGCACGACAGGCCCTGTCCTCTTGGGCTCTGCCAGCAGCCTGTGACTGTGGTTCCTGGTTATGTTTCAAGGTCTACGAGCATCATAACCGTTCTGGTGTGTAAACGTCTGATGGTAGATAAACACAAAATAGATAAACAATGACAGGAGACATATTTGAGATACACATAAGATAAAATGTGATGATGTTGAAACGCCTTCTACAAAAGAACATGGCTCTGTCTGATTACTGCGATACTGTGTGACGTACTTCCGGAACTGGTTGAGCTCCAGGAAGAAGGTGATGACCACGGCCAGGTAGGACCAAACCTCAAACACCGCACGTGCTACTTGGACAGGTGAATCGTAGACTGTGGGGTCTGACGTCATCACGGCCGAGACGGCGGAAAACGTCATCGCGAACAGCGTGATGCAAAACAGGAAACTATTCATCCTGAAACAGAACAAAATGTGTCAATACATCTGTCCGTGTGGAGAGTGTATGCGTGATGCAGCTGCCTATGTGCTTGTTGTCAAACAATTCAACAAGAAAAAGTATTCAAAGTTTATAGCTTCACTGCAATGTGTTGACCAATGTCTGATGGAGACTCAAATGATGCACACAAGAAGTGGTCATCCGACTGAGACCCTTTATGACTGGTAGCATAGTTGTATTTTGGACCCAACGTTTGCAGTGTTTGGTCGAAGGATTTCATCACGGTTGTAAAGTTGTGGCCCCCAGATGGTCCCTAGTTATGAGCCCATAGTGTTATTGTGTCTACCAGATGGTCCCTAGTTATGGAGCCCAAAGTCGTTATTGTGTCCACCCCAAAGAACATGCGTGGTGGTATGGGGCTTCGCCGTGAGAGCTGTTAGATTACATTGATGGCTTTGTTACTCACTGGAACCGGAAGCGAGCATAGCCTTTCCACTTCTTCCTGATAAGGAGCCTGACAACATCGTGATACACCATCGACTGCGAAGGAGGAAACAGAGGTTACATGTATCCATCTATACTAGACAACATAGGTTGTTCTTGAGTGACATCGATGGCAGATATTGCTGTTTCTGTGAATATTTTCTACATCAACTATTAGATGAGTAGTGTCAAAGGCTCAGTGTGTGGTTTAACATCAGGCGTGGTTGCAGAAGCAAAATTATTTTTTCTGAGGAGAACATGTAGCTATTTCGAACTTGTTTCGATTCTTTTTATAAAACAAACAGTATCGCAAAAACGTAAAACAATGTCAAGGGTCTGCCGGATTCCTGATGTGTGAGTCTGCGAGATAAACACTCACCTTATACCCTTCTTTGGCGATAACGTGTAGACAGGACTTGGAGTTGGAACCGAAGGATGGGTGTCGGGGGGATCGACCAAACTCGTCAGCCTCCAGCACGTGGTAAAACACCCGCATGTGCCCACTGTCACCAATAGGATCCATCATGCAGTCCAACACACCCAGGGCAGTCTGCTGTAACACACAGAACACAGACTATACAGTCCAACACAACCAGGGCAGTCTGCTGTAACACACTGAAAACAGGCACCATACAGTCCAACACACCCAGGGCAGTCTGCTGTAACAGAACACAGGCCATACAGTCCAACACACCCAGGGCAGTCTGCTGTAACATACAGAACACAGACCATACAGTCCAACACACCCAGGGCAGTCTGCTGTAATACAGAATACAGACCATACAGTCCATCACACCCAGGGCAGTCTGTCGTAACACAGAACACAGACCATACAGTCCAACACACCCAGGGCAGTCTGCTGTAACACACAGAACACAGACAATACAGTCCAACACACCCAGGGCAGTCTGCTGTTACACACACGAACACAGACCATACAGTCCAACACACCCAGGGCAGTCTGCTGTAACACACAGAAAACAGACAATACAGTCCAACACACCCAGGACAGTCTGCTGTAACACACATAACACAGACCATACAGTCCAACACACCCAGAGCAGTCTGCTGTAACGTACAGAACACAGACCATACAGTCCAACACACACAGGACAGTCTGCTGTAACACACATAACACAGACCATACAGTCCAACACACCCAGAGCAGTCTGCTGTAACACACAGAACACAGTCCATACAGTCCAACACACCCAGAGCAGTCTGCTGTAACACACAGAACACAGACCATACAGTCCAACACACCCAGGGCAGTCTGCTGTAACATACAGAACACAGACCATACAGTCCAACACACCCAGGGCAGTCTGCTGTAACACACAGAACACAGACCATACAGTCCAACACACCCAGGGCAGTCTGCTGTAACACACAGAACACAGACCATACAGTCCAACACACCCAGGGCAGTCTGCTGTAACACACAGAACACAGACCATACAGTCCAACACACCCAGGACAGTCTGCTGTAACACAGAACACAGAACACAGACCATACAGTCCAACACACCCAGGACAGTCTGCTGTAACACAGAACACAGACCATACAGTCCAACACACCCAGGGCAGTCTGCTGTAACACACAGAACACAGACCATACAGTCCAACACACCCAGGGCAGTCTGCTGTAACATACAGAACACAGACCATACAGTCCAACACACCCAGGGCAGTCTGCTGTAACACAGAACACAGACCATACAGTCCAACACACCCAGGGCAGTCTGCTGTAACACACAGAACACAGACCATACAGTCCAACACACCCAGGGCAGTCTGCTGTAACACACAGAACACAGACCATACAGTCCAACACACCCAGGGCAGTCTGCTGTAACACACAGAACACAGACCATACAGTCCAACACACCCAGGACAGTCTGCTGTAACACACAGAACACAGACCATACAGCCCAACACACCCAGGACAGTCTGCTGTAACACACAGAAAACAGACAATACAGTCCAACACACCCAGGGCAGTCTGCTGTAACACACATAACACAGACCATACAGTCCAACACACCCAGAGCAGTCTGCTGTAACGTACAGAACACAGACCATACAGTCCAACACACACAGGACAGTTTGCTGTAACACAGAATACAGACCATACAGTCCAACACACTCAGGACAGTCTGTTGTAACACACAGAACACAGACCATACAGTCCAACACACCCAGGGCAGTCTGCTGTAACACACATAACACAGACCATACAGTCCAACACACCCAGGGCAGTCTGCTGTAACACAGAACACAGACCATACAGTCCAACACACCCAGGACAGTCTGCTGTAACACACAGAACACAGACCATACAGTCCAACACACCCAGGGCAGTCTGCTGTAACACACAGAACACAGACCATACAGTCCAACACACCCAGGACAGTCTGCTGTAACACACAGAACACAGACCATACAGTCCAACACACATACAGTAGGACAGTCTGCTGTAACACACAGAACACAGACCATACAGTCCAACACACCCAGGGCAGTCTGCTGTAACACACAGAACACAGACCATACAGTCCAACACACCCAGGGCAGTCTGCTGTAACACACAGAACACAGACCATACAGTCCAACACACCCAGGGCAGTCTGCTGTAGCACACAGAACACAGAACACAGACCATACAGTCCAACACACCCAGGACAGTCTGCTGTAACACACATAACACACACAGACCATACAGTCCAACACACCCAGGACAGTCTGCTGTAACACACAGAACACAGACCATACAGTCCAACACACCCAGGGCAGTCTGCTGTAACATACAGAACACAGACCATACAGTCCAACACACCCAGGGCAGTCTGCTGTAACACACAGAACACAGACCATACAGTCCAACACACCCAGGACAGTCTGCTGTAACACACAGAACACAGACCATACAGTCCAACACACCCAGGGCAGTCTGCTGTAACACACAGAACACAGACCATACAGTCCAACACACCCAGGGCAGTCTGCTGTAACACACATAACACAGACCATACAGTCCAACACACCCAGGGCAGTCTGCTGTAACACAGAACACAGACCATACAGTCCAACACACCCAGGGCAGTCTGCTGTAACACACAGAACACAGACCATACAGTCCAACACACCCAGGGCAGTCTGCTGTAACACACAGAACACAGACCATACAGTCCAACACACCCAGGGCAGTCTGCTGTAACACACAGAACACAGACCATACAGTCCAACACACCAGGGGCAGTCTGCTGTCCAACACAACAGTCTGCTGTAACACACAGAACACAGACCATACAGTCCAACACACCCAGGGCAGTCTGCTGTAACACACAGAACACAGACCATACAGTCCAACACACCCAGGGCAGTCTGCTGTAACACACAGAACACAGACCATACAGTCCAACACACCCAGGGCAGTCTGCTGTAACACAGAACACAGACCATACAGTCCAACACACCCAGGGCAGTCTGCTGTAAGAACACAGAACACAGACCATACAGTCCAACACACCCAGGGCAGTCTGCTGTAACACACAGAACACAGACCATACAGTCCAACACACCCAGGGGCAGTCTGCTGTAAACACAGAACACAGACCATACAGTCCAACACACCCAGGGCAGTCTGCTGTAACACACAGAACACAGACCATACAGTCCAACACACCCAGGGCAGTCTGCTGTAACACACAGAACACAGACCATACAGTCCAACACACCCAGGGCAGTCTGCTGTAACACACAGAACACAGACCATACAGTCCAACACACCCAGGGCAGTCTGCTGTAACACACAGAACACAGACCATACAGTCCAACACACCCAGGGCAGTCTGCTGTAACACACAGAACACAGACCATACAGTCCAACACACCCAGGGCAGTCTGCTGTAACACACACAGAACACAGACCATACAGTCCAACACACCCAGGGCAGTCTGCTGTAACACACAGAACACAGACCATACAGTCCAACACACCCAGGACAGTCTGCTGTAAGAACACAGAACACAGACCATACAGTCCAACACACCCAGGGCAGTCTGCTGTAACACACAGAACACAGACCATACAGTCCAACACACCCAGGGCAGTCTGCTGTAACACAGAACACAGACCATACAGTCCAACACACCCAGGGCAGTCTGCTGTAACACACAGAACACAGACCATACAGTCCAACACACCCAGGGCAGTCTGCTGTAACACACAGAACACAGACCATACAGTCCAACACACCCAGGGCAGTCTGCTGTAACACACAGAACACAGACCATACAGTCCAACACACCCAGGACAGTCTGCTGTAACACACAGAACACAGACCATACAGTCCAACACACCCAGGGCAGTCTGCTGTAACACACAGAACACAGACCATACAGTCCAACACACCCAGGACAGTCTGCTGTAACACACAGAACACAGACCATACAGTCCAACACACCCAGGGCAGTCTGCTGTAACACACAGAACACAGACCATACAGTCCAACACACCCAGGGCAGTCTGCTGTAACACACAGAACACAGACCATACAGTCCAACACACCCAGGGCAGTCTGCTGTAACACACAGAACACAGACCATACAGTCCAACACACCCAGGGCAGTCTGCTGTAACACACAGAACACAGGCCATACAGTCCAACACACCCAGGACAGTCTGCTGTAACACACAGAACACAGACCATACAGTCCAACACACCCAGGGCAGTCTGCTGTAACACACAGAACACAGACCATACAGTCCAACACACCCAGGACAGTCTGCTGTAACACACAGAACACAGACCATACAGTCCAACACACCCAGGGCAGTCTGCTGTAACATACAGAACACAGACCATACAGTCCAACACACCCAGGACAGTCTGCTGTAACATACAGAACACAGACCATACAGTCCAACACACCCAGGACAGTCTGCTGTAACATACAGAACACAGACCATACAGTCCAACACACCCAGGGCAGTCTGCTGTAACACACACACACACAGACCATACAGTCCAACACACCCAGGGCAGTCTGCTGTAACACACAGAACACAGACCATACAGTCCAACACACCCAGGGCAGTCTGCTGTAACACACAGAACACAGACCATACAGTCCAACACACCCAGGGCAGTCTGCTGTAACAACACAGAACACAGACAATACAGTCCAACACACCCAGGGCAGTCTGCTGTAACACACAGAACACAGACCATACAGTCCAACAACACACCCAGGGCAGTCTGCTGTAACATACAGAACACAGACCATACAGTCCAACACACCCAGGGCAGTCTGCTGTAACATGCGCCTACAGTCCAACACACCCACAGTCTGCTGTAACACACAGAACACAGACCATACAGTCCAACACACCCAGGACAGTCTGCTGTAACACACAGAACACAGACCATACAGTCCAACACACCCAGGGCAGTCTGCTGTAACATACAGAACACAGACCATACAGTCCAACACACCCAGGACAGTCTGCTGTAACACACAGAACACAGACCATACAGTCCAACACACCCA